TGTACATTTATGATGGGGAAAATGCAAGAATCTGTTCTTAAATATCTTTTAACAACTTTTTTTCTAATTTTATTGCCCAAAAATTAATTAATTTTAAATTATAAGCAGTTAAACTCAAATAAAAATACAGTTTTACCCAAACTATGGGTTTTTGACAGAGGGTTTTTTGACATGACGGTAAAAACCACGGTAATAACCGGTAAAAACCGTCATGTGTCTAAAACTTACCAACCCTGATTTGAATAATGTGCAATAAAAGGGAGGAGTTAGGGAACCATTGCTTAAATTGCCTGCTTAACGGACATAGTGAACTCCCGGTTATAGTGAACCAAAATTTCAGTCCCTTGAAGGTTCACTATAGCGGGGTTTGACTGTATATATATATACAGACATGAATTCATCTTGTCTAACTTGTCTATTCTTACATTACTAGTTATATCAAAAATGACCATAGATTCGAAAGAGCAATTAAAAGGAAAATGGAAGGAGGTAGAAATGCGTGATTTGGTGCTGCAAAAACCATAATATATTACCACCAAGTTTCAAAGCTGGTTGCTAAGTTGGTAAACAAATGTAACATCCAAATAATAAAAACAATGCATACAAAATACTTGCAACATCAATATTGACGCGGCCTGAGAACAAATTTAAAAGGTATCCTTTGCAAAGAGCAAATATTTCAGTTGAAAAGGTCTGACATGGAGCAGAAAACATTGTTTTCCAGTCAGCTGTATCATCCCTTAATGAATAATGAATGAAACTAATTTTTAAATTCACTCAGAAAAAATTCTTTGTTTAGTAAGCAGAAACAGTAAATTTTTTTAATTCATTCTGACAAATCATCAATCATTCATGATTGAAACCATCAATCAAATCATTATAGAAACGCTTAGTAACTACAATATAAAAATTTAGAATACAGAAAAGGTATTCAGTTATTGTAATAATCAAATAGTAATTTCAAATACAACAGAAAATAAAAACAAAAGTGAATCGTACCTTAGCAAGCATTTCTCCGTCATAATAATACCGTAGTGCTCTACTTAGTTTTTCGTAGTTCATAGTGGGTTTGTTTTTCCTCTGACCCCAAAGCTGAGCAACTACTTCGGGATTAATCAATTTAAATTCTCCATCATTGTCTACCCACTGAATGTAGTCTCTGTAATCTTTATCAGTCAAGAGTTCAAGTAGAAACTGCCACAGTTGTATTTGACCATTGCTTCCTAATGATGATTAAAAAATTGATGTTGATGATAAAACTTTAATAATCCTAAAAGTCTATTAAGAAAATAATTTTATGTTTTTAATATTTTATAATTTAGTTTTATGGCCATTCTGCTTATTAAGACGATAAATTTTACCTCAAACTAAAGCAAACACAATACAATTTAATTACAGAAAAAAACTGAGTTTTTTTTTTTTTGAAAGATTCTTTTATAATATGAATAAATTAGTCAATAACATAAAATTTTTTTTTTATATATGATAAGGTTACATACATATACACACATTTTGTTTTCCTTTAATAGTACATGATCTCAGAAAAGTTACAATTTCCTTTTTCTTTATCTTTCGATCTTTAAGCTTTTACACATTATAAGTGAGTATACTTTAATACAAACATGAAATATAACATAAAGTTTATATAGATTGCTAATTATTTAAATTTGTTTATCTCTCATCATAAATAAGTAATCCAACAAATATCTATGTGTAGTGCTATAAGGATTAACAAATATCATTCTCGAACAGAATTTTATTTGTATTAGACACATGAAAAATAACATAAAAGTTTATATAGATTGTTAGATATTAAAATTTATTTATCTCTCATCATAAATAAATAATCGAACAAATATCTATGTGTAGGGCTATAAAATTTAATGAGTAACATTCTCATACAGAATTTTATTTGTACGAGAAACATGAAAAATAACAAAAAGGTTTATATTGATTGCTAATTATCTAAATTTGTTTATCTCTCATCATAAATAAATAATCCAACAAATATCTATGAGTAGTACTATAAGGATTGATGAGTATCATTCTTGAACAGAATTTTGTTTGTATTAGACACATGAAAAATAACATAAAAATTTGTATAGATTGTTAGTTATTTAAATTTATTTATCTCCCATCATAAATAAGGAATCCAAGAAATATTGACTTTATAGTACTATAAAGTTAGATGAGTACTAAATGCCAAACAAAATTCTGTACGAGACTAAGCATCAAAATGATCACAAAGCATTAGCATGAGTCAGACAATAGCACATAAAATATAAAACAAAACATCATGAGAATGAGCAAACTCAAAAGACTAAATTTATCTATTAAATTTAATTAAGATATTATTAATATACAGATATTAATAAAATATAATAACATTTTAACATTAAGATTAAATTTATATTTATATTAAAAGACTGCATTCAGTCAATAAGCCACTATATATATTTATAAACATAAATATGCTTTAATTTACAGCAAGTATCTAATACTGGGTAGTGGCATTTTGATGATTGCAGTTAGTGCAATTACGATCTGATATAGGAATGTCTGGGTCAAATATTCTGGTACTCAACTTATGTAAAGAACTCTAACTTTACTATTGCTAAGTTGATGGTAAATTTTGTTTATTATATTTAAAAAAAAATTATTACAGTCATGGATTGAAGAGTTGCTGTAATATAAATAAAATCACAAACCAGTAGGATTTCCAGGACTGCCTTCGTAAGAAGAAATTTTAGGAGGACCGATTCTTGGAACTCTTCGAATCCTGCTTCTATCTTCACTGTTTTGAATTACAGCTATGTAAAAAAAATTTTTTTTTAATGGAGTTAAGAGAGACAATGCATCAAGATAATAACTTACAAAACAAAACTTTAACAAAGCATAAAAAATAATACAACTNATCTTACAATTCCAACACTGCTCAAAGGCTTTGGTTGGTTGATTTTTAAATTAACAACAATTGCATAGAATAAAAGATAAATTAATGCACACCATGGTTTTATTAAGAAAAATTAAATTTTCAAAATGAACTTATGGAGTACATAATATGAAAAAACATATATATTTGTTTTTAGACTATTCAATATGCTTTGAAGTAAATTTAAAATAATCCATATTTTTTGTGTCAATATTTGTAAGATATCCATTAGAGTAACTTCTTTAAGACTTTTCAATTCTCTAATTTTTATCTAATTTCAGTAAAAATTTCATAGCTAGTAAATCATTCATGTTGTTTTTAATAAACCTACAATATTTTTAAATTAAATAATAGGAAAACAGCATCAATGCAGAAAAAATCCAATGTGCAACAGAAACTGCATAAACTATTCACATGTTTAATTTGTAAGGAAATTGAGTTTGCATATCACAAAAGCATCGCTTTGAAGCACACACAGTTTATAAAAAAGAGAGAAAATATCAAAAATCTATCACAACGAAATCAATATTCATTTGAGATCTTTTTTCCTAAATCAGAATCTTTTTTTCTTCCTTCCAATTCTGAATTTCCTATAACATTCCTTGAATAAGGAGTCAATGGTACATCCAAATTTCACTTAACATTCTTTGAATAAGAAGTCATGGTATACTCGAATTTCCCATAACATTCCTTGAAGAAGGTGTCAATGGTACAGCCAAATAATTTCCCGTAACATTCCTTGAATAAGAAATCAATGGTACATTCAAATGTCTTTATTCTAAAGCTACTGAAATTTTGCATTTTTCTTAAATATGAATCAATGGTCTACATTTAAAGTCTTTCTAAAGCACTAGGCTTAATATAGCTCTCTCTCCTCTTTTGCCTTGAAATGGTAAAACTTAGATGATGGTTGTTAATAGGTAATTATATTGAATTGAAATCAAGCAATGCCCAGGGAAAAATTATCAACAAATATTGCTTTTCTATGTCACTTTCAAAACATCAAAGTTTTAGAAAACAAAATTATGATATCGCTGTAGGTGAGTTGGTGAAGAGGAGTTTCAGCACAAACACAGGAAAATAATTTTCAACGTGAATTAAAATTTTTTATGATGAAAAGTTTGAATAGTATCCTGAATCTTAATAATTCTTCTTCATTTTATGCGTTAAAAATTTAGAATAAATTATTATTCTGACCATCCTTTTTATAATATAAATGCTTCATTTTATTGTACTCAATTTCCTCCTAATTTATGCACTGAATTAAATGACAATATATATCTACACATAAATTCATCTGGTTCAACTTGTTTATGCTTACATTAATAGGTGTATAAAAAATGACCATAGATTCGAAAGAGCAATTAAAAGGAAAATGGAAGGAGGTAGAAATGCGTGATTTGGTGCCGCAAATCCATAATGTATTACCAAAACTACTTACTATTCAAAACTACTTACAAAGTTGGTAAACAAATGCAACATCCAAATAATAAAAACAATGCATACTAAATACGTGCAGCATCAATATGGCGCTGCCCGAGAACAAATTTAAAATGTATCCGAGCAAATCTTTCATTTGAAAAGGTCTGACATGGAGCAGAAAACATTGTTTTCCAGTCAGCTGTATCACCTGTTAATGAATAACGAATGAAACTAATTTTTAAATTCACTCTGAAAGAATTCTTTGTTAAGTAAGCAGAAACAGTACATTTTTTTAATTCATTCTGTCAAATCATCAATCATTCATTATTGAAATCATCAATCAAATCATTATTGAAACACTTTGTAACTACAATACGACTAGAATATAAAAATTTAGAATACTGAAAAGGTATTCAGTTATTGTAATAATCAAATAGTAATTTCAAATACAACAGAAAATAAAAACGAAAGTGAATCGTACCTTAGCAAGCATTTCTCCATCATAATAATACCGTAGTGCTCTACTTAGTTTTTCATAGTTCATAGTGGGTTTGTTTTTCCTCTGACCCCAAAGTTGAGCCACTACTTCAGGATTAATCAATTTAAATTCTCCATCATTGTCTACCCACTGAATATAGTCTCTGTAATCTTTATCAGTCAAGAGTTCAAGTAGAAACTGCCAGAGTTGTATTTGACCATTGCTTCCTAATGATGATTAAAAATTGATGTTAATGAGAATGATTTATTAATTCTAAAAGTATTTTAAGAAAATAATTTTATCTTTTTAATATTTTATAATTTAGTTTTCTGGCCATTCTACTTGTTAAGACGATACATTTTACCTCAAACTAAAGCAAACATAATACAATTTAATTACAGAAAAAAAACAGCTTTTTTTTAGAAAGATTCTTTTATAATATGAATAAATTAGTTAATTACATAAATTTTTTTTTGTTATAGGTGATAAGGTTATATATACATACATTTTGTTTTTCTTTAATGGTACATGATCTCAGAAAAGTTACAATTTCATGTTTCTTTATCTTTCGATCTTTAAGCTTTCAAATTTTGAGTGAGTATACTTTATTACAAATATGAAATACAACATAAAAAATTATATAGATTGTTAGTTATTATAATTTATTTATCTCACATCATAAATAAATAATCCAACAAACATCTATGGAGTGCTATAAAATTTAATGAGTACCATACTCGTACAGAATTTTTTTCACATGAGAAACATGAAAAATAACAAAAAGGTTTATACCGATTGCTAATTATTTAAATTTGTTAATCTCTCACCATAAATAAATAATCCAACAAATTTCTATGAGTAGTACTATAAGGATTGACGAGTATCATTCTTGAACAGAATTTTGTTTGTATTCGACACATGAAAAATAACATAAAAGTTTATATAGATTGTCAGTTATTTAAATTCATTAATCTCTCATTATAAATAAGGAATCCAAGAAATATCAACTTTATAGTACTATAAAGCTTGATGAGTACTAAATATCAAACAAAATTCTGTACGAGATCTAGGGTCAAATTGTTCACAAAGCATTAGCATGAGTCAGGTAATAGCACATAAAATATAAAAAAACATCATGGGAATGAGGAAACTCAAAAGATTAAATTTAATTAAGATATTATTAATAAACAGATATTATACATATACAATTACAGTCATGGATTGAAGAGTTGCTGAAATATAAATAAAATCACAAACCAGTAGGATTTCCAGGACTGCCTTCGTAAGAAGAAATTTTAGGAGGACCGATTCTTGGAACTCTTCGAATCCTGCTTCTATCTTCACTGTTTTGAATTACAGCTATGTAAAAAAAATTTTTTTTTAATGGAGTTAAGAGAGACAATGCATCAAGATAATAACTTACAAAACAAAACTTTAACAAAGCATAAAAAAGAATACAACTATGTGACCCCTACAACTATGACAATAGGAAATATTGTTCTCTATCTTTGTTCTCCCTAAGCATTTTTAGAAAGACAGCCTACCGTTTGATCCCTATAAAAAAGACTCCTTGCTTTATCTGTAAAATAAGCCATCAACCATTAAAAAACACTGCCTTTCTATTTTTTTTTCTTCAGGAAAAAGTTATTTTTTCATAACCACCTATTTTAATGAAAAGTCTGTTTTACAAAAATGATTTTTCTCTTGTTGTCTAGTTATATAGTTAAAATTCGCACAATATTCGGCCCAAGTGATATTCAAATCTTTTATTTGAGGGTACATAAATGAGTTCTCTAATGACTTTAAATTTCACTATTATTGTTTTTTTCAACAAGTAAATACCTTTTATTTAAAATTGCCCCTTTAAATTTTTATTTTTTCAAAAATTTTAGTTTAAAATACAAAAAAAAAGCTTTCAAGTTGTTTATTAATTAATTCTTTTTCATTTTTTTTCAATTTACTTTTAAAAAAAATAAGACACAGAGATTGTCTTTTAGTATTCCTTAATTATTTTTTAAAAACTTACAAATTTTCTTTTATTTTGATAGAGAATTACTTTTTGGTGAAATATACACATAAAATAGTATAAGAGGGTAACTTAAAAATGGAGGATCAAAGTTATAACTTAATATAAAACATTTTGATAAATTTAATGGTAGTAAGTGAGTGCCCTTTCAAAACTCAAAGTGCCTTTTCTGTGAGAAAGCACAGTCCTTTTTTATTGCTAGGGAAAACTTAAATTAATTATAATTCAAATTTACAATTATAATTAAACAAAATTTTTTGAGTTTAGGACTTTTGACGGTATTAAGTTTGCACTTTCTTCACACATTTTTAAAGAAACATTGGTGATTAAATATTTATTAATTTATTTTAATTTATGTGAGAAAAATGTATGATTTGCTACACCAGACTGGTCAGATTAAAAACAAGAATAAATTAATGATCACAAAACATTTTTGAAGAAAAAAGAATTTCAAACTTACTTAGGGAACTATTTAATCACATTTTCTATAGAACATAATGCATGTTTAATGACCTTACAAAAAACTCCCATATAATTTTCTAAGCACAAAATTTTTGCCTTATATTTAATTACTATTTTGCTCAGGATCTTAACTGTTGGTTGATTAGTAAATTAAATTACGTTAAAAAATATTCTAAAACAACAAAATAAAACAAACTTAACACTTATTCAAGATATAAAAGTCTTCTTCTTTTTTTTTAAAAAAAAAGAAAGAAAGAAAGAAAATATATTTTTTAAGATGCATATTTTTTAAACTTTTTCTTAAACTTTCTTATTGTGTTAGAAAGAAATCTACAACATCAATTTAAAATACAGTAAAGTTACAAATGATTTCTATCAGATCAGAAAATAAGGAAAAGTGTTATTTTTTGCAAAAGTTTAATTTTGTTATTTCGTATTAATACAATGAAGCTAAAATAATATTTACATTTGTGCCAAGCTCAATATAACGCTTTAGTTTATTCCCATTTTTCTTTAATTTTATTTTCTGAAAAGGATTCTATTAGTTGGTAATACAGATAAATAGAGTTAAGAAAAATGAATTTTAATCTTTTTACACATTATTTTGGGACAATAAAATTACAAGCTGATTTATAATTTTTTAGTTTCAGACATAACCTTGAACTAATAAAAATTAAAAGAAATATATATCTATTTACAACAAAGATTTAAAAAGTAAACCTAAAATTATGATAAATTTTATAAAAAGTAGTTTCTCCATCAAACACATTATTCATTTGCAATCTAAAATATCTTTTATAATAAACAAATGTATCAATGAAAAACAATTAAGAGTGATAGTTTTCAAACAATAGAAAACAAAACAAAATCTAAAAATATTATAAAGTACATTTTTACATTTTAAACTAATAAAACCTAAGTGAAATTTATAAATCGATGGAAAATAAAGATAAACTACCGATATAACAAAATTTTTCCATATAGAATTTCTATAAAACTCTAAAAGAAAAAAAAACATCCTTACCAACAATTTTAAACTTTCTCAATAATTCTAAATGAGTCCAAAACATATCATTAGCATCAATATTTAATCTTGCTTTGAAGTCTTCCATGGGGAATGTCATAAGTTCTTTGCCTGTTAAACTCCAGGCACGCATCCCATGCTTTGAAACTTTAAAATGTGACGTTGCCCAGTCAAACCATAATTTAACATGATCTTCAGTCCAAGCTGAAGGATCTAGAAATATTTAAATGAATTATAAATACTCATTATTTAGAAGGAATGCTTTTTTTTTAATTGGATAGTAATTTATTTGAGAAAAAAACTCAACAAGTTTTCAGTACTGCGTTTCTATTATTTACTATTACAGTTAATATGCAATAAATGTTAATCGTGGAAGTCAATGATTTTTTATAAATGATAAAATAATGTATTTTTACAGTCAATAAAATGGTACAAATTTATTTTAACTATTATATTAATAACTACGAATTTTAAATGACTTGAGATGTTTCTATGATTGAAATTAAATTAGCATAGCAGTAAAATGTTTTCATTACACTTTTAGATTTATAATTTTGTATTGTAATAGAAATTTAATTCATTTTAGACTTGTTATAAAATATTCCCTCTAATTAATTTAAAAAGACAATTAAAAAAAACTAACAATGTTTACAAAAAGAAAAGCTTCAAATGAACTGCTATAGATGAAGCTTACTTCATTATTTAGCAATAATATTTGTTTAAATACTCGAGCAGGCAATAAACAGAATAAAAAGTTTATTTTTATACAGATTTTTTTCCAAAATATTTCTCAAATTTAATGAATTTTTTTTAAAAAATAAAAAAATCTGTAGAATGCTGGATTTAACGATAACCTAGAGAAACTAGCATAATTTACAGTTTACTGGAAAATTAAATAGAGTTGACAGCTTTGAGAAAGGTATAATGCTCAAACATGGAAATCCTCCCATCACCCTTTTGACAATATTAAAAAGAGAAAGAATCCATACATGACACATACATCTATGAGCCTGCTTCCCAAAATACGATTTTTGTTATTTTCAAGTCGGGAGTCAAAAATAAAGGTAAGTTAGGAAGGACAGTAGAGAAAAATATTATATCAATCCTATCAAATTAGAGTTATCTCAAATTTAATTTATAGATAAAAAGTACATAAATAAAGCTTAATAAGGCACTTATTATTTTAAAATTTAATAAACAAATTCTATGTTGTGAGGAACTAATTTCTCATATAAGATACAATTTGATCAATCAAATATTTTTTTCCAAACAAGCTTGGTTTAGCTTTTATTAAGCCCTCTTAAATATGGCATGTGGTGGATTTTAGCATTACAGATTTTCGAGGAAAATTTTCAGATTTTAAATTTATTATTTAAGTTAAACCAAAAATAAGCCCAGATTAAAGATTATAATCAAACAATCAGCCTAGATAAAGGATTTTAAAAATAATGCTTACCATTAGAAATTTGGCACCTTTCTTGTAATTTTCGAAAAACTGGTGACATTATCCATCGAGTCACTTGTGAATCAGTTGGTGACTCTCGAGTCTTAGACTGAGAAGATGATTCAATGTAAGTGCTGTCCCCAAGGAGAAATATACGAGGCGAACCTTGAAGTAGAAAATAAAACTCAAAATTTGTTTAAACATGAAATATCTTTTATTACATATCTTGTATATCTTTAAAGTATACCTTCGCCAGATACAGATGCAGATATTGGTATTTCTTCAGCTGGTTTCAACACATCAACAATGTTTAATTTCTTTACATCTGTGAAAATATGCCAATTTTTACAGAATGACAACATAACAAACAATAAGAATTAAAAAGAGAAAATTTGCAGAAGCTTATTTGAAAAGAAAAAAAATTCTACTAAAGCATGCTATTCAAAATACTGAGTAGCTCAACGTTTTTTTCTTTCTTTTTTAATATATAAGTACTATGTAAATTGATGTGAGGTACCAAGAAAATTATTAAAAAATTGAATTCATTTTGAAAAAGAGTATTATTTCATTTACATAATGATTTTAAAATACTGACACGTACCTTTATTTATTTATTTTGAAATCAATTTGCATTTGTATGAGGAATGGTTGGCAAGATCTAAATTTTATTTAATTACAGTCTCTAACATTTTGTAAACTACAAAAATAATAAAATTTCAAAAAAAAAAAAAAANGTCTTTCTCAAAAAAAAAAAAAAAAAACATTTATAGACATAGATCAAGTTGTAATTTGTTTAATTTTGTTGAAAAGGAACAGGGAATCAACTTTCACCGAAAATAAACTTACTTAACATTTTAATGGGAAATCACTTCTCATTGGAAACGGGATTTTTAAACTAAAAAAAAAAAACTTTAAAATATTTCAAATAAAGAATTGACAATTTTTATTTAATTTAATGTAAAAAAAAATAATTTTTTAAAATTAGTCCATTTTGCACTAAAATCAACATTTTTAGTTGTATTTAAAATAATAAAATTAAAAAGATGATATTTCGCACTATATGTATTGTTAAATGTCATGAATTATTATTGTTGCCATGTGAAAGATAGTTCGCCAATTGTGGGGACCATTTTGCGTGATGTTATGTTCTATGATGATCATCCTGTGATAAAACAATGGATATTCATTAAAAAAAATTTAGTTTTGATATTGTTAAATATTCAATAAGAACCAGGATAAATTAAAATACATCAATAGTAAATTCTACAGTCCATTCTTAATTCTACATGCATAATTTAAAATATTTTCAGACAAAGTAAGAAAACGTCCATGGATTATTATTAATTTGAATTCAGCTACGTTAAAACCTAGTTCAGAAATAGGGGAAAAAATAACAAAATTTTCAAATCTACAGCAGATGGAAATCTTTTCCGATTTTTTTGCATGGGAAACTTGGACAATTATTCTAACTGTGCTTATTAATTTTGTACTCAGTAAAAATTAGATGTCTGTGACATCGAAGTATAATACTTGGTAATGTAATTTATTAAAAAAAAAAAATGCAATCCAAATTTTTATATTGAATCAAAGACAAAAAATATAAATCTTTGCTCAAACTTTAAAAAAAAAAAAAGTATGGTTGTTATAAATATAATCATTCAAATTTTAACGTTCAATATAAAAACACATAACACATTGATCTAAATTTTTTTTTCTGTTCGAAGCTTCTTTGCTACATATGCATATTCCAGACAAAGAATATGGAAAGGAGAAGTACAGTTCTCTAAATATGTAACTAAGATAGAAAACTGCTCAGTACAGGTGGCTGTACTAGAAAAACAGCTTACAATGTGAACTACATACTCAGATTTAGCATAGCATTATATGTACTAAACTAAACTAAACTCAGTGGCGCGACAGCCCATAGTGGGCCAAGGCCTACTGTGCCCATCTCAGTTTTCTTGACCTTGGGCTCTGGGGTTCAGGAGCAGATGTTCTGGTTAGGTGGTCAGACGAACGTGGAACCCCCAGTGTTTAGTTCCCAAGCATGCTTGGTACTCATTTATCAACCCACTGAAGGGATAAAAAGGCTGAGTGAACCTTGCCCGGCCCGAGGATCGAAACCAGGACCTGTGGCACGGGAGCGCGAAGTGCTACCACTCAGCCACCAGGCGTCATTATATGTACTAAGCCTCCCATTATTTTATTCCATCTCAAAATGTGTTGGGAGATATAATCAACCAGAATTATATAAATGAATTCTAAAAGAAATATTTTAAATAGAACAGTACTGTTAAGAATCAGTTAAAAAAAAAACATTTCTTCTCCCCCCAACCCTAGCAGCGGTTAGGGGAAAGGTGTGTGAAACCCATTTTATGAAAAATCTCCGTTACTCTGCCCCTAAATGTTGCTTTTTCCTTTATACTCAGTGACTGTACTAAATCTTTGAGAACTGTTATACATTACAGCTTTAGAAACTGGCCTTCTTTACTTTTTTACATTCTCTGTTTAGAATGCCTGATATGTAAAGTGAAAAATGGAAAAATTTTTTATCAGGGTGGGCAGTCAAATCGTTTCACAAAAAATAAGCACCTTTAAAGTACTTTTTAAGCACTCAAAAAAAATTTTTAAGCACTATATACTTTAACAAAATGCAAAATTATTTTCAAAGACATTACATGTTTATGATAAAATAACTACTAGTTTCTGACAAAAAACTCTTTTTTTTTTATTATATTAGCTATCATAAAATGATCAAGAGATGTTTCAGTTCGATATCACAGGGTGGAATATGAAGCTTGAAATTGAGAATATCTTGCAAAATGCAGCAGAGTTGCACATGAGAGAGCAAGAATCTCACCAAACCCAGCTCAGTAGGTGGACTCATATTTCATCAAATTAAGTAAAACGATTAGCTCTTTCATATGCTACTGATCCACGGTACGCCGAAATGGATTGTGGTTGAATGAATTGAGAAAACGTTGAATAGAACAGTGTGAAAAGCATGCTTTTGCATAATACATGGCAAAAATAGACATGGTAAAGAAAAAAAAAGTCCTTTTTCAATAATGGAAAATTCAGCACTTTTTAAAACACGCAATGAAAAAAGCACCTTTAAGGACTTTTAAAAAACGAAAATCGAGAATAAGCACCTTTAAGCAGTTTTTAAAAATGCTATGCACCATGTTTATTAGTTTTTTGATGTCCCTTTGAAAATTGTGGCTCTTCAGGATACTGCACCAAACGATTTAAGCTTTATCATCGATATGTTTATTCTAATCTATTAAATGCTAATTTTATTTTCTAGCAAATTAAAACAATTGAACAAAATTTTAAATCACAAATTCATACCATCTTTCTCAAATATTTCCACATTAATTTGAACCAAACCTTCCCCTTGTACACATTGGTTAACCAAATTTTTTGTAGCATCCAACTAAAAATAGAAGATTAGATTTTTTTCAGCACATAGAAATGAATTATAAAGAAGAAAAATATAAAAATGATAATAAAAAATATTAACATAAAAGCTCTACACCATTAAATTATAATTAAAGTTGTAGAGTGGGTAGATCGAATATTCTAGTTAGACTTGTGACTTTTCTGAAACTTAAATTCTCTAAAAAATTTCACCTTATTACAAGAAGATTCTTTAGTGAATATTCCTGAATTAGGAAGCTATTATGAGTATAATATTAAATTAATTCAGATTATATATTTAATAAGTATGGTTTAGAAATTTTAAAATCAGAAAATAATTTATTACTAATTCATTTATATTATATTGATTTTTCAGTTTAATAATTGCCTGTTTTTGTTCAATAATTCAATGAAACATAGGCTCAAAAACATTCAATTGTAATAAATAAATTTTGTGATAAGATGAAATTATTAGATATAATAATTGTCATAATATTTGTTTGAGTAATATTTTTGCTGACATTATTATAAATATTTGTCTAAATAATTTTATTAGATAAAAGACTTTGTTTAACATATGTCTCAATATCCAAATAATACGCAGTCTAGCAATCTTCTCTGACTCTTTGAATTCTGAATCTTTGTAAATGAAGAGATAATACTTTTACCTCCTGCGCATCTTGCAAAACAAACTTGAAATCTGAAAGGTCTTTTCGTGTTTTCTGCTCAAGAAGAGATCTGAGATGATTCAAGGGTTCTACTATATCCATAAACTCTACATGAGCCTCTACATACATATTATATATCGAATCTAATGTCACACTGAAAATAAACAGAAAGAATCATATTTTAATAGGAATAAAATTAGAAAAAAGGAATTTAAAAAAAAAGATTAATGAATACCTTGAACTCTCCTGAGTCATTTGAGTTTCGCTAACTTCTTGAGATACTTCTATACTACATTCAGGTGTAGTTTCTATAACATTTTCAGACATGTGTACTCTATCAACATTTAAGGCACATGTTTGACTAGGTGACACATTAGACACCTTAGCTTTTTTCTCTTCTGGTTCATCAGGATTGTCTGTTTCACTCTCCCGCTTCATTACAGTGAATATCTAATAAAAAAGTGAACAAAATTAGAAAATAGCAATGAAAATACTCTTTAAAAGTTTATTTAAATTACATACAGTGCATTTGTACTTTGTTACATTAAGCATATTAAAAATTAAGTTAGATGAAAAATTGTTTCACAGGAAAGCTCTATTTTCAAAGAATAATATATTTCTTCTAAAATAGTTTTAACAAATTAGTAATGAAAAATTCTCTTTAAAAGTTTCTTTAAATTAAATACAGTACATTTCCACTTTAAATTTGTTATATTAAACATTTTAAAAATTAAGAGAATGAAAAATTGTTTCATAGGAAAGCTCTATTTCCAAAGAATAATATATCTCTTTTAAAACAGTTTTACTACTTAGATTTGAACAAGATGATATGCTACAAATTGTCTAATAAATATTTAGTTTTTATTACTTAGATTTAAACAATATGACATGCTAAAAAATGTTTCATTCAAGCAAATACTTTGTTAAATTCAACTGTGATGGCTCAGAGGTTAAAGTACTAAACTGTCATTGTGATAGACTGGGGTTCGGTCCTCAGTGGTAGCTTGAATCCCACATAGCGCCAGATCGACGGGTACCAGCTTGTCTGGTACCCATCGATGCTGACTTTTTGCATCACACAGACACAGTGCTGACCACATTACCACAAGTATGTCGTTGGTAAGGAAACTGTGGTGAACTACTTTTTTAACTGCGAACAACTAATTTTTATTCGGTAAAATTTTATAATTGACCGGATGGGGCCGGGATAGCCTGGTTGGTAGAGCATTGGGCCCTTGTCTAGGATGTCGTGGGTTCGATCCCCACCGGCCGAAGACTCCCCATGTAGTAAATGGTGATTGATGCGAGTTAAATCTGTCAAGTCACAAAGTCCTCCATGTTCCAATAACAAATCATACCTCTGAGAGTACTTATCCAGGAGTTTCCTTGCCTTCTGGATTAGTTCAAAATTATAAGACTATGGAATTGAACACTAGATGTTATAAACTCAAAAAAAATTTGAGTTGGCTGTTTAACGACGGATATAGAAAAAAAAGTGATTGGAAGGTGGGTATAACTTTAAAAATCTCTTAAGTTTAGACAAATGAAAAAACTTCGTCTGAATCTCCAATTTAAATTCAGCTAAATAAAAACCATATTGAGAAATAACAACTTGCAAGCATGTAACAGATATAATAATCTTTCTTAATTTTTTTTAGTGAAATTTAAAAAACTATAAAACTTTTGACATAATTTAACTGTTTAATTTTAAATCTTTTACATTTTATAACCAGCAAAAATTGGATACCTTTAGAAAATTAATGGCCAGTTAACTGATTTCTGGTGGTGATGGGAGGGGGGGGGGGTTATGAGAAATATCTCAANAAAAAAAAAAAAAAAGTGGAATTAAACGAAAATTTAGTACAAATCTCGCAATTCTCAATTTTGTTAATGACGTTAGATGTTTAGCATTAGTTATTAATATGGAAACATTCCCTTTTATTCCAGTTTTTTGGGAAAATTACAGTATTGTGATTTTCGGAATTCAAGTTTCAAATCTCCCATTTGGTGCCTTATAGACATGCGTTTGGCATGACAGATCACGATACGTAAATATCCCCAGTTTTCTACCGCCTCTCCCCAGATTTTAGCGACTTTCTCGGCGTAGGTACTGATACGGAAATCTCAGAATCAAAAAGTTCAATCCCTTCAAATAATTTTTATCTATTTATTCCCCTAATAGTGGTTTATATTAATATCAAATATATTGGAGGAAAATTTATTAACATTTCAACTATGAGAAAATTTCAATTTTTCTGACCTTTATTCTTCTTTTCTTTCAATTTTAATGATTTTTTACAAAATTTTGCGGAGAACGTAAATAATACTTTAAAAAATTTATAAACAAACAAGACCAAACCGGAAATAACGAATGTCATTTAAACCGGATGTTAAGTTTAAATGCCTTAAGTAATTAATTTTAAATNATTAATATATTTAAATAAATCCAATATAATGTTAATAAATAATTTAGTTTTTAAAAATTCTGTGAAAAATTTTATACGCTTTAAGGAAAAAAGAAATAATGTTCTTTTATTTTTAAATTTTTTGTTGTTGGTGAAACAATGATAACCCATCAAACAATGACAACCCATTACCAATTTCACATACCCAGGTAGAAAAGCATAACTTATAGCTATTGTACCGATGAATTAGTTTCTGTAAAGTGCGCGATAGCTCTGAGGCTATCTTACCGATAGTCGGTGTAATAGACACTGCCTTTGGGTTTGTTTTTATTTTGTCCTTATGAGAATTTAATTTATTTTTTAATTTAAGCATTTATTAATGAAACTTTTTCTCGAAAAATGTTGTTGTCTTAAAATCCATTAAACTTAGATTTAAATCCTAATTATTTTAAATCTCAAATTAAAAACTATCTTCAGTGCAAGAGTTTAAAAATGTCTAAAGACAATGATGATGCCGTTCTTGGAGATGATGAAGATGTAAACGATCGGGAATTTGAGAACAATGGACACAAACCTGAAAAAATGTTTACTTTAAAAAAATGGAATGCAGTTGCTATGTGGAGTTGGGATGTTGAATGTGATACTTGTGCTATTTGTCGAGTTCAAGTCATGGGTAACTTTATTTGCATTCTTCACTAATAATTTTGATTTCTTTATATTTTTTTATAAAGTAGCTTACAAGGGAAGATTTCCGTATCCTGATCTGTGGCACAACTATCGAATTCAAAAATTACCAAGACTTGGCAAATTTCCGGGCGGCGCCTTCGAGAAAAAAAAGAAAAACATCACAAAAGAGGGCCAATGCGAAGGGTATAATTCGTAGCCTCTGTCGAATATGCTTTAAAAAAAAAAAAATTACAAGTTTAAAACCCATTTGACGTCTCGGCAATTTTAGTTGACGCAACAGATCACAATACGAAAATATCCTCACACGCATTTATTAATTTTATTTAAGACCAACCTTTATTATATATATAATATGAGTAGCACTTGATTTATTAAAACTAATTATTATTATTTTTTGGTCGTACATTGAGTGCAACAGGAAATCTCTTTACGAATTGTAAAAACAGTGTAAAAAGTATATTTATATAACATAAAACAGAAATAAGATAGTCTTGATATAATAATGGGATACTTAGAGAAATTAAGGATTATGGGCAGATACTATTTGATGCTTTACAAGGAGCACTCTCAATTAAAACTAATAAATGAAAAAAGGAATATTTTCGTATCACGATCATGTCCAAAGTAAACACCAAATCTTGGCCTCTTCTGAACAGTGAGTGACCTGCAAGAAGAAACTAACGAAAGACATCATAGAACGACGCGAAGAGTACAACTCGCAGAAATTGAAAAGAAAAAAATAACATCACAGAAGAGAATGAATTGAAAGGTATAACACGTAGCTATCCCCGCCAAATCTCTACATGTTTCATTTCTTTTTTAAAATAATTGAATGTGAGTTAATTCATTTTCCCGAGTTTTGAATGCAAATATGTGACTTGCCTTATTCTAATCTGTAATTGAGATATTGTTGAAAAATGTTATGAAACTTGCTGCTAAGAAGCCATAAGATAAAACACTGTTATTACAATAATAAAATTTTTTATAAATAAAAAATTTGGGAACTTATCCGATTTGGAGGCAATAAAAAAACACCGAACTATTATTTCTCTGTTTTATGTTAATAGTTACCTAATATACCTCAGCTATATTTCATAGATACATAGCAGCTGACATAGTTATTAGGAAATCTTTTTTACAGATTGGATAAGTTCCCTCCTCGAAATGAATTTCAGTACCAAATTTTTGAACCAGTTATTTGTGTTTATTTTTTTAAAAATTGATTGTCTGTTAAAAACTTTTCTAGATGCTTGTTTAAGATGTCAAGCTGAAAACAAACAGGATGATTGTGTTGGTAAATATATTTATTTTATATTGTCTAATCATATTAATCATTTCAATTTTAATGTAAGTAGTAATTTTTCTGTAATTCTGTTAATGTATTCTTTTTATGTAATTCTGCTAATTTATTAATTTTTTCTGTAATTTTTTCAGTTAATTTATTTATATGGCTTCTCCTATAATTGTTCAATAATTTCTCCATGTAAAGTTTAAAAAAAAAGGACTGTTTTTTAGTTCATTAGTCTTACTCATTTATCATCTATTTAAATTATATCAATTCTGTAATAATGTAATGTTTGACAAAAATAAGGGTATATTTATCATTTTAAAGTGTATCAATAATTTTTTTGCATTGCATATTGTTTTCTTTTTAATCAATTTTTCAGAAAAGTATGTTGAGTTACTTTTATACATTTTTCTTCTTCATTTGTCTCAAAAAAAATATATTCCTAATATCTTTATAGTTTTCCTTCTTTTTCATTGGAATGGGTAGATTTTATAATTACGGGCCTGTCAACTTTCTATCACTGCCTTGTGGGAAAATATCTTCTAGTTAAAAGTTGATAATGTGTATTGATAACAACCTAGAAGTTCATATTTTAATCTATGATCCTTTGTTTTGTAAATTTGATTTAAAATTATTTTCCACACTACTACATGTAAATGATTCATTTATATAAAAGACCACTTTATTCCAACTCTCACATGGTGAAGCTTTTAAAATGTTGGCAAAATTACCAAAAAATCTGTATGGTGATGTGCTCCATAAGAAAGATATTTTGCAAAAAGCATAGTAGTTCGTTGCCCTGTAATTATTGTCTGTAAGTTCTGCCTTTAAAAAAAATGTTCTTTATCTTTTCATGATTTCAACTTTTGTTCTAAAAATATACTGCTGCTTTTGCAAACACTACTAAATTCTATTTTCTTTATTAATCCTAAATGAGAATAAATTATTAAGAAAACTCTATTGTGTAAAATTAAATTATTGGTTCTCATTTTATAGTATAAGTTTTTTTTTTAAATTTTTCTTTGCTGGACATGAGCTAGAATGTTGTTTTTAAGACACTGGTAATAATCATGATGCATAAAAATGCAGCAACTTTTAGCATTGAAAAGAAAATTTAAAAAATTGTTTTAATTATTAAATCTTCAATTATTTGTGTATCTTCGGTTTTCCTTTGCAATGAGAAACTGTAAATTATTAAATGTAGAATAAGTTAAAGAATTCTTTACCTCATACTCAAAAAATAAACTAATATTTTTTGAACCAAAGAATTCATAGTTCTTTATAACAATGTAGCATTTAATATTATTAAATAATTGTGAACAATAGGGATTGTCTGGCTCATATGTTTCTGCATTACTTTTTTTTTTAACCCTACAATAGGAAAGAGTCCTAAGACCTAAGAAGTGGCTTAGTTTTGTTACGCAACATTAAAATAGTTAACAACAGAAAAGTTTTTAACTTAATGAAGATACAACAATGTATAATTAAAATCTATATAGTTCTATGTCAAACAGGAAGGTTCCGCAGTGGACTGATTGTTAAGACACTGTTCCCAGCAGATCATCGAAGTCAAGCATCACTGACTGCGGCCAGTGTGCAGGTGGGTGACCACTTGGATTAGTCTGCGTAGGGACTGAGGGTGTGCGATATTGGTCCTCGTTAAACTGTTCTACCCTTAAGTGCTCGACTTCGTGTGCAGGTCGTCGGACTACCGAAGCGGGGGTGCCATCCCCTCTGCAGAGGATCAAAATTGTGATGGCATGTCTTCGGATCATCCTCAGGGATGTTTCCCAGACCGTCGCCAATAGCCCATTGTGCAGCTCTAGTGCGACGTAAATGAACCAATCAATCAGTCAAACAGGAAGGGCAGATTCTGCCATTACTCAAATTCCATTAGTCTTTTCAAATTAACCTGAAATGGGTGGCAACATTCATGACTTGATAATAATTTTTAGATTTACTGTACCTACTTGCATTGTGTACTGTAAAAAAAATTGATTTATTTATCTCTTAAACGTAATAAAATAAAAACGTAATGACAGTTGCAAACAAAAAAAATATTGTGGTGAAGAAACAAGTGGTTTAAAATGCTAAAAAAATGGATAAAAAATATTGAACGTCAATATTTTTGAAAGAAATAACCCTGTAATTTTTTTTAGAAACCTTTTAAACTTAAACAAAATTTTTCACTGGAATAGTTTAGTGACAGTTTAGGGAAGTTAGAATGTTACAGTAACTCTGTAACATACAATAATGTTGTATGTATTATTTTGTATTGTTCATTCAGCTGTAAAATATCTCCTTCTAGTTAAGATAATTTGTTTGACATAAATAAAAAAATATGAAATTAAGCAAATTTTTAATTTATAGTCTAATTTTTTAACAATTAGTTTCTGCATAACACTAATTTCAGTTTTGTCTTAAGTTTACTAATGAGTTCTGTGTGAAACTGTACAAAAATTTCCCTGCTTTGCACTACTTTCGTATTGAATATTATGAGAAAACCCGGTTTATGGCCTGCCACTAAAAAGTTTGAAGAAGCTGTGACTAACACTTAGAGGGTTGCATATTCTTAAACTATGAAGTTTTTTTACAAACTGCATGGTGTTATAAATAGTGGAAGCACATCTTGTCTTCACTCTTCAATTATATTTATATACATTATATTAATGTATAGCGTGACACAATTTTTTGAAAAACATGTTCTCTTCAACTACAGTAAATTCATTTATTAATATCCATTAACAATTGTATAGGCTCATTTATTTTTATAAACTCAAAATTTGGATTTTTTTGTATGTGTATAATATTGTGACATGCTTGTATAATATTATATTCAATATTAAAAATATTCTTTCATTTTTGCAGTTGTATGGGGTGAATGTAATCATTCTTTTCACAATTGCTGCATGTCTCTATGGGTGAAACAAAATAACAGGTGTCCCTTATGCCAACAAGACTGGCTCGTACAAAGAATTGGAAAATGATTCTATGTTTCTTGTATTTATAATATTTCAATTTGTACAATGTGTATTTAAATATGTTTATGATACTAAAAATATTTGCAAAAATTGTGTTCATTTATTTTATTATACAGATATTTTATTATTAGTATAGATTGTTTATTAAATGAAATCTCAATAAACCTTTTCAAACTAACTTTTTTTTGTTTGGTATTGAATAAAAATTTACATTATATTTTTATAAAAAAAAATATGTAAAAGGCTCATCATCATATATGATGGTATTAAAGAAAGCCATAATCAAGAACTGTGGGCTATTATTTCTACTTATGTTTTCAAGCTTAGGCTTGGACCTTAATTTATTTACTATCAGGTTATGTCCTTTTTCTGGCAATTGTTTAACATATTTCACCATTATCCAAGATATGTGTTAATAAATTAAATGCAACACTAAACAAGAAGAGCAAAGCAGGCATGTTCACATAATTGGTGGTAGAATCTATTTAATAGTTTGTATGCAACATTTTCGATAAATCATTGCACTTACATAATTTAATTCATCCATTATCTATAGTATATGGATCAAGTAGCTGTGAAAGACAAATCAGAAGCTGTGTAAGGAAATTTTTGAGCTAAAGGAATTTTTATCACTCTTTCATAGTTGTCAAACATATAAATTTTCTCCCAAAGCTTTAAATGAGTTACAGGAAGATTTTGCGACAAATCCAAGTTTTGCTCGTAAAAACAGATTAGTGCAGGCTTTTTAATATTTTCTATTTTGTAAAAATTCCATTGTTGCATCTAGAAAGTTCATAAATCAGGGTTCACAATAAATGAGTTTAACTAAACTAATTTTTTCTTTTTTAATTACAAATTTAATCACTTTGAATTTAACTTCAGTAAAAACGTAATCCTTTTTAAACCTAGCTTATTAACTACATATTGTATGAAGAAAAAATATTATTGCTTCACCATGTTTTATAACCCTCAAAGATGTATTCATATACAGTAGGGAACCGATTATCCGGAACGATCGGGACCATCGCTATTCCGGATAACTGATTTTTCCGATTTTCTGAATCGCTACAAAAAGCTGTTTTTTTATTGTTAAACCCAACTAAAAAATAAAATTTTATAAGGAAAAAAAAATTTTTTTTTTTTATAATGGTGGGAAAATTTATCGAATTTCGTTCCGGTTTTTTGGTTTTCCGATTTCCGGATAACGGGTTCTGTACTGTATTATGTAAAACTTAATATATTTTATTCTGTGACAGCAGATAAAGTTCCTCTGCACCCAATATTATTAATATAAATTTTTAAACAATTGTAACCTGCCTAATTTATGTTTGTATAATTGATTCTAATGCATGAAATAAATATTTCACAAAAAGTATTTAAATATAGAAATCATTTAGAGTTTTTTTTCCCCTCTTAACATTTTTGTTTCACACCACAAAACTTCTTAGTTTCCTCTTTATAAAGCCATCTTATTTTAAAATTTTGAGTTTTTTTTTAAAAGCAAAATAATTACTCTCTTGAATTTGAAGCACTGAATAAAACTGTCCATATTTTTACTGAAAATAAATGATTGAGAAAGATCTATACATACAATTACCAAAAAGAACCTCTAAAGTAAAATTCTTCAAATATTTTCCTTTGTTCGTTTAAAAGATATTAAAATAAGTAAAAAGAATTTGTATGGAATTATATATTATGCAAAGTCTTTATTTAGACTATACAAAAACATATATAAACACAAATGATAATTTTTTTTTATTAGTATTTCATATGAATTTAAATGAGAATAATAAAACATACAATAATAGGACAATGAGAATGCTAAACTGAAAATACAATGACAAGTGAGATTTCATTTATTCCATGTCATAGTCATCATCTTCCTCCATATCCCCTTTGGCACTAGCATCATTAGGCATCTTAATTTCAGTATTCATTGTACCTACAGTGGGCATATTTATTTGTGGAGTTGATGCAGAAGTTGTGCCTACATTAGGCATTAATATTTGTTGAGAAGCCGTGGTAATGTTAATAGATGGCATCAACAGCTGGTTTGTAACAGTAGTAGGCACACCAATTGTAGGCATTAAAATATGCGTAGTAGTTGCTGGGTTTATTCCGATTGTAGGCATTAGTAATTGAGGCAGAGAATTGATTGCTGTTGTCACTGCTGGTGGTGTGGGAAATAAAGAAGATGTCACCCCTTTTCCTGAAAAATAAAGATTTAATTTTTATTATATAAATAAATAAATATTATTACATAAATAAAGATTTAATATTTAAAATGCAACCATTTGGCGAAAAATGACCGAAGTTAGAATAAAATTAATTCTATATATATATATATTCTAAATTTGTACAGGTCAAATACTAAAAATACAAGCTTGGGAACTATCAAAATCAGAGACTATCAGATTTTTAACAGATCAAAGATTTAAACACTATGAAGATTTAAGAAAGTCTTCTTGAATCATCATGGTCACTCATTTTTCATAAAACCACATAGGGAGCTTTAGATGCTCCAGAAATAAAGTAATATAATTTTTGCATGAGTATTGGGAAAAATTCAGGTCATTGGTCAACAGGCAAAACATAAATATGCGATTTTATGAGGTACAATTATATTATTCTTTATCATAGTAATAAAATCAGTTACATCAATCTTGTACAATTCAAAGTTTTAGAAGCTTTAGCATTTTTGTTTAAAAAAAATATTTTTAAAATAACTGGCATTTAGAATTTCCACTGGTATTTAAGAATAATTGAAGATAACAAATATCACTTTTCTAGACTAATGCATTTTTAACTTGGATTTTATTTTAAGTTGTAGATCCAATTAAAAAAAATAGTATTTTTAACCTGAATTATTAGGATGTTTTAGAGAGTACCTGTTTTTATTTAAAAAAAAAAATAATAAATAGACAACAAGACTTAATTTATGTTAGCTTCAGCAGACCATAGCTTAAATAGATCAATAACTTAGCAGTTACTTATCAGGACATCTCATTATACTAAAATGATCTGTCTGAAAAACAATGTTTCTGTTGGACGATCCACTCCCCTGCTTTGAACACAATGGTTGAAGTTGTCTATTATGCTTAGCCAAGACAAAGCATAATTATGAAATGACATAGTTGCTTTAAAATGTGAAGTATGATTTATCATGTTTAAAAATTATTGTCTTTTAATTTAGCTTTAAAAAGTCACAGAATTTAAAACTTTATCTAATAATATAAAAATGTTTTCAATAATCACTTGAGCACCTTTACTTTTCTATTATAATAATAAAAAAACGCTTAAAGAAATAAAAAAAAATTGCAACAAATATTGTTTCATTAAAAAAGATTTTTTGTTTTGCATTAAATAATTAGCAATATTGATTTTAAAATGGCTAAAATAATATTGAAAATTATTAAAATATTGTATATGAGACTAATTAACATCTCCCTAGATATAACTATTTCAGAGTATTTAAAAGATTCTGGTAACTTTAATATAACTAATATCAATAAAATATTCCACAATAAAAGAAATGTTTAAAAAATAGGAGAAAATAGCAAAATTTCTCTGTGTATGTCCAAAAGAAAAAAAAAACAATGCATAAAAATTTATAAGAAGATAATGCAATAGTATATATATACATATATATATTTATAACTTAGCCAGTAGATATATTTTTAAATAATATTAACAGTAAATAAATGTTTATATGTCAATATAACATTTACGTTTATATGTCAAATGAACAATGCATATACATTTATTGAGAAAAAAAAAAGTATATTATGATTTCAACCAGTAAATATTATATAAAAGAAATAATATTTTTTATTACCATCAGAGAATTTGATGATTGGTGTCGGCACAGGCTTTGAAATGCTTACAACTGGTTTTGTTATTGCTGGAGACAGATTTGTATTACCTTTGGAAAGAACAGAAGGTGCCTTGTTCACATTTATCAATGCAGAATTCTTGTTTCCTGGAAAAATAATCAAAATTTTATTATAGAAAAAGATTTAATGTAAACTACATACAGTTCATAAATAGATTAAAACATCATATACTATTTGAAACATAATATTTAAATGATTAGATGAAGAATTTAGGACAATGATAAACCACATTTTCAAATTTTTTAATGGAACTTTGTATGCAAAAGCTTTGAGGGGAAATCATTATGATCTTCATGTAATAAGAGATCGGAATACTGTACTGTTTTTTAGAGGAAATTCAGAAAAATCTATGAAGAATTAATCTGGACAAAATATCTAGGCACAGTTTTCAGCAAAATTAGGGAGAGAATTCGAACTATCTTTAGAAAACATTTGGCTTATGACTACATTGATATTCCAAGCCCTTCAAATAATCTAGAACGTGGAATATAAAAAGGGAATTTCAATTATAAGAAGAAAAACTTTTTTTTTTTTTGGAATTTAAAACTTAGATGTCCAACTTGATCAGTCCTTTGGTAAAAAATTTTAGGTTCTTAATATTTGTGCTTCTCATAGTGATCAAGAATTCTAATCCAAAAAAATAAGAATTTTAAAGTAAAAATTTATTAATACTTCATAACAGTAAACAGAATAATAAATTTTATATTATACTAATAGCAGCAATTTAAAAATTCATTTGTCTAAATACTAGAACATTTTGAAAGATTATGATTAAAGTTCTTACAAAGGGTTATTTTTATATTTAAACAAAATTTACACTAACACAAAAAAAAAATTTAAAAAAAAATAGAAGTTTGAGAATTGATGCCTACCGCAGTAACAATTTTAAAAAATTATTTTCTTAGAAATTAAACAATTAACAATCCTCCATGACTAAGAGATCAATGCTTATCCCCCCCCCCCAAAAAAAAATAAGGGCATATTCAATTAAACAGCTACTTGTTTGTTACAAACTAATATATATTTTTAAAATCGTGGTTATACAAAAAATGAATCAAGTTTTAAATTTTTTCGATTTATTTAGAAAAGTTGTTTTTACTACAGTGAAACCTGTCGGGAGCAACCACTATTCCCGTTCGACAGTAAAATAGTCGTTGATGGAGGTTGGTCGTTCTTACAGGTTACCTCCATTGACCTACATAAGTTTTGGCAAAAAAAATTATTTTAATTAGTGTCATTTTTTTGGTGCAAAAATACCACTTGTGTTGGAATCATGAAAAGATGTATCGATGAATAAAATCTCAGCATATATAAAAATGATCCCAACTGTAATTATGTGTAAAAACAAATTTACTAATCATGAATGATAAAGCTATTTTAAATAAATCCCGTTCGAACAACATTTTGCTTTCTGTTTAAGTCTGCATTTAATTTTATGTCATAAAAAATAGTTATCTTAAAAAGAAAGGAAGAGTTTTTTTGTTTGAGATGCTTGTTTTTTCTGAAATAACTTTTTTTCTAATTTAACCTTCAACTCTAGAAGTAAATCATTGATTGTATCACCTTTAGTGCACTCTGACTGTAACATGAGGCATCGTCAAAAAAGATCTAAATAAGAGCGTCACACAAATATTTTGAATTAATTTTACTCTTATTTGTTTTGATATTTGACCTTTCCCGCATTCGGTACAAATGTTTGCTGGTCGCTGGGAGAATTTTTAATTGTCTCTAGAGGAGGAAATCTACAGAAAAACTTCCATGCCTCCCAAAAGTGGTCATAAATAAGTCTTTCCTGGAGGTTTCACTGTATTTCTAAAAGTTTTTATCACAATTTTTAAAATTTTCTATGCATCTTTATTATTAGAGCCATTATTACAATATACTTTCACTCTTTATGTTTCGACATAAAGCCCTCTTTTATTTCAACTTCATTAATAAGAGCACATCATTGCCCATATACTTTAAATAATCCAATAGATGTGGTTATCTAAGTTTGGCACAGATGACGATAAATTTTATTATGTGACTTTAAAGATTTCTCTAAAATAAAAAAAAAAGCAGGGTATTTTTTTAAAAACAAGGGGACCTTCAGTTTTGAAGGGTACTAATCTATCAATTATATTTAGATAGATTAGTGAACTTCAATATTTTAGGTTAATTTAGCCCAAAAATAATTTGCAACAGTTATAGTAATTTGAAGTACCCAGTTTCTGCAACTGCAATTTCTTTTAAAATAAAAAAAAGATAACATTCTCTAAAGAAAAAGGGAGGACAGCATTTTTACAAAAAGGACAAGAAAGGCGCATTTACCTCCGTAAAAGGGTGGGCCTCCCTTCTAAAAAATACGTAGGGAGAACACTGTGAATTTTCAATTTAAATGTCCCTAACCACCATCATCTAAAAACTAAATAGTAGAATATAACCAATGTAGTTTTAACACTAAAGCTAATTAGTTTCAACACATATCCACAGTTATTTTCCATCAAAAACATGCAAAATACATCAATGTATTCAAGTAGTTGTGTAACTGTTTCTATTAATTCTTGCATCAAGCATTGATTGTAAAAATGGGATCTTCTTAGTACATACATTATTTATTATCATGTGAGAGCTAACTAATTTAGAACATATATAATTCTTGGAGAAACCACAATAAAAACAAATCATGTAATGAGACAACAAAGTCTGGCAAAAAGTTTGGGTGATAAAAGGATTTACATTGAGATTTGTGACAGATCTTACCTAAATTGGAAGTGACATTACTTATGCTTAATCTGGAAACTGTATGAACTCTCTAAAAAGAAAAGAAAAAAAGAATATTGTAACAAAATAAATAAAAATTAAAACAGCATTAACTTTCTAAAACTCACTTTTTTTGAAGCTGACTTTAATCGATAATTACAAGAAGTAAGACTGTGACGATCAGGAGGAAGACGCAATCCAGCTGTTGATTTGATTTGTGGCAAAGGCATACTGTTTCTTTGCTTAGCAACCTCTAAAATTACCTTAATAAATAAAATATTATAAAAGTAGGTGATTAATTTAGAATGACAACGGTTAATTATTAGATTCAGAAAATATAACAAGTAATTGTTCTAAAAATATTTTTGGCAAATTAAGGACATTATTAGTCAAATATGAGGAGCAATAAATTTATTACATGTATAATAAATTCAATAAAATTTTAAAAAGTATAGAATTATCTTCTTATATTATTAAAAAATATGAAAAAGTAACAAAAAAAACTGTAAATAACTTAATTGAGAGTTATAAGCAATAATAACAACTAATCCTACTTCCTTTCAGAGAAAGAGGAGATACCAAAATTAAGTTTGAATGACATAAAAATGTACATTACAGAAATACAGAATATTTATCTAAAATGGCTTTAAAAAAAACCCACAGAATTTAAGAAAAATTATTCAATATTAATCACAATTAAGATTTTTTCGTGAGAATATCCACTAAATTTATTCTTCACAAACTAACTTCGTTAATACAGATACATGCATTAGTACAGATTAGTAGGTACTGCTTGGTGAAACCAAGCGAATTTAAGGCAGAGGGTGTTTTTCTTGTTTCTACAGTGGCACTATCTATGGCCAAGAGTACGACTCAGCCACACACGTCATACCCTGTTTATAGGATGGACCCATTTATTCATCCATAGATCATAATTTTAACCAGAACCAGAGAATGGTCAATCACCAATTCAATACCCCAAGAGTATTGATTTGTTATGAGAACTTGGAGGACTTTGTGACCCCGACAGATTTAATGTGCTTCAGTCACCATTAACTCTTCATCTGACGGTGATCGAACTCACAACCTCATGGATATGATCCAAATGCTCTACCAACTAGGCTATCCCATTTTTACCACAGTTTCTTTTTTCTTCACTATACTAAAATCTCACTAGCACTCAGCATTGCTGTATGGCTCAAGATGCATCATAATCTTTTTTTGCTTCTCCTGACTTTTCAATGCATGATATTGGAACATACCAGTTTATAAATTTGAGAATAGTTTAACTTTTTTTTTTTATCAAAGACCACATAAAAATCGCAAGAGATACTTCACATGGACAGATAATCAAATATGGAAACCCCCCATTAAAAAACAGTTGAGTTAGCAAGTATGCTCTTTATTAAGCTTATGTTAAGCCTTTAACACACCAAAAATAAAATAAAAAATCAAGTATCTGTACAAATAAGAAACACAACTTAATTAATATCAATTAAAATAGAATTCAAAATTCTAATAATAATATTAGAATTTGATGGCGAATTTTAACAAATATTGCTTTGATTTTTCCACTAGATAAAACAAAATTTAAGATTATCAAACTATAATAACAATGGAACATTGAAAAGAAAGCAATGTATTGCAATTATGCATTATTTTGAAGCAGATCATCATTTACTTCTTTCTTTCTTATTCAAATATGAAGTGACTTTGGAATTGTTACTGAGAAAATATTGAAGCTTAGAAATGAATTAAAATTTATTTTCTCTGTAAAAGGCAAATAGATTTAGCATTATCAGAAATGAATTCATAAACTTGCTTATTCGGTTGATATTTTTGATCAGTGGAATAGAGTGAACCTTTAGATGCAAAGAAAAAAAGGAATTGAAACAGCATAAAATTCATTGGCTCTTTGAAAGCTGTTCGTGAAGTGAAAAGTAAGTAAATTTAAGTAAATTAACTTACAACTAAGAAAAACTTGATTTTGAAAATTGTTGTAATGCTTTATAATTTAAAATAATTTCTTGATGTGGGTGATTTAATTCTTTAAGGAAGCTTTAAAAAAAAAAATTTCACATCATTTGAGAACTTTCAAAAATTTAAAATTAGCGTAAAGTTCAGATTCAAAGTAGATTGGTTGTCAGAAGTGATACGTGTTGTACCTTTCAAGTATTCATATATGTATCCAAGAATTAGCAAACATTATTGGCATCAATTCCAAATAAAAAGTGCATTATAATTGTTAGTATTGCAATCAAACTATTTATATCATGCCTTGATTTGAGGGTATCCTGGATTTAATGGAGGAATTACATGTTCAATGTTAAACAGCCAACACAAAAATGTGTCATTACGATCATAAACCAGACACCATGAGAAAATTAATTTTTTCCAATTTCTTGAAAATTATTTCATGAAGCAGTTTTCGTTATTTGATTTCTAAAAAAATTTTCAGAAATAATTTTAATCTGATTAAATGTGGTTTGTGTGTACTATCTTTGAAAAGTGGTGTTAGGTGGGAAATTAGTTGAAACTACTGGAATACAAGATAAAATTGAAAAAGAACTTTCTAACAAAAGTCTTACATCTCGAGCAGGTGGAGCAGCCATTACTCTTTCTTGATATAAACTTATAGCCAGCTTTACGTCCTCATTATCAACACATTTCTTTTTTGCATGAGTTGAATATAAAAAAGCATCATCAAGAATAGTTGTCAGATACCCTAAAAACAACAAAATAAAATAAATATTCAAGAATCACATAGGTAAAAAATTTATTTCAATTAAAATTGTACAAAGATCCTCATAAAAAAAAGGGGGGGAATTGTTTTTTTTTTTTAATAGAAAAAAATTAAAAACAAGTTTGATTTAAGAAGCATTTACACTTAATAAAATAATATTCAGAAGATTATTATTTTTAGAAACATTTCTTAATGTATAATGCAGACTAAAAACTATTATTTATAATAAATATTTTAAAGACTATAAATTTTAAGTAAACCAACAGACAAAAAAATATAAGCTGTAACACTTTTGTAATAAACTTCAATGGGGATTGAAGTTTATTACAATTTATAGCTAAAAATTTCCAACCAGGAAAGTATTTAAGTCCTGCTTTTGGTCTGACAAAAAAATATAATTATTTTCTTCCTTTCAGCTTTTTTAAAAATATCACGATTAAAAGGTTTATTTTGTTTTCGTAGTTTTGAGTACATTATTCATCAATCAAGTCAGATGGGATTAAATGGGGATATGTTAAAAATAATCTATTTTGTCCTTTTAAATTGAGAATTTCATTTAATATTTTTAGAAAGATTTAATGGGATTAGGGCAAGAAACAGATGGGGAGATTTCTGTATCGTAATCTGTGGCAGAATAATCGCCAAGTCTTGGAAACTTCTGTGTAGTGGCCCACAAGAGACTAAGAAAACATCACAGAGAGGGACCAACTCGAAAGGTATAATTCGCAGCCACTCGCGGGCAAACATCTACATCCTTTTTTTAAAAAAATTTGCAAGCTTAAAATCTATTTGGCACCTTGACGATTGTAGTTGACGCTACAGATAACGATTCAGAAATATCCTAAAACTGATAAAAAGTTTAATGTTTACAAATTATCTGGTTGTATGTATCAACTTTATGTTAGTTTAAGCTACTGATGAATTTTCTTCGAATATCATTAAAAACTGGCAAAAACTAAAAATTTTAGTTCAAACTGGTTATAGGGATATCTAAAGAACAGATCTACATAGAAATGTAAAAATAAATTTCAAAGTTCTATTTATTATGAATTGCCTTTTTTAAGGTGGGATTAAATGGGTATATGGTTAGGCTTGATTAAGGGTTGCATGATAGGGATATTTCTTTTTGTAACTTCAGTATTACTCTGAGTTTTATAATGAAATATCTAAGAAATAATTGACTTGTTTGATTATAGTTCTACAAAGCAATTTTAAAGCAGAAAACAAAATTTCGTTTAAATTTTATTTTAGGAGAATTATAATGGGGGGAATAGCAATATAACAGACACATTACACAAATAAAAAGATTACCAAAATAGCATAATCTTACCACTTAATGAGCATATTTAAAGATATTTATATCCTTAAATATGTTCACACAAGTTTCTGCCTTTATATGGCAGTTTTTTCATGGGGAAAAAACGATTTCCTTAAAGTAACTAGATTTAATATGTAAGTAGTAAGAATACTTTAAATTACCATTACAGATATTAATCTTTACACTCTAATTTATTTTTCAAATAAACCAAAATAAGCTTTTGAAATAATTATTATTTCATTTTAACAAGCATTGTAAGTAAGATTTTTCTTTTTCTGGATAACTTACGATAGCTAAATTCCAACATTTGGTTAAGAACTCGGGGCTCATAATCACTTATACCCATTTCTTTTAATATACTAGCCATTAATTGAATATCTTTCGGTGAACTTCTCACAGACCCAACAGATGAAGTAGGATCTACAGCTTCAGCCATATTTATTATAGAAATATATTGAATTGAACGTCTAACTTTACTTATTAATGAATATTTGTTTTGGTTTTGAATGTCTTTTTAGACAAACATTAAAACGACTTTAACTGCTTATGTCTTTCCAGTTAAAGTTCAATCAAATTATATTTAGATGCAGTAGCGCTACCTACAAACGAATTCGGAGGAGATGCAAGTGAGAATTTTTTTTCATTTCTCACTTGCAGATTGGCGATCGAAATGGGCTGCAGGTGGCGTAGAGCAGAACTCTTTTCCTATGGCAACACTTCACATGCTTTCCCCATTAGCGTGTGGAAAGTCATAGAGGAAGGAACTACGTTAGTTTCTCTCTTGATTTTCACATAGATTAAAATTTTTTAACTTAAAAAACTATATGGAACTGAAAACTGCATTAAACATAGTTCTAAAGAAAAGTATCATAGAAATTTAAAAAAATATTTTTATTAAATAAAAGGGAAAAATATTAAGAAAACGGAAATTATCGTAGTACATTCCTATACAACTGAAAAGAGGAGGAGAGGGAAGGGAGAAGGGCTAAAAGCATGAAACCGGTCTCTCCCCAGATGGCGTATTCGAGTGTTGCGATCGCGAATATTTTTTCCTCACATTCCTCAAAAATGAATAGTCAGATTTCAATAAAAAAAGTCCCGCAATGGACTGATCGTTAAGACGCGGTTCCCAGCAAATCACCGAAGTCAAGCATCACTGGCTGCTGTCAGTGTGCGGGTGAGTGACCACTTGGTTTAGTTTGCATAGGGACCGAGGGAGTGCGGTATTGGTCCTCGTTGAACCGTTCTACCATAAAGCGCTCAAATTTACGTGCAGGTCGTCGGGCTACCAAAGCGGTGGTCCCATCACCTCTGCAGAGGATCAAAATTGTGATGACATGTCTGGGAAACATCCTCAGGGATGTTTTCCAGACCGTCACCAATAGCCCATTGTGCAGCTCCAGTGTGGCGTAAATGAGCTACAACAACAATTCAATAAAAAAAAAAAATTCCATCGAAATTTGATATTTATTACTGTGGTATTTATAACTTGATATTTATAATTTGATATTGATATTTATTATTACATTTTTGTCAAGGATTCTAAAAGTATTATTGAGAGCAGTGATTATGGAACACCCTACCCGACTATGAAAAGACTAGAATTAGCGACTGGTTCTCGAACGCTTCGTCAAAGAGGAACAATCATTCACAATTCGATCACAATTAGCGGTAATTTGATACATATTTAAATTTGGCTTTAAATTCTTATTACGAAGTTTTGTGCTTTCATATTAATGTCTTTATTTTATTTATTGTGGGTGTATTGTCTTGTATTTATGTAGTGTGTGTGTTTTGAGTTTATTTTATTTAATTACTTGCTTGGTATGGAACTTCTCGTATAAATAAGTTGAATTGAAACAATTATGAAGTGCAATCAGACTAGTTTACTTTCCCCCCCAGGGCCGGCTTATGCATGTCGGGGCCCCTAGGCAATGCTCCTCTCGCCCCCCCCTCCTACCGTCTTCTAACTCCCTAATATATTTTTTCGCTAACACAACACTTTATTCATAATTACGCTGTTTTTTACTACATAGGTATATTATCACATTATTCAATAAAAATATTGAATCAAACGAAAAGAATATAAGTAATTAATATATGCATTTAAAAAAAATCATACAATAAGCTTAAATATTAACTCTTCTAACTTTTTTTGTTACAAAATCGTTCAAGACATCCTGAAAGTTAACCTTTTCCAATACATCACTGTTTATAATTACTGTTGAAGAAACATAGTCAATTTTTTTCTCTGTAGCACAGGGCCCCTGAACGTGGCGGGGCCCCTAGGCAGTTGCCTACAGTGCCTAATGGATAAAACGGCCCCCCCCCCATCCTTTTCTAACATGATCAGAATTCATTTCTCAACCATCGACTGTGACTTTTTTTCTTTTATTATCTTATCCCCAAATGGCCTAGACGTATCTTCAGGTTAATAATGTCTCTCAACCACAATGAACGATCCCCTTTTTCTATTTTTTGCATTTATAATATTGAATATTGCATTTAGTTACATTCTCATCAGCTTCCGATTCTCGTGCTATTCAGTTCTACACTTAATCAGCCATAATTATCTTGGTTAGATAAGTACAAATCTCACGATTATAAGAAGCTCAAGTGACTTTTCTCGTGATCATTCTCTCTCTGTTTTTGCTGATATATTCTCGCACCGTTTGTATTTTTTTAGTATTTAATTTGTTCATAGCTAAGAATTTAACAAAAATGTTGTTGAAACGGCTATTAATAATAATAAATGCACTTTGAACTGGATTAACGCGAGTTACAAAATTCATATCTCAAGCAGTTAAATACAATGATGAAACCATTCTGATTTGTTTTGAAGGTCATGGTGAAACCGTTTTTGTGCCTCAATTGTGGAAAAAAAAGTTTATATGTAATGTAATTAAAAAATATAAATTCGAAATTCTTATAAAATTATATCATTTACATTTAAAAAAAAGAAGAAAAAAAGAGTCGTTACAAAAAAGCTAATTTGCATACTTTTCTTTTCTCTAGATAAATTTATTTAATAGAATAACGGCAAATCTGATTATTCCCCGAAAATTCAAGATTGATATATGTTATCTCGCTGTGATATAAAAGGATTTTTAATAATTCTTTGTAAGATTGTTTTAAAACTGCGACGTAAAAAAAGTTGCACGTCTTTCGCTTTTACATGTTAAGACAATTGAATGTTAAGAAACATAGTTGCTGCCACGAAAGTATAAGCGGAACGACCTAAGACGCCTTTAGTCCTCCATCTCGTTGAATTTTCCCAAGCCTTTCATATTTTTTTTTCATTATTTTCACAAAGTTATACAATAAAGTAATTATGCTTAAATTTAATAAAAATTTCATCGAATTTTGATCTTTTCTTAGGACTTCGAAGTTGCGATGAGTTTTTTATTTTTTATATTCATACAATCAATATTTTATAAATTGTATGGAGAATGTGATTTTACTACATTAATGAGAATAGTATTCATGCAAGGCTTGCTCTAAGTTACAGTTGTATCTTTTTATGTAAGCTCATTATTTTATTTATTTTTGCGCAGGATGTAGATGAGGAGGCTTGATAGTTTAATTTGATAGTTGAAGAATTTAAAATTGCATAGGTTGAAATTCCTCACATCCTAATACCAAATATACTAAGCGCTTAAAAAAATATTTGCGATCGCAAATAATCAAAAGATTGATTTAACTTCACAGTAATTACGGTTTACTTTTTTAATTGATATTTAGAAATAAAAAAAAAAATATGCTCAAGTATTTTATTACTCTTAGTATTTAGGGTACAAATTCTGCTCTGATTATATCACTAATTGCGTATCAAATCCTAACGGGACTCTTTAAGTCCAAAATAAAAAAAATTTATTAAAAAAAATTAAGAAATAATATTGAATATTAAAGTTTTTTTTTTTTGCCCAAGTACAAAGTAGCCATTATTTGATATGGGGCAGGGGGGAAATTCACATTTCTTAACTTGGTAAATAAAGGATTATTAAACTGAAACGCAGTTTTTCATTCAAAGGAAGACTGCATTTCTTTTGAGTCGATAAGAACAAAGCCGTTTAGATGGCTTCTAGTGCTGATGAAGACTGCCTTTCATTCACTTCTACGATTTACAAAACAATATCCTTTACTATTTTTATAGGTTTAGGTCAGGATCAAGTGAGAGGCTATACAAAACTGCTATATTTTTAGCTCTGAACTATAATTGCGTAGTAGATCTTAGAAAGATAGTAAATGGCCCCCTAGTAAACCTTAATTGTTAAATTAGGATTAAGAACAGCTCAAAAATTCTAAACCATAGAATTCAATTCTGTAAGTAAAGGTCCGTGTTGTCTTTGAAATTTCACTTTGGGATTCTTTTGCCGTTTGGAACACCTGAATTCCACTTTCTTTTTTAATAGCGGCGCTGCTCATTAAAGGTTATTTAGACTGAATACGATTTGGTTGGAGAGTTCGTTGAAGGTATATTTCCACCAATCTGGTCCTAGTTTGCATGCAAAAAAAATTGCATTCAGAGTGAGAATGGTTTTTTATTTGACTTATTTTCTTATGGCCAATTTAATCCCTTTGCTTATTAATTCGAGTCATGTTGCACCCTTTGATGCATTTGATTTTATTTAACCTTCGACGAGAGCCTCTCAATGAGTTGACCTAGGTTTGAATTCCAGCGGTGACTGGTTTTTCAAGTGAAAAATCCAAATCTCTTGATTCATCAAACTGATAATTTTAAAGTCTGCATGCACAAAAATTGGAAAAAAATATTTTTTAACAAGACAACTGCGGGACCTGGAATAGAAGGCAGGTTTCAGACTAGTCTAACCTACAAACTTGAAGTAGCTTGATTATGGTTAATTTTAAATATCTTGAGTTGCCTCAAGGCTACAGCATTATGCTAGATGATACTGAAGAGTCTTTTATATTAATGGGATGAACTACTAAATACTTGCGTTGTTTAATCTAATAAAGTAAAGCCACTGAAAAGGGTAACAAATAATAAAAAATATTGGAATTATTTCAGCTTTATTTGTCAGCATTTGTCTTAAAGTTTTGTGTAAGATTTTACAGCATTGTTCGCTATTTACTATGCTTATTTTTTCACCCCATACTAAGAATGGATATTCAGCTAATATATATAAAAAAAAGAAAGACAATTCAAATACAAAGTATTTATTGCTTCAAATGTGGCACATTATTTTGATTATTTACAAATAAAGAATATAATGGTTACACACAGATGCTACAATGCAACTAGATTATATATATAAAAGTTATCAAAAGCACAAAAAATATTTAAGGCATATTCAACCCAAGGCCAAATTTGTGAATAAGCTTATAGAATTGATATCTAGACCTGCAAGGTACCAATCTTTGACACCGGGAAATATTGTTTTGTACATAAAGGGGAAAAAAAAATAAAAAACAATCCAAGCATAGGAATTTAAAGGGAAAGAAATTAAGCAGTTGAATATATCTACACAAAGCAAAATTTATAATAAGTTTTCCTTACAAGGATAATGAAATTGCATTCTAACAAAATGCTTGAAGTCATAGGAGATATATTTAAATGACAAAAAAAAGTATAAAGTTTTGATATTTCTTATTAAAATAACATTATTCCTTAATTGCAACAAACTGAATTTTAATAAGATTTGTATAAATTTTTATTTAGTTTCATAAAATATATAAATTATCATAAAATAAGTGATTTTGATTATAATAATATATAACTCTTCTTGAAATATCTATTTAATCTTTAAATAACTTTTGAATTTATAAAATTTCATCACACTTAACTTCCCGATTAAAAAAATGAAGTGTACTTAAAAAATACAGAAAATAATTTAAAAAACATATATATATTAAAAATAACTATAAACTTTTATATTTTATAAAAATCTATAATCTTGAATATTTTAATATCTTGAATTATATATAAATAATTTTGTGTATAATATCTATTCATTCATAAATGCAAAGTTGCCAGCATGTTGAAATAGCAAGACATGTAAATGACAGGGTTTCGTAAAAAAGTAATTGTACAAGTCTTGCAGATTAATGATTTTTTAATAACCTATATGTGTTATATTATTATACCTAGTGTCCTAAAAAACACAAATTTGATTAACCAATCTTAGAAAAATGGCAGGAGATGGAAATCTATCATATGTAGGGTAGTGCTTAAGAAATTTTCTTAAATTTCAAAATTAGTTATGTTTTTTTTAATGGAAAACCTATATTACTTCAAATGCAACAGATATCCATAGCTAATAAAATGTTTTATAATTTTTTTGAAAAGCACCATCGGTTTGGTCAGAAGAAAGCTCTGGTTTCCCAAGTAGAAAACAGCAAACTGCACAATTCCGTACTTCTGCTGGTCTCTAACCGATTTTCGAAACTTATTTTTGGAACATTTGGTAACTATAATTTTATGTCAAGGAATATTATAAGCCTTTTTCCAAACAGGAAATTTCAAGGAATAAGTTATGAAGACTTTAACGTTGTTGGCAACTATGCAAATAACTGAATAACACATGTTTCATTAATAAATGTATTAAATGTGTCATTCAGTATTATATGTAAATTATTACATTATGAAATGTAAATAGAAAATAAACAATAAAATAACTTATTTCCCTCCTCAAATTTAAAACTTCATAAGAAGTTGGTTGGAAATATAACAAATGATAAAATGCAACTAAAGATAATCAAATCAAAATTTTAAATAAAGAAGAAAACACAAAAAAAAGTTAAATGTTTTGTTCAGCTGTTCCAGCAGCTTTTTAACAAAATGTGTACCAATACACATGAAAGAAGANAAAAAAAAAAAAAAAAAAAAAAAAAAAAAAAACAATGAACATATTTAAGCTTGACTAGGATCTTGAGTTAACTAATTACAAATCATCTCTTTCATACTCTCCAAAAGTGATTTGGATACCTTTCTTTCTCTGCTCGCAGAGCGCTTATGATTGAGTCCTGCAAAGGAACAAAACAATTAAACATCTAATGAAATTCAAGCATTATGAGTAAAACTATTAATATAAACCATTAACTATTTTTTGCCTATCAAGAGTACCTAGTTCAGAAAGTTTATCAAGGAAATCATCCCTTTTTTTTTTACATTGAACAGTAGAAGCACAGAAGAAATAAGTTTTTTTCTTTTCTTTTGGAGGAGTGGGAGGGAAGGGGTTTCATGCACACTTAAACTATAAAAGAAACAATACCGGAAAGTGGAGAGACAGTGATAGAGGTTTCATATATAGCTTGTCTCAAGTTAAGAGTAATGTTAACCTTATTCTCTACCCCTTTAGCATTGAGATTTTCACCAAGAATTCTACATAAAAAAAAAAAACTTTTGTGAAAGATTTGAAAATACAGTTTAACATCAAATTACCTACAGGCCTTAAAAGAGGTATGTTAGATTATTATTTGGAATTTTATATTTGTTCTGAGCAATAGATATTAAAATTTTGTTTCCAAATACACATATGTAACATATGGATAATTTAAATTGACTCACAATTACTTAATCAGTAAAAATTAGTATTTGTTTCAGATATGCACTTATTATGTCCAGAAACAAGCGTTATATCAGGATATTTGTCTAAAAAAAATTCTGGGAAAAAGAAAAAAAAATTGAGGAAAATGACTAAGCTACAAGAGACTAATGCAAATAAGTTATTTTTGACATCACTGCAATTTTAATAAACAGGAAGTATCTTAATAAAAGCAAATTATATAGTCAGCCAAAGGATCTTCAATAAAGTTTTATCTAATAACGGAATTTTAATGTTCTAAACGGTTTGAAAATCTTAGAGCAAATCAATAAATTAAGTAATGAAATAAAACACAAAAATATTTTTCTTTAAATGATTGGGCCCTTTTAATGTTATATTTATTTATTTTAATGATAATTCAGGAATTTATTAAACAAATGTAAAGAATTTTGCACTGCCTAAAATAAATTTATCCTAATTTAACTTCCGATTCAATTTTTTTTAAAAGAATACATATATAAGGGGTGATTGTGATCTAAAGGGAAAATTCGTACAAACAATTAAACAGTGTGCAAAACTTTATAACATGATATCAATTTATATTTAATATAATTTTTTGAACTAAGATTTATAATTAAATTAGTACCAATAAAGAATATCACACATTTTAGTAAGTAATTTAGGAAAAACTTAGTTCTTAAAAAAAAAATCGCGATATTGAAGGTTAAGAACGCGAAAATACTAACCGCAATATCAGGTTTTAAAATCATGTGAATATTAACTGATTAGTTTTTAATTCGCAAATGATTTGAAGGGGCAAAATTCTCTACTACTTGTGACAAAACTAATGGAACCATATTTTCCAAATTGTGAATAAACATTAAATCTGAATTTGGAAAACTTAAAAGAGGTTCAATAAATTTTTTTTTTACTCAATGAAATAAAAAGATACCATCTTAAGTACTAAAACAATAATAATAGCATTTACAGATTCATACTATTATTGCTATTTTAATTTATACTTAAAATTTTGTATTCAATGAAGGATTTCTGGTATAATTTTTTAATTTACAGTTTGAAGCGAGTTGCAAAAAGAATGAAGATATATATTAAACATTGCTTGGGTAATAAATAGCTGTAGTGCAATAGTTTGTATGTTTAGTCGTTACAATTCAGTGAAACTAAATGTAGGATGCACTAGAGTTAATAAAGTTTAACTTTCGTATAGTTTTTTTCTTGTAAGACTGAGGCATTTAAAATTTCTTGAAAAAAAAATTACTATGAAACTATGTTTTAAGGTGAGAGTAGAACTCAGGGTTACAAGTTTTAAAGATAATAAACTGGAGAACCTTGGCTAAGGGAAGAATGTCTTGGCATAGGCTTGTTGAGAAGGCCAAGGCCCATCCTGGGCTGTCGTGCCAATGNTCGTATAGTTTTTTTCTTTTAAGACTGAGACATTTAAAATTTCTTGAAAAAAAATTACTATGAAACTATGTTTTAAGGTGAGAGTAGAACTCAGGGTAATACAAGGATAGAGGGAAAGGAAATGGTTAGTTAGAACATGCTAAAATAAAATTTACCTTACTGGAGAGTCGAGAGTCCAGCTCTTTCAACTGTTCATCTAAACTCTTCTTATCCTCTGTAACAGATGACGTTACAGGTGAAGAAGGTGATGTTTGTGTTGTGCTTGAAGATTCGCTTGAAATGCTAAGAAGGCTACCAGAAGCACCTGCAATTCAAAACAAATCATTAATAGTGTCCACTTGAACAGTAATAAGTAAACAACCTCACTTTCAACAAACAGGTTTCTTGTTAAAAATTTAGATGGTAATTGCAGGGCTTATTGCAAAAACATTAAGTTATAAAGAATTTTTTTCCCCAGAAGCACTAAAATGAGCATGAAGTTACAATACTTTACTTACTTGTTTCTATTTTAATTGAATTTTCATTTAAATAGGCAAAACACAAAGTATTTTATCTAGAACAATTTAAAATTTTGATTAAACAGGGTTCTCACTCAATTTTAGGAAAAAAAATTTCTCTGACTTTTCCAGGTATATCAGGAAGATTTCTATGAAACTTAAAACCATATTTTATCTATACTACGCAACTTGTAATGTCAAATATTAGAATTTGTGAGCAAAGAAATATCATTGAATGAGGATAGAAGAATGGAAGTTTCACTGTAATGTGAAATTTTTATAAATAGTTATCAATGTTAGAATTATTTAACTCTTAATCTCATTAACTGATTACTGTTACTGACAATATTGAGACTGGTTTTATTCTCCGAGTATGATGGGAATTTTTTTTTTTTAAAATTGAAATTCTTGGTTTTTTAGAGGCAAAATAAAATTCCCTGTCTACTCGAGGTTTTACTTGTTCTCCCTAAGACAAGGGAGCCCAGTTAAAATACAAATTCTAAATAGATTGTTTACTCGAAAAAAAGTACTGTCTTTCCATTTTATTTTCTGAAGTGTAGCCAACAAAATCCTATATTTTTAAAGACACATCTCAACTCTTTAAACACTCTTGCTCAATTTAAAATTAAAACATTGCAATTCGCACATCATTTGTAGGGCTATCTTCATGAATTGAAGTTTGTCTATGATCTCAATGCAGCCAGACAAAGATTATTCTAAAAATGCAGCAAATTACACAACAAAATTTGTAAATACAAGGCTCTTAAAAACTAATTATATTTAAATTTAAGTTGCATTTAAAACAATACTAAAAAATGGAATATATTCATATACATTTAAGCTTGCAAGAGGGGGGAAAATGCACACACAGACCTGCAAATATTTCATACTATGTGTAAAATGACTGGTGCTTTCATATGATATGGAACGATAACACCCCAAAACAGATTTTGATTTAAAATAACTGTGAAAGTGTTGAATAGAACAAAGTGAAAAACTACACAATTTTAATTTACGGTCGTGTGACACCATAATTCAAGTCGAAAATAGACATGGTAAACGGGGAAAAAAAAAATCTCATTTCGGAAGAAGGAAAATTAAGCCCTTTTTAATAACACCCAATGAAAAAAAAAAAACTTAAAGGACTTTTAAAAAACAAAAATCATCTCCTTTGAGCACTTTTTAAAAACAATACCCATCATTTTAATTATATACAGGTTAAATAATAATAAAAAAATAAATAATAATAATAATAATAAAAAAAAACCTTATGAGTATCACAGATAGGTTGTTTTGAATTTAATTTTAAAGTAAAGAAGTATGTAAATACCTGAAAACAAATAATTTATAGTTCGAGTTTTATCAATTATGCGATGTTCAATAACTAAAACACTGAGTTATGAGTTATACTAACTTCCATGTCTTTTATGGAGACTGCTGGTAGGAGAAGGAGAAACTCTTCCTAGAGAAGAAACACCTGTAGTCGTGGTCGTATGACATGTGCTGGTCGTTAGGCCAACAGTACTGACTGACCTAGTGTGACGAGGAGGACGGCCTAAAACAGCATGCTGAAGAACAGCATCTTTCTCTTGAGAATGCTGTTGCAGTACTTTAATCATGGCATCTTTTTCAGCTAATTTGGACTCAAAGTCTTTTATCCTTAAAGAGACACACAGAATAAAAGTTCAATTCTCTGATACTGAATACAAAATAATGAAATCTCAGACAGTCGCATTTGAAAAAGTGCTTTTAAGCACATATTTTATTTATTACAGTAACGAACAGTAATTGTTATTGCATCTGAAATCATTAAAAATTAAGACTTTTTCTAGCAATACAAAACAAATAAAAGTCATTATTTCACTTTTTATAAAAGAGAAATTAAATGATAGAAATGTCACTAAGAGTAATTTAGTCCCATAACATAGTTATATTTCATCACAAAAAATAAAAATCTTACTTTGTAGTTTAGCAATGCAGAGTATTTACTTTGAATGAACTTTTCAGAAATATACGATTAGCAATAAAAAATTCAGGTTAGGAATAAAACAAAATGAATTTATTACGTAACAATTGTCTTCACAAACATATAGTTTAGCTTTTAATAAGAAATAATTTAAACTTAACTTTAAAAAGGGAGGAATTAGCATACTAAATATCTTAAAACATACCTGCTTTCTAATTCAGTACATTTTCTATTTGCAGCATATAGTTCATCCATTTGTTTAAGTTTTTCAGAACGAGCTTGTGCAATAAGTTTTTCACTTTCCTGAGAAGTCCTTTCCAAAGCAGCTATTTTAGCATCTCTGAAAGATTAAAGTACAGTACATTAAAACACAGTTTATAATGGCTATTTATTGTAGCTTATTAATTACAATTGAAGTCCTAACTTTAAGGAACACTCAAATAATATTTTAGAGAATTTGAGAAAATAAAGATCCAAATCTTAATTCTAGTCATCAAGAAGCTGTTTTATTTTTTTATTTATTATATATAAGCATTTTAACTAAAAGTAAAACAAAGAAGATAAAATAAATTTAATGTCCTACACCAACATAGCATATTATCTAAGTTTATAATAATTTTTAACTAAAATGGAAAGTACCTGAAAGGCCAGTTTTTTCTTACTGATAGTTTCTTAGGTTAGGAAAGAATAAATAAAATTTATTCTCAATGGGACCAATTAGGACAAAATATTTCATACAAGGCACATATTAGGATTAATATGAACCTTGCTCTTTGTCAGCAAATCACAAACCCCTACCATGCTTACATAAGAAAGATACAGGGAAAAATTAAGAGATGTCTAATGTAAGCATTGCTCACATGATCTTCCCTTGTCTGCAAAAAATAAACAAATCACAACCTTTTTGCCCTGTTAATTTCATCTAAATTTGGAAGTGACAATTCAAGTACCTTCACAGTGATTTTAAAATGAAGTCAATGTTTCAACATACTTTGGTACTGAAGCTGCATCAACAGCTATCTGCCTCATAGTGCTTTCTTCAACATATTTTTGTTCCCACTGAAATAAAGTAAGAAACAATTTAGTACAATAAATAGTTCAATTATCAATTTACTACCCATGCATATAAAACTGTTTTAAAAATTAGTAAATGTCTAAAAACTTTAAACTAATAAATAAGTTTAATTCTTACCCTTGATACTTCAGCTTCAAGTCCTATTATCTTTTCTTCATACTCCATAATTGTTTTCTTAAGACTTTCAACACTATCTGAGTTTTCTGCCTTTGAATGTGGATTTGATTTTCCTTGCTGCAAATAGGAAAAAAAAAAAAAAAATTAAACTCAGATTTTTTTTTTCCTATGAAAAATATCTAACAGGGTATACTATATTAAAGCCTTAATTGTTAAATATAAATAAAAGTTCAATTTTTTTTAAAACTTAAGTACTTTTTTAATTAACATTTTAGAGAAGTTAAACTAAATTTTTTTCTTAATTGTTATCGATTAGTTTATACCAAAGAACATAATATTAAGCTATAATCTCTTACATATTCAAAAATTATTTTTGTCAACGTGAAATATACATCAATTTAGCAATTGCTTGTTTTTATTTTAAGAAAAATGAATTATATGCATTGGAAAGGATAGATCACAAAACTTATTTAAAACTGCAAAATAAATTATGAATAGACTAAATATAAAACAATTTTTACAGAAGCAATTGCTTAATTGTAGGAAATAAACCCATGAAAGAAAAAAAACAAAAAACATTTGATTAAAAATAAGAAAATTTTCTCTGTTTCTTTTTAACAAAATGTTGTGACATATTTTAAAAGCATGTACACAATATTTTATTTAGAGTTCATTTATACGTAAATATTTTCAAATAGTTATTGGATCTTCCATAGATAATTATGAATTCAGTTTTTAAAAAATCTAATTTAAATCTCTTTTTCAGTTTCATCTTTTGTAACCTAAGTCAGATTCTTCTTATTATTATATAGTTTCCTATTTTACTTAACTTCTTTTTGTTGAGACATTTAGTTAAGAATTATGATTAAAAACTGAGATCCAAATAAAATGAGCTCTGTGTTTGAAGTATGCTACAGTACAGTAATGATTAGTTAATACTGCCTGGCAATACAAATATCAACTAAGTGACAAAAAATTCAAAATTGAGATTTTTATATATTTTGGCTTTGTTTGGTAAGCTCTACATATCGCAAATTTGATTAAAAAAACAAATGCTTTATCAGTTTTTTAAAATTTTATTTTACATTCATAACATTTGCAATAGAAGGAAAATAGCTGTCCTGCCACTTTTCTATGAATCAATCTTGAAGCACTTACGTTGTTTTTTGAATTACAAGGCAAAATATTTATCTAATGATGATAATCCAAACAAAGTATGAAATTGATTTAATCAAATTTTAAGGAAAAAAAACAACTTAGTAATAGGTCAAACTGAAAAAGTGCTATAACTATATTTATCTTATGTAAACAATTAAAATAAAAAAAATTAGAAACCAAAAAACAATTTTGCGTATTGTTTTTGGCTTCTAACTTTTATTTAAATTGTCTAATGACGATAATATCATAAAATAATTAGTATCATTTTTACTTCTTTGGTTTTGGCTTGTTTTTAGATTCTAACTTTTTATTTAAATTGTCTAATGATAACATAAGATAATTAGTTGATAAAATCCCTGTTTAAAAAACAATTTTATCAGAAACTAACACGCAAATTTAAAAAAAAAAAAATTACCAATTGTAACTTCAAGGCTTGAACTTCTTTTTCATGCTGTGCACGCAGTTTCCTTTCAACTTGTAATCGTTTCTCACTAGACTGCTGCAAACTAGTTAGGGCTTTCTGAAGTTGAGCAACTCTATCAACGTAGACTTGCTTCTTTCGAGACTAAAGGAAAATTTAAAAAATATTTATTTCACATGTAATTCGGGTTTAAAATAATAGCTATAATAATGTTTGATGTCATTTTAGTGGTAAAATTTTAAGCAACATTCACATTGAGAATTAAATGATTTTGTTGCCTTCAATACTTATTGCTTTTCATTATAGCTAACAAACAAAGAAATTTTTATTACAATCAATAAAGAACAATTAAGATGCATCTTCCAAATAAATCACAATACTTTTTAGAGACATAACAAAACAAGAACTAACCTCCTCTTCTAATCTCATAACATTCGCTTGGGCATTTGTCAAGGCATTATCTAAAATGTCAATGTGGTTTCTTTGTTCTTGCAAAGTTGCACGTTGAGCTTGTAATTCAATCTCTTGCCTTTCTTTTTCTGCTAACAACTCTTTTGCTAGAAGTAGAATGAAAAAAATTTAGAGGGCAATAATTAAAACATAAGAGACAAATACTTATGTAAATAACAGGGGACGTCACATTATAAAGCATATTAATATCATACTTTGGGTTAACAGTTGAGCTATCAGAACTTCCCTCTTACTCAGCTCTTTCCTTAATTCTGAATCATTTACTTCAGAAACCTTGAAATAACAAAATCTCATAATTAAAAGAAATTATTTTCAAAGCTATTTAATTAAAATTTACTAGAGATAATTACTAATATAGTTATCAATTCTTATCTCAACAGTAAATTAAAAACCTTTGAGAATAATCTCTTAAGAAAAACCTACTATAAAAATAATTAAAATGGAATTATTTAACAATTTTTTTAAAATAATAAACATTGTTATATAAATTCTATCAATTCATAGTTAGAAAATATATCCTTAAAAAATACATTTTATTTATATATAGCTTGTATTTTATGAATCTTAAGAATCTACAACTAGTATTAAAATAATAATAATTGAACTTAAATTCAGATTTTTTTTAAAATTCTTACGGTGATTTATGTTAAAATTAATGCTAAGTCAATCAAAACATTTGGAGGAGTTCAAAAACTTAAGAAATATTTGTCAACCAGCAGTTAAGGTATAAGACAATAAAATTCATTTTGCTATTTTTCAAACTTTTTTTTTAAAAAATTAAAAAATACAACTGAGACCAATTTTGCGATCTGTTCATTTTAGGCTTGCTTTTCCGTAATGAATAACATATTTCACCAATACATTAATTTATATCATGCATAGCTATAAAATATTTTATGCAGTAATATAGTTTCAAATGATATATATAATGATTTATTTTCATTATATTACCATTATAATTTTTAAAATTTAATTAAAAACTGAAGTTAAAATCATAAAAATGTGATTTTTTTTTTTACTTAAATTTTTTTTAAAAAGTATGAGTGCGACTTACACATCGACTACTTTTATATCAAACAATACATTTTAATAATTTTAACATTTAAAATTATGACAAACTTAGCCTTTTTGGTACAGCCATTAAATGCATACACTGTGTATAGAAAGTTACTTTTATCTAATTTTGTATATATAGTTTAAGTATAAACTTGAATGAGTTTTTAGTCTAATGTATTTTACTTTCTTTATGTATTTTTTATTAAAAACACACTAGCAACTGAGCAAAATTAGAAATTTTTTTTACGAGTAAATTTTCCGTACAATGTCAAATACAATCGAGCATAAAAATTGTTTGACAATAATTAAAAAGTGCAATAAAAAATTTGGTTTACTGAATTTTATTATAGAGTGAAACCTACAGGAAAGACCATTGCCTGGAACTAAATGCAGTAAAGGTCAAATAAGGAAATGCAAAAAAATATCAAAACAAAAAAGTAAATTAAAAAAATATTTGTGTGAGGCTCTTATTTAGAGAGCTTTTTGAGGATCCTGAAAGGGATCTACAACCTTATGTTGCATTCAGAGTGCACTAAAGACGAAATCAATATTTTTATGAGCTGAAAGTTAAATTAGAAAAAAGTAAACACCTCAAAAAAAAAAAGACGAACCTCTTCTTATCTTTTAAAGCTAGCTTACTTTTATGATAGAAAATTAAATGTAAACTTAATATATTAGTAGGGACACTTTGTACAGAGTAAAATTTAATTCATAGATTCAGTTTTCATGACGCCAACACAAGTGGAATTTCCGCACCAATGAACTAACTGAAATTAAAATTGTTTGCAAAAAACTATGTATCTTTGATAACATTTTGAAGTCAATGGAGGTAACCTCTAAGAACAACAAATCTTCAATAATGAGCAATTTACTGTAGAATAGAGAGTGGCCGCTTCCGAGAGGTTTAACTGTAATGACATATCAAGATCTAAAATATTTTGGAATGAATTAATTACCTCATAGATGATTATATTAGTATTTATTTATTAATTTTAAAATATTTGACTTTGTTCCTTATTTAACTTTACAAATTTTCTTACTTAAAGTTATAGAAAAATCTCGAACTTAATTTAGTTAGAGATTAAGTTTAATAAAGTACATTAATTTCTAATTCAAACATATTACTGTACTTACAGGAAATTTAGCTAGATGAGAACTGGAAGATGCAATGTGTTCTAAAAATTATGAAAGAAAAGAATTAGTATCACAGGTAAAATAAACAATTAAAAATAACTAATATATTTTAATTATTACCAGAGATGCAAACTTTTTGAAATAGCCATTGGAAATAAAATACATACAACATTAACAAAGAGCAATTAGCAAAATTTCAAAGAATTTTTAACAACTTAATTTGACTTATAATATTATTAAATCTAATGTTAAAAACATGCGCCAATTTACTGTAAAATTAAGAAGTAATACTTAAGGGCTATTTTTTCTAATATTCCTGGCACATAACACATTTTTATAACTCTTGTAGCTAAAGGGGAGGGGAAGGGGAGAACTTCTAATAGAATACAAAAATCCTCAAAAACTGTAATCTTTCTGTCTCAATCATCAAACTGTTTGACTACAAAATTTTAGTAATTAGGGATAAATCACAATAGTTGGCACCTCTATATTATAATAAATATTTTAACACAAGAATTAACAAAAACGAATACTCTAATTTAAATCAGGCCGAATCTGTGATTAGCACATTTATCATTCTTATTTATTATGTTTCAGATTATTTATACAATTACAATTAATTTTTTTAAAACTCTAAATAAGCATGTATTTACTTTATCAATGAATGGACAGGAATTTAATACTAATAACCACCATAAAAACAGTATAGTCCTTTTACTGTGTCCCATTATCATATGTGGCAGCAAATATCATTTTCATCATAAAATTATTGATGTCATACTTAAATTAATTTTCATTAAAATATTTTTTTTTCCATATGGAAAATAACTTATTCCCTGATAGGATATAAACATGAAATATTCCTAGATCATTAAGGTATAATAACAAACACCAGCAATATAATTACCTCTAAGTTCTTTGTTTTGCTCCTGCAAACGACCTATTTCCATTTCCAAGCGACTTCTGATTGTTCTCTCCAATTTTTCTCTTTTTTCAGAAGAGTGCACCAAATCTTCATAGGCTTTATGTACTTTCTGTATCTCCATTTCAAACTGCGAATAGCAAAGATAATTAAAAAATCAATTACCTAAGACATTTTATCATTAAAAGTTTCAAATTATACAATTATGAATTTTACTTAAATTTACATTTTAGGAACACTATTAAATTTATGAATCTATTCACAATATAATTATTTTTTCAAAATACTACCAGTCACTTTTCCACATCTTCATTTATTTCTTATTTATTTTTGGAAGAAAAAAAAACTTGTTTAATGACAAAAGTACATCATTGGAAAGTCTCTAGAACATTGAATTTTTGATTCACGTTCCAGAATCATGCTCAATAACAGAGTCCAACGTAACGAATATAAACTGCGCAAGGGATAAAAAGAAAGAATGACGTCACTACGTTCGGGCTACTAAGTTGCGTAGTGGTCACAAATTCGAAAAATGACATTACATTTGGGATACTAAAGGATCAAATTTCTTGTTTATGGTAACCCGTGCTGTGGCCTTCTCTTTACTAGGAGGTTTTGCCTGAGAGGCCCAATATAAGACCCTGAAATTTCAGAGAGCCCCTAAAATGTTACAAGTAAATTCCTTTCAAGTTTTTTTTTTTAAAAATCAAGAATTGTCTATTAGAATTAAGAGTTAAAGATTGAAATAGATATAAGTAATTTGAAAACATCCCATTACAAAACAGATAAATTTTGTTTAAAGTAATGACCAGGGGTCTCCTCACAGTTTTGTGCATTGAGACAACACATTTCGAGATCTGGCCCTGAATGCCTCCATTCAAAATGCATTAATTTGTGATCTCATCCTGCAGAAGGAGAGTTCTTCAACAATTCACAAATTTCAAAGTTGTAATGTATACAATAGATGTATTTTGCCTCCTTAAATATTTTCAAATGAAAACTCTTTGAAGTCAGCATGTTTAACTAAATTTTCACACATATTTAAATTGATTTAATAAGAAAGACATTTTATAGCCATAGATTATTTTGAATATGATACAATCTAATCCAAGCATCAAAAAAAAGTTAAGCACTATAACAGTATTATAATGAATATTGTAACTCGGTTTAAAGTAGTAAATGTACACCGATTCTCGAATGCAAATAAACTTTCTTTAAATATACATTTTTTCATTAAATACTGAAATTTTAAAAATTGCTTTGTTTCTATTTACTAAATTATTCATTAAATTTTAAGTTTTTGAAAGTTCGAGATAGGCCCGATCTGTCAACTTCGAATTATCGAGACTCTACTGTATTAATATCATTAGGTTTGATCATCACAGACTCATTAGTGTTGAGGAAAAAGTGGCTACTAACTGAAAATTTTAATTTTCAGGTTTGTCAGATATCATGCTTTAAATAGAAAATTAATAATTCAATGCTTTTAGTCAGATTAAACACTTGGACAGAATACCTTTTGCAATTTGGAGACTTTCTTATAGTACAAATCTAGTTCAGTTTTCAGTGTAGTATTTTCAGCTGATAGTAGTTCAATCATCTGACTAGCATGCATTGCATCAGAATCTAAACAAACTCTTCCATGTAAGTCAGGCCTAAAGGAGATCAAAATGGATTATTTATAAATGACTATAGTACTAATCAGGAATAATAAAAGTCCTAAAATAAAACAAGAAGTTAAAAAAAATCTATTTTACCTTTGAACAGAAAGGGACAGTTTGGCACTATTGTCTTCCGAATGAAAATGCTTGGTATGACTAAGATCTGGATGCGATCTAGTCACAGTCAGCCTCTCAGCAGACTTAGATTTTGACCCTAACATTCCATAACCTCGTCTACGTATAGCACTACCAAGGATAATTTGAGGATCTTTTGCAAAATCTAAATTAGAATAGTCTTGGGGTGGAGGGTAATTTTCTATTACTCTATTTTGATGATTCAATTCTTTCGCTAAATATTTCAACACTTCAGATTGGTCTAGGTAGTCTTTTGGGATTTCTGTTAAACCAGGTACAGATTGTGGTTCTAAATAGTTTGATGGAGGCATAGGATGGTTCTGATTAGGGGATGAATAAATTGGAGTCTGCCTCCCAACCATCGAATATTCATTAGCAGGCAAATGTGAATATTGTTCCCAGGCATTGCGGTGTTGAGGGTTGTGATACCCAGGAAGCATCTGCCTACGAGGAGAGGATTTTGGAGACAATGGCACAGGTGGACTGTTTCTAGTTACTAAATTCATCAAATTGCAATTTTCATATAACCTGTATTTTTCTAATTTTTCATAATCTGTCCCTTGGTACATGTTATTTTCTGGGCTCTTATAATTTTGGCTGAAGAAGGGTGAGTTGTGATCTACAGGTATTTTTTCATGGATGATAAGAGTGTTGGAAGACATAGAATCAGGATCATTGATCACAGTTTCTTCTCCTTGGGGCTCCTGCCTCACACCATTTTGGAGTACTCTTCTTTCCTCCATGGTTAAGTTTTCATTAGATGTGGAGACATCAGTATCACTTCCAGACAAATTCTGCTGATAACCTACAGTTGAAATAAAAACAATTTAATGAGAAAGTTTAAAACCAGTCATTTTAATAATCCTCTTAACACCTTAGATAAATAACATCGTTCAATTTGTTGACTACGTAAAACCAATATTTATTACCCATTAACTAATAGCAATACCATAATATTAAGTACTTATTTGAAATTTTTAAATAAATATTTGATAGTTTAATTATTAGTTTCTATATGAGTTAAAGTAGTTAAAACAAATTGAAATGACAAGAATGGAAATAATTTATTCAGGCAAACATACAGAATTATTTTGGATATGTTTTTTATAAATGAAATTTGACATTACGATGAAATGAGGTAAGTTAAGAGTCATAAAATAATCTTTTATGTCAGTTATGCTAACATTTTAGTTTTTATTTATCAATAATTACCCACTGTCTGAAAGACTTAGGGTCATAGGGTTTTCGGTAAAATGGACAAATGTAATACTAAATACAGGACATAACTAAGACAAAAAAAAAGCAACCTGAAACTGTTTACTCTTAGTTTTATAATACGAACAGAGAAGTGTTGACAACACATATTTCTCAGCTATTAAATTTTTCTCATTAAATAATTTTGTTTTCAAACTTATTTTTTCAAACTTTTTAAAAACAAGACTCACTTAAATCTTTGTATGATTATTAAAATACTTGTTTATTTAAATTAATTTTATATGATTATATGTTATACATACTTAGTTCACCGTATTTGGTTTCAAAGCATTCTGTTAAGCTCATTTTAGGTAATTAGTTGTTACCATTAAAATACTAAATTCAATTCTAGACGTTCTTAATATTTTAAACAAAACTTGACAGATGAAAGATAAATAAATTTATAAAATTTAGAATTTCTATAACTTTGTGTGACATTGGAAGTACCTCAATAGCTGCAAACAAAAATCATCAAAGGACTGGCATTTTGATACTGTTAAAACTTAAATTTTTAATAATAAAATAATTTGCTAATTAAATTCATTACCCTAATAACTTATTAATTTTCAGACAATAAGAAGTGAATAATTACTTCATTGACAACATGTGGGAAAAATATTCAAGGAATTAAATTGAAACACATTTTCATTAAAAGGACTTCTTTTTTATTTGCAGATATAATTACACATTAATGAGCTGAGTATATCTTAGATTTTATTTCGTAGCATTGAAATTGAGAATAGATGGCAATAGATTTTATAACCTCTCTTCCTAGTGTCATTAACAAACATATTCAAGAGCAGGAATGGCTTAGAAGATAAGTATTCATCTACTAATAACGTGACCTAGGTCCGAATGCGAGGAATGGCCGGCCAATATTTATTTTGCTTTTACAGACTACAATGTAGATGTACGTTAATGACAAAGGTTATAGGTAAAAACACCCTCACTGACACATTAACGGTGGGAGGATTTTTTTCTTTCCATGTAATGTAAATGCAGGTTAATTTGCAATTTTAAAAAAAATCTAAAGGTTTGCCTGAGGGTAGCTACAAGTTTATACCCTTTAGGTTAGTCAAAATTTTTCTTTTTTTAGTTTCTTGAAGGCCACTGTCCAGAGCTGCCCAGACTTGATTAATTGTGCTGCAGATCAAAACAGGAAAAACTTCTCAAAAAGTCCTCTATTAATGCTAATTTGTCCTAATGTTTGATCAAGGAGTTCCTTTGTCCTTTTGAGTACGGTAAAAATTACAAGGTTAGAGTTGAACATTTATAGTTGCAAATAGGTTGACTATTCTACACCGGTTAAGAAAATGTAAACCCAATATAATTAACTTTTCATATAATAAGAATTTTATTCAGGGATCATTTTTCATGCATTCCTCATTATGCGTAGCATAGAGGAATAACCAATTTGTCTATGAAGTACTTTTTTTTTCAAAGTTTTTTTTCTTCGTGTTTTGATGCCATTTTACTCATTTAAAGCACTAAATGTTCACTCATTTAAATTTACCTCAATCAGACAACCTGGGAATATATATTTTCGCCTAACATGACGTTAAGTTAAAATGTTAACAGACCAAAAATTAGATAACAGGTAGGAAAAACGAAGTAATTGGAGTCATCATTGCACAGGCCTACACATAATGTTAAAAAGGACAACAAAATAACCACAAATTGTCTCAAATTTCTAAAATAAAAAATTCTTTTTCGTTTTAAGCACCTATGTTTCTCATAAAACAATACAGTCATTAATTAGAAACTATGTTCTTTTATATTTTCAAATGAAATATACTTTCTCCTTCATATTTTGTTAGAAACTTTTTGCATAAAAATAGGGGTACTACTTAAGTTCAGGACCTGATTTCAAACATGTTATACAAAAACTAGAAATCTATATAGTTTTTTATTTTGGATATTTATAACAATTGGTGATGTATTGATAATATAGTTACCTGAATGTATAAACGGACGAGGAGGACTGTTAGTTGAAGATAAATTGCCTCGGACGGAATGCATCATTATTCGACGGATAAGTTCAGCAAATCATCTAAAAGAGTTTAAATGAGATTCAAACACTTGGCAACAACTACTAAAATAATTTGAATGAAATACACATCATTTCATGTGAATGAAATTACTTAATTCAATTCATAAGCGAATTAGAATAATTTAAATAGCTGACACAAATTGTTAATTACGTTCAAAATCAACTATAAAATAATAAGTAAGTTATTGAATTCATTTTCTGAGATACAAAAATTTTAACAAAAAGAAAGTTTCACTCTTGGTATTAAGTAAAATGATGAAACTTTTTTTATAACAAAGAAAGCTTGTATTGCACTGCAATTAAAACTATTTTTAAAAAACAAAAGTTAAGACTTACATTTAAATGGAAACTTGGTAAAAGAAATAACTGTCGAAGTTGGCGTCTTTGTGAATCTATTAACTTTATAAAATAGTTTAAAGGTAAACTGTTATAAAAGTAATAGCTCAATAAAGTAAGTCGTGCAACAGCGTATAACAAATCGCGTAAAAAATTTCAGGAATTCAGTAAACCTCTGACGTCACAAATATTTCCCGGCGGGCTTATTATTAAGTTGGTTCGTTTAACACGAATAAAAATTAATTTGACTTTTCTGTGGACTTTAATTTCACTTAACTTGACTAGATAGACCTTTTCAGTTCATAGAAATTAACATTAAACTAAGTTTTTCCACTAATAATAAACATTTTCGTGAGTTCACACCTAAATTCCTTTAAAATCAAATCAAAACAATTTGTCGTCTATCAATATATCGAAAAGAAATGTTTACATTCCTCAGTTATCGTTTAAAAACAATCGATTCTAAATAATCGTTATGAATATTAATTCTAATTTTTTTTTTAATTAGTGGCTCTGATTTTAAAACAACAAAGTTCTTTTTATTTGTATTTTAAAAACAGAAAATGTTATTGTAGAATTAATTATTTCAGAAGGAAATTTATTTTCTAATTTCAAGTTTGGCAACTCTTTTTATTATTTTAGTTTTTGCTTTCTTAAAGTGGCAATCAAGAGGTGTTGTTTTCTGTTTTGTTTACTTTTCATTTCGTTCTTTGCACAGGAAACTGATAGATACACTTACAATTCGATTCTCATTTTATTTCTACTGATTTCCAATTGATTTAATAAGATGATTCCTAGTAAAGCATGGGATTATGCGAATCCTTTGAATTGGTTGAATATGATTCATGGCTCTGTAATACCGAAACACGGAATCAAAACTCATGCTATTTCAACCCCTCACGTTTGCGCTCTAAATTTATCAAAAGTAGCTGGTAGTATGTTTGTAAAATTAGCTGGGGTTTCTGGAGCTATTGCAGTTGCTATGGGCGCTTATGGATCTCATGGTATGTTTTAATTTTTTCAAAGGGCTACGTATTTTGTTTGTAGTTGTTGAAACTAATAATTCAAAGAGAAATCAGATGCTACATTAGAAGTAAAGAAATACAGTCAAACCCCGCTATAGTGAACACGGCTTATAGTGAATTCCAGAATATAGTGAACGAAATGTTCGGTCCCGTGCCTTGCTATATAATGTTATTTTTGTGTAATAATGTTATTTTGTTTGTTGTCGTATAATGTTATTTTTTGTGGATATAGTGAACCAAAAAATTGAGTAAGTTGGATATAATGAACTTTTTTCTGTCTTCGGCTGATTTTTGTTTAATTTTTTTGTAATAATTTTGAAATTACTACTTCGAAATAAATACATATACCATTTAAAACCATCTATAGAGGGGAATGTAGCGATAAGCATTTTTTGGTGTTTGGTTCTTTAATCTCACTTTACCATCCCTAAACAAACCAAGCAGATGATGTACCTGTAAGGTGTCAGTGAGATCAATATGCATTTTCTATCAGAGGGAATGAGTAATTATTCATTGTCAGAATAATTATTATTGGTCAAAGGGTTGGGCACTAATATGTGTTGATAAGGCCCTCATTTCAACTCCTTTTTGCTCTCAGTTCAGTTAAAAAAATCCTGCAAACAAGTGTCTCAAATTTAACTATGGTGAGCAGTAAACGTAAAACGTTCTTCATTGATGATAAAATGGACATAATCAGAAAAATTGAAAATGGATGCAATCAAGCTGATATTTGCAGGGAATATAAACCATCCAAATCTGCAGTTTGTAACATATGGAAAAATAGGCAATTAATAATTTCTGCTCATGAAAAAAATTTAGATGGCAGTAAAAAGCTGAGAAAAGCAGATCACAAGGATGTTGAAGAAGCATTACTGAAATGGTTCACCAATCGAAGAAGCCGCAATCTTCCAGTATCTAGACAAATGTCGGTGAATTTGCTGAGCGATTTTATGTTACTACTTTCATGTGCTCGAAAGGGAAGTTAGACAGGTTTAAAAAGCGGAATGAGAAATTCAGGAAAAATTATCTGAGAGTCGGGAAGTGTTTCCATATCTGATGTTGAGGATTGCTCATCAGCTAAAGATTACTAATTTTTATTTGTACGCAAGTAATGAAAAATGACACATTTTTTGCTACTACATTATATTTTTCTGTCATTTATTTGAATAATGTGTGATAAAAAGCAGGAGTTTGGGAACCATTACTTAAATTGCCTGCATAACGGATATAGTGAACTCCCGGTTATAGTGAACCAAAATTTCGGTCCCTTGAAGGTTCACTATAGAGGGGTTTGACTGTATGTATATATATATATATATATATATACACTTTTCTTTAATTTAAACTTTACTCATATGTGGTCTTCAATAATTTTTCTGTCAATAAATGATGTTTTTTTTTTTATTGAATTGTAATCCATTTGCATTGATTTCATCGAATGTAATTGAAACAGAAATGGCTGGGCTGAGTTATTTGTCTTATTTTATTGTCAAGTTACGTTAGCTTAGTTATATCTTATAAATATGGTTATAAACATTGATGCATTCTTTGTTTACACTTTGAAATTTGATAATAAAAAATTTTATGATAAAGTGAAGTGACAAATAACTTTTATAAACTAAAAGTGTGATTATTTGATTTTGTACAACACATTAATAAATAGTATATTGTTAATTTTATGTTTTATTGATTTGTTTAATGTTTAACACTAGATTAAATTATATTAATCTTATTCTGAAAATCATTCGACTCTTTAGTTACAAAGTTAATTCATGAAATAAATTTTGTAAATTAAAAGAAGCATCACTATGTTTTATTTATTGAGTCATTGAAAGGTTAATTTTTATAGTTTAAATAATGGTAATGGCAGTAATCACAACTAAACATTATATCTAGACTTATATAATCTCCATAAAAAATAAAGTCAAACTTTATGAAATAAACCTTAAATTTCTGCAAGTCTTGATACTAATGTGATGTGATGATGTCTGTCAAGATGATCTTAGGGTTTGAGTTTTGATTACATTTTTATCCAAAAATCTGTGAAACAATTTAACTTTGAGAAAAATTAAGTGAAATTTTATCTAAATTAAATGTTTTATTAACCTTACTTTGCTTGTCAATTTAAAAGAAGTATATAGAATTTATGTAATATTTCGTTAAAGTAATTTATTTGCAGGTTTATTTCCCAAACCAGATGTTCCTGCTGAATTAAAAGATGTTTATAAAACAGCAAATTTTTATCATTTCATCCATTCATTAGCACTTATGGGTGTACCCCTTACAAGAAAACCATTATTAGTAAGTATTCAATATTGTTACTATTTTAAGATTATTATAGTATTCTTGAAAGCAATATAAGTGCAAAAGTAGGTGGAAAATAAACAACGGCAAAATAAATATGTTGTAAATTATTTTACTATATTACTGCGAGACTTAGATAAAACGAAAAACATTCTGCGAACACAAAGTCTCCATTAAAAAACTTTCTGCATACATTTATTTGCTCTTGTAACTAGTTTCAACATTTTCGTTGCCACCCCATTTTGATAAAATTCGTTTGAAAATCACTGATTGTTTTAAAAATGTTTCATTTTTATATAACTCTATCTTGATTCATACCACTGGGATGAGTTTGGTAAAAAACCAGTAAAGTTGAAAATAGAAATCCAAAAATTTTGAGAAAAAAGATTTATAAATAATAATTCTTTAAAGATATATAATTAATAATTTATAAATAATAAAAACGCTTAATACTCAAATTATAGTTATACTGTATTCCAGTTATTAAAAAAGCACCAGAGCACTTTTCCAGCACAATTATATCCTAGATACATAGTCTTATAATTGTTTTGTTTTTTTTAATTTTTTTATTTCCCTTAAAGTCCAGCAACATGAATTTTTAATCTAAGCAAACATTGTGCGATTTTCATTAAACCCTTTGATGCATTTATTAAACATATTTTTCATACTTTTTTTCATTATTTTGTAATAATTTAAATCAAAATATATAAAAAGGAACATAAATTTTGCATTTTGATAATTTTATAGTTATGAAAGAGTGGGGTATTTTTTTGCTTTAAAGCTAAAATCTTCCAAACATGGCTCACTTCCAAACAATAATTTTTCAAATTTGCTTATTTAAATCTGAAACAGTTATTTATGATTGAAATATTTTTAATTTACGAAATCAATTATTGATAAATATTTTAATATGAAAGAATTTTTTTTTTTCAAGCAACCTTTTTTTTTGGGATTTAATATAAGGATTTTTTGGATTTTTATATTTCCTATTAGTGCAAAAATATTTCTGATAATCTATTTTTTTAGTAACTATGGACTGTTTTTATAATTAAACATACCAAAATATATTTTTGCTTGTAATTAGAGTACCTATCAGAAAAAAAATATATAAAAGAGACATAAGTTTTCCATCTGCATCAAAGGGTTCATTTATTTCATAAAATACTAACCTAGAGGAAAAAAAGTTCTATAAAATATAAAAATGCAATCTACGTTGCACATGTATTTCAATGCAATAAGATGCTGTAAAACTCTCCTAAATTTGTTTGATTTCAGCCTTATGTTAATGTCATTATTTCCTTGTTTCAATTTTATTTAATTTTTTATTTGTTTCAGGTTGGAACTTTATTAACAACTGGCATGTTCATATTTTGTGGATCTTGTTATTATTATGCCCTTACTGGAAATACAACTGTTATACGAGTTACTCCTTATGGTGGAAGTTTACTAATTGTTTCTTGGCTTGCAATGCTTTTATGATTTCTCGTCTTCTCCATATTTTTGATAGAATGTTGAATTTTATTATACTCTGATATCTCATTTATTGTTATGAAATAAATTTTGGTGTTTACATACTTACTTTATGATTACTTTACTCATTTTATTATCTCACAGTGTTATTTCTCTTATTAATAATTACATTCCAAGCTATTTTATTTTTTGCAACAATTTTTTTGAATAATTAAGAATTATCACATTAATTTTTTTATGATCAATCTAAATTTGTTCTTTTTGTTTATGTACTTTTTTCCATTAATTTTATCATATATCATTTTGATTAACAATCTACTTTGCTTAGGTGAAATTTTTATTCTGGTCATAGCTCAAAATATGTGTTTAAGAAAATGAACACAGATCAAAATGTGTGTTTATGGAACTGTATGCAACTCAAAATACATGTTTGAAAAAATGAGCTCGGCACAAAATGCACTTTTAAGAAAATGGACTTAGCATTTTATTTCGTCTTTCAAACTTCTCTTATGATAATTGTTTGCTTTTCATAGAATAAACTAATTCAGGTTTTGTAGTTGTCTTGCTATTACTGATAAAAACATTTTGTCCTGATTAGCACAAAATGCACGTTTTAAAAAATTGACAACGCATTTGATTTTATTTATCAAACTTCTCTTATGAAAATTTTATGTTTTTTATCGAATTAATTAATACAGAATTCTTAGTGGTCCTGTTATTCCCGATAAAAGATAGTTTGTACTGATTACTAGCTTTTTATCCTGATGTGTGTGTGTTCAGAACTTCCCTTTGTCTAAGAATATAAATGCGGATCTTTAAAAAATAGAGTTGAAGAATCGAAAAGTTTAAATTTTCGACTCAGCATTTTTTTTTATTGGAAATAATAATGACAGTAGAAATCACATAATTTGATAGTTCAATTTTAGTAGGGAACCACCTACTGATTATGTACAGTGTGCAGGAATAAAAAGAACAAGCGAAACACTTTGGATAATTTTAGATCTGATGATCAGATTTTCATTTACTAGGGTTCAAGCTTAATTGTTCGTAGGGACAACATTAAATATGCTAGTTAGTCAGTGCGGGAATTAGTTTTAGTTACAAAATCAAACACAAAAGCACACTTTCTCTGAATAAACATACCTTTTTTATGACAAATTATGATTACTGTCCCCCAAAAATAGGGGGTAGTTTGGGGTGTACAATCCTTATATTTTGGTCAGGGAACAGTCTAAAGTTTCGACCCCTTGATTTTCATTTTGCTTTATGCGTATTTTGTCATATCACTATGAATTGAAAAACTTTACCCTGCAACTGTAAAATTCATTTTTCCAAGAAAAAATTCCATGCAAAAGATAATGTTCAATACTTTTTTTTATTGTTTTATTTAATAATAGTCACGGAAATTTTGAATTCTAAGGTATACAAATATTTACATAATTTTAAAGAATGTAATTTTATATGGAAAAATACAAAATTTGAGCAAAATTGTTCATTCTTGAGAAATCAAATTTTAATCTTAGTCAGATATTTAATGTTGGATTTCTGAAGGACTATATGACCCATGTCATTCCAATTTTGTATTTTGCCATATACATGCCACTGTACGTGATTTAGGCTTATTGCCTTATCCACAGGATTCATTGTTTAAATCTTTTTAGCAAATCTGTCTAAAAAAGAAACTCATATAGCAATTTTATATTATCTAATTTTTATAGTGATGAATTAAGGGGACATATGCTTAAGCAAATGAAGTAAAAGGTTTTGTAAGATAGATTTTTTGGAGTCTCACAATTATTGACTTGTCTCTCCCACCTGATTTTAAAAATGATATATTCCAATCAATTATACATTAATCATATCGTAGAATTTTGATATGATAAATCCACTAAAATTACTTTTCTACAAAAATGCTAAGTGGCATATGCAATATGTTTTCATTTCGAAATTATTCAAGATCTACTTTAAAATTATTTGATTGAGGAAATCTTGGATTAATATGTTGCTATGGGGGAATATTAACTAATTCATACTTCTTTTTTTAATGTAACAGTACTATAAAAATTTTGCATACATTAATTTGAAGCTATTATCAGTTTTTCAGTATCGATATAATTATACTGTTACAATTTCTGTCCTAAACAAAGTAATTCTGAAATTAAAAATAGTATATTTTGTTATTCTTTTGTGATAAATTTTGCTTTTAATGCACTTAAGTAGAACAATTAAAATTTTTTAGTTTGCTGTTTGAATTTTTAAAAAATAGTCTGGTATAAGTATAAGTTTCAAAATGAGGCCTGATTTTTTTAAAAATGTTGTCATGATTTTTTTCTTTGACCCACTACGAAGTCTGCTAATAGATCTAAATAAATTCGTATAGTGAAGTATCCATTTGCCTAAATCACATTTTTTTAAATTAATCTTTTTTGAAAACACTTTAAATATCAGCTTTTTTACAAGGTTATTACTGGTCCTATAAGTTTGTAATAGTGATATTCAATTTATGTAATACAAATTTGGATTTTTTTTAAAAAACCATTTAATTGCATAGTGTCCAGAATATCAAGAAATCACTTGAAAACTTACTTGTGTTACATACTGAACCTCAAATCCTATCACATTGCCCCATAATGATTTTGCTTAGTGCAAAATTCTGCATTTGGTTGATAAATTTGGGCTGGATAATTTTTTTTTCTTTTTCTAATGCCCGCCTGTGTTAACATCCGTCAATTTAGGCATCTACAGGGCGATTTTGTTGACCTCTTTTATAGGGGCACCATATTAGGTGGGCCAGCGTCGCTCCCACAGTAAGGACAGATAGTAGAGAGAATGAAAGAACATTCATACCTTGCCCGGGATTCTAACCCTGAATCTTTCTGATGCAAGGACAGTTCCCTGCCCCCTACACAGGACGCTCGGCTGGTTGGATAATGAAAAGGTGCATTTTTTTGTTGCCTATTTTCTTAAATACACATTTTAGTTGTGTTTTTTTTCCTTCAAAAAAGCATTGTGAGGTGTGACTTGAAAAAAAAAAAGCTCATAAGCGATATTTCATGCAATTTAATGTTTTTTAATTTCCAGTTGTAGTTTTCTTGAATAATTTAAATTTATTACATAAGTTTATTTTTATGATCAATCCAAATTTATTCCCCTTATTTGCATAGATATTTTTACTTTATTATATCAAATATTATTTACATTAGAAACACAATATTATTTACACTTTTGTCAAATTTAGTTTTTTGAGTTTCAGTTTGGGCTTTTTTTCAGTACTTAATTTCGTTAACATTTCAGTATTGAAAAATTGATTTTGATTTTATTTATTGTAAAAATAATGTGTAACAGAGAAATTTCAGTCAAATCCGACCCCAGAGGTAGGTTTTAACACTTTGAGGATTATATAAAAAAACAGCCCTTTTATTAAAACTAATTAATTTGTTTCAAAACTATAAGATAAATATTTTTTTAACATTAACTGTGCATTGTGTCTGTTAATTTAAATTGTGTAATACATTTGTATTGTTTATAAAATTTTTATCTTATAAATGTTGCAAATTTCAAAGAGTACTTAAAGGAAGTCAAATGTTTTAACCCAACCAGTGTTAATATAGGGAACTTTCATGTATGCACCGTTTGTTATAAAATAGTGAATCGATTTGTGAAAGTTTTTTTTTAATATTTTGTTTCTTTTATTATATTTTTGCCATTTTTTAAAAAGAAAATTTGTCTTTAATCATTTATTAACATTTAAGGGAATTTATATAAAAACATATTTCAATTGTTTTTTGTTCCAAATTAAGGTGGCTAAAATTTGTTCTATGAATATGAGCCTAAATATATATATACATATATTTATTTTGTCAAAGAAAATTATATTCAATAAAAAGCATTAAAAATCGTCAGTGAAAAAAAGCAAATGCTATGCACGAAAATCATTTAAGTCTTGCATTATAAAAGAACTAAAATCAAATAAATAGATCCCCAAAACTTTAGTGAGTTATGCCCTCAAAGCTAATAATAAAGATGAGAAAATGTGTCATTTTTATGAAACAAAATCAAGGTTGTAGTTATAAAAACCTGTGCGGTTTAAAGTGAATTGAAATAAGCTTAGAAATTTTTTTTATGTTAGTTGTGTAGGATGTTCTAATTAATTTTATGTTTTCAAGGCTGCAATTTGATCATATTTAAGAATAGCATGTTGTTTAATCTTAGTGCTATTTATATAACTCTTAATGTTATTTTTAATTATTTTTTGACTAAAAATTATCAGCCTTTTTTAAACAGTCATTTAATAAAAAAGTAATATAGTGGTAGAAAAATTGATGTATTGATTCTTATTTGTAATATCGTTATATAATTTTGACCATGTTTAGGAGACATGAATGTTAAGGAGGCAAATGTTTCATAAATAAATATAGAATCTTTATAAATATAGCTTTAAAAGTACTTGCTACTCAGGATACATTTTTCTAAAAAGTTATTTTTCTAAAATACATTTTTCAGTAACTAAAATTCAATTATAAATGCTTTAATGCATACATTAGAGAAAAACCAATGAGATTATTCTTATTACATGTATACAAAATGCTTATTTAGAAACTTGGTTAAGCATCATGAAATAATGATCTTACTAAATGTTTTCTTGATTAATTCTTTATGGTAAGTCCAATCTTCCTATTCAAAAGCAGTGCTTAGTAATACTATAATGTAATATGTAATAAAAAGTGTTCTTTTGCTTTCTTTAATCTATATTTTTGACATTTTTTTCAAACTTATTTAATATTGAACCTAATTCCAACTCTTGCTTAATTTCAAGAAATAAATGTTGAAATTGGATTAAATGCCTTAGATGTTTTCTTTTCTTGGCCCACTTATTAATTCTAATCAAGAGAAATGTATAGAATCATTCTTAAATTAGCCCAATCGCAAATAGAACGGTTCTGATTTGTATTTTTATAATTATATACTGTAAAAATTGTCTATCTGGTTTTGAAGACTTTTTTTTTTATCACAAGAGTTCAGAAATGTAAAAACTTCATTTTTGCCAAGTATTTTAAAAATATACATTATGGCGGTGCTTAGAAAATACCCTTTATGCTGATTAAAATGTAATGTGCTAAATGCATTTAAAAGCATCTTGCACACAACCTAAGTCTTTTTTCTACCGGATTGTTGTGCGTATATAGCACATTAATTTTTCTGATGTTTTTCACTGATTGAACTGCTGGAATTTTGACATCAGTTTCCTTTTTATGTGTACTGGAGCCCTTTATACTGATTAAAATCTAATGTGCTAAATGCATTTAGTAGCATCTTACACACAATCCAAGTCTTTCTCTACTGGATTATTGTGTTTATATGGCACATTAATTTGTCTGATGCTTTTCACGGATTGAACCGCTGGAATTCTGACATTAGTTTCCTTCTTATGTACTGGAGCCCTTTATACTGATTAAAGTTAAACATGCTATATGCATTTAGAAGCATCTTACTCACAACCCAAGTCTTTTTCTACTTGATTATTGCGTGTATATGGCACATTAATTTGTCTGATGTTTTTCACTGATTGAACTGCTGGGATTCTGACATTAGTTTCCTTTTTATGTACTGGAGCGTATATTACTTGTGAATTAGATGTATGTACGTTTTGCTCCGGCATATGTATTTCATCAGTAAATTCATAATTATCTATTTCTGTATTATCACTTGCACAATTTGATTGTTCTGCATTCATATCTTTATTCTCATGCGGATTTCTAATCGGAGCTTTATCTTCATGTGATTCAATGTGTTTGCGATACCTCCGGAAACAAAACAGCCATATGATCAGATTGATTATCAATAAAAGTATAAGTACTACGACACCTATCCCTCCTAGTATTCTATACCACTTGGTGTGCTCGTCGTTGTTTGGAATAATCAAATTCATTGTTGTTGCCTCTGTGAATATTTCTGTGATTGTATCTGTGGTTTCATTTTCATTGCCTATGAAAACTTGTATTATGTTTGAAAGTCTTCCCTTGTTTTTATGAGCATCTGATGCTCTGAGGGCAACAAAATGAATGCTCGCATTGTCAAGATCCATTAGTTTAAATTCTAGAGTCTCTTTTTCTCCAGCAAGTTGAGGAGTAAAGTTTTCAGGAAGTAGCAATATTTTCGGAGGATATTTTTGTAGCATATGTTCCTGTAGGTCTTTCCAGTCTTGTGAAATGTACACTTCATAACTTTCAGCTAGGAAGGAAGAAAAGTTACTTTCAGTTTATTTGGCTATTTTGGTTAATTATCTATAGTAATAAAATGAAGATGTATGTCTGTCCCTCTCCAAAACCATTTGAGCTAGCATCTTGAAATTTGGAGTGAAAGGGGTTATATTACCCCCTGATCCTAAAAATTGCTCAAAGATTTATATTAGATCGGTCAGGAGAGTCATTTAAAAAAAATGGAAATTTCTCATTGATTTAAAACCAGAGTCATTGATTCAAAGGGAATTCCCGACGATTTTAAAGATAGCGTCAGCGATATTTGCTTGCTTATAGCTCTCATTAATCAAAATCTCATTACTGCGCACGTACTTAGGTATGTAATTATTTTTCATTCGTTATGTCAGATAAACTCAATGATCAAGATTGAGCTTTGTTGCAAACGGGGACTACGTCACCGCATTAGTATTTCCTAAGTAATCTGAAACCACGTGAATTTTTTTTTATAATTGTGCTTTTGATAAGCATTTCTATAAAACTAAATTATTTAGCATAAATAACATTTGAAATAAGAAAATTAGTTATGTACTGAAAAGCAAAAATAATAGAAAAATTATACTAATTCATTTAGGAGAAGCGTTGTAAATCGCCATATTATTATTGACACCAATTAATTAATTTTGACAATTGGCACAATTTTAATTAATGCCAAATATACAAATGTAGGGGAAATTAATATATTTGGAACTTATTAAAACTTCTTCAATAGTGTGCAATTTTTATGTAGATACTCAGGAAAGGGGTAAATAGGGATAGGGATATTATAGAGATAGGGATAGCACTAAAAATTGTTTAATCAATTATTAATCAGTTTATAACCTTAACTGATTAACTTATTTTAATCAATTTATAACATTGCATTTATCCTGTTGAATCTTTTTTTTTAAATCCTATATCAGGATACAGAATATTTCAGTAATAATGTGTTTACTGTTATTATTTATATTACATTAATCATTATAAATTTTTGTTGCAAATTTCGAAAAATATACTACATGCTTTTATTTTTTGATTGAATAAAGAGAGCCAATGTATATCTCAAATCGATTTTAGTTAAAGATATCTTAAAATCATTTTATTTTTATATGATATGATAGATTAGGTATTTAGTGAGCTTGGTAGCAGAATTAATGCTACACGGTAGATTTGCTGCACTCGGATTTATTTTAATTTTTTAGACTAAATGAATTAATGCAAATATTTAATCATGGGCTTTGCAAATAAATCCTAGATTTTTTCTATTGTATGCGGATCAATAAAAAGGTTTCTGTATTGGGCTAGTGTGTAAACCAAAACTCTAGTTTACTATAAAGTAATAAGCGAAAGAACTAACAATACAAAAGAATTAAGTTGTGCGGCTTGTACAAACATAAAAATATATGAGGTATATTTATATGTTTTTTTTTTCATTCCCTAATTTTTTCATGTTCATGTATTATAATATAACTTGTTATTTTTTAAAGTTAACTGCATGTTGCAGTTTAAGTTTTTCACTTGAACGATTAAATTATTTTTAAAATTATTTTATTAGAAAAAAAAAATAAATAAATTTAAAAACTAGCAATAAAATTGCAATTATGGATAAAGGCAACAAATCAAGCAAAAATTCTTATTTTCAGTTTTCATTTCTCATTCTTTTGTTTTATTTCGTAAATGTTCACTAGATTTTAAATTGTATCAAAATTGACTGAAATTTGATGTGTTATTGTGCTTGTTTTCTAAATGAAAACACATAAATACGTATGTTCTATGTCTTTATTGGGCATATAAGAAGGCATATTAAGCGTATAACATACATGAATTTTGGCACAATAGTTTTTAAAAGACAGTTTATTTTTAGTAGATTTAACAAAAATTGTCATGCTTATTCTGTCATATACACACAATGCATTTATAATATATTCTAAAATAATGTAAAACAGAGATATTTAGTTGAAATGAAGTTTTACTTGCACAAATTACCTACACCTTTCTAACATGATCACGTTTACACGTTTAAAACATTTCAAAAATCACTACTAAAATAACTTCAAAAAAAAAAAAAAAAATTACTATTAGTGTGCATTTATACAGATATTGTTAGTGCATTTTCGTTGGTTAAATTCTGCTGCAGCTCAACATGTATGACACTTGGTGTGAGTTTTAAGGTCACTTGTACTTGTTATTGTTTTTTTTTTAAAGCATATTGTTTTGTTGTTTTTGATAAATGTTTTTATTGTTCTGATTTTAAATAATTTTGATTCGTTAAAATAACAGTAAATAATTATAAACTTGAATTATTTTTAACACAGTTACATTTTTTACACATTAATTATTTTTCTAAAAGAAAAATCATATTATGTCAAGCTGTTGGTCAATTTCCCCCTGAATTTACGTTTTCTTGAAAAATGGCGGTTACGGTGAAAAATAGTGAATCATTCTCGAGATAAATGGGTCGAAATAAAATTTTTACTTTATTTTACGCGTTAATAATCATGTTACAAACTCTCATATTAATGATCATCAGTATTTAATTTTTTTTTTAAATTTGTGAATATAATATCTAGATTGTATCATCCATTGTATTTGATCACCATCCTAATTTCTGAAGCTTAAAAATGAATTAATAAATAAAAAAATTCAAATTTGTAAATTTGCGTGCTGCACATAGCACTTAGAAAATTTATTAAATTTTTAATTATTTACTTAGGACAAACTTTAATTTAAAAATAAGATTAATGGTGTTCGATAAATGAATTAAGATAAAAACGATAGTATTAAACAATCAGTACAATGAATTTTGTTCTTTTGTATTTAAAGTAATGTTAGATTTTCTTAAAATGTTTGTAGGCATCATTACATAATAGTCACTTGACACGAGTTATTTTCATCCCAATTTACGCATTTTTTATTTTTAATATAACGTTGATAGTGTTGACATTTAACCCTCCCTTCAAACCTAAAAAGTGACTGGGACTAGGATCAGTGAAGTGTATTATTTGGTTATACTTATCATCTTATCAGTTAATCTAAATTCTAGTTATGCGTTAGTTTGGGATTTTATTTTATAAGCTAAATATTTCGATACGTGATTACAATACTTTAGACTAGTATCATCATCTTAATTAAATATTGATGTAAGTGAGTAAAATTACGTTGAATTTCTCAAAAATTAAATTATGTCAAGCGAACATACTATTGTTCGAAGGTTTTGGAAGCTCTTCAACTGGAGAATTTAATTTTTCATCGTTTTCGCTAAGTATTCTAGCAAATCTGGAAAGTGATCGAATCGTATTTATTGGCAAAGTAATTAATTTGAAATCTAGTTCTATGCTTTAGGATTTTATTTTATTTTCTATGCTTTTCGATGTGTGATACGAATACCTTGGATTAGTATCATCACCTTCACTTGTTGAATGTTGATTTAAGTCAGTAAAGTTACTTTGAATTTTCTTAAATCGAACTCTGCCAAGAGAATATACTATTGGCTTGTTATTACTGTTCGAAGGTTTTTGGGGCTCAGCTACTGGAGAATTCAGTTCTTCCTCGTGTTCATTAAATATTCTTGTAAATCTGGAAAGTGATCAAATTGTATTTATTGGCAAAGTAATTAATTTGAAACCTAGTTCTGTACTTTAGGATTTTGTTTTATTTGCTATGCTTTTCGATGTGTGATAAGAATTTCTTGGATTAGTATCATCACCTTCACTTGTTGAATGTTGATTTAAGTCAGTAAAGTTACTTTGAATTTTCTTAAATCAAACTCTGCCAAGAGAATATACTATTGGATTGTCATTACTGTTCGAAGGTTTTTGGGGCTCAGCCACTGGAGAATTCAGTTCTTCCCCGTTTTCGTTAAATATTCTTGCAAATCTGGCAAGTGATCGAGTAGTATTTACTGGCAAAGTATCAACTAATTTGAATCCCAGTTCTGTGTTACTTTGGGATATTGTTTTATCTGCTATGCTTTTCGATGTGTGATAAGAATACCTTGGACTAACATCATAACCTTCGTTTGTTGAATATTGATTTATGTCAGTAAAGTTGCGTAAAGAAACACTCAAGTCTGTTTCACTTTGATCTATAGATTGAGACTCCTGGTTACGAGCTAGGTTCATATTGTAAGCTATGTTCATATTGTAAGGTGGACGTAAAGAATTTTTTTTCGAAATTGTTTTTGGATCTTTCTTTTTTCTCATAAAGCAACAACAAATTATTATGTTGATCAATATAAACAACAGTAAAATTCCTCCTGCTGAAGACAAAATTATAATGAATTTTGTATCTGACAAAATCTCCTTCCAAGATCTGTCCGTCTTTGTATCGGGCGTTGAACTTATTAAAAATACTGTTGAACTATGCATATCTTCCGTGGATGTGACATTCACATCATCTGTAACGCTTTCATTATTCGTAACAGTTACTCCAGTACTTACTTCTGGGATAATTACTTTAGTCCCTTTCATAAAGACTTGAACAGTATTTGAAATTTTTGCCCTGTTACCACTGGCATCTTTTGCTCTTAGAGCTACGTAATAAAGAGCATCGTCATCGTTTCTTGGAAATTTAAATTGAAATATTTCTTTTCTCCCGCTGTTCTGGGGAGTTTGTGTCGTTTTTAAAGTCACGGTTTCTTCTGAATCGAAATACATATCCATTAGATTAGCTGGATGATTTGTTGCCTTAATTTCATATGCCGATGCTGAAAAATATTTAAAAGCTTTAAACTTCAAGAATACCTGTTCTTTAGTGACAATGAGATCACATTATGAAAACAATTTGCAAATTTAATTTATTAAATTTTGTGTATCCCTAAAAATATTAAAATGTTCTAAATGTTTCTAAAATGTTCGCTAAAAAATGCTCATATGAACAAATGCGAAATTTTTTAATTTTCATCGAAACTTTCTTTATATCCGGCTGAACTTTTTAATTTTTGAATAACTCTTGAGGCTTGTTGTTCAGATAAATATACCAAGACGTTTCTTGTATAATCATCAGCTTTTTTTCAACCCAGTAAATAAGGGAAAAAAATTAAATAAAGATTTCTAATTGACGATTTACAGAAAAACGTTACCGAAGCTGCATCAACAATGAAACAATTTGAAATCGATTGCCTAAACATTGCATTCTTTTTATCATGATTTTTTCCGTTTTCTTTTATAAATAAATTATAGTATGCAAAATAATTTTCCAGAGTGAATAATTTTACTCTTTAATTAATATATTTATAGAATTTGTGAACAATAAATTCTTTAGATTTGGAAAAATTGCCATTGCTAGAAGAAAATGGCATTGCTCCTGGAAGAATACGAAACGGACAAACGATAAATTCGATTATGGAGGCTTCTATGTGATAGATGTTAGTTTATATTCGATGATTGTGTCGTTTTGTTGAATTTTTATCAATCGTATTTAAGTGCATTTTTAAATTAATTGAATGTGGTGACAATCTATGTTAATGTATCCTAAATCAAAAGTTATACTTATATGAGAATGCAATGAACTTTTCCTCTTATTTGTTGTTGTTCTTCAAGACGATAGTATTTTTAAAAGTAAGTTACGTAAATTCTTTTTAAAATTTGTCTTCCTTACAAATTATTTTTAAAATATAGCATATGTAACATAAAACATAACATATAACAAATGTGTATAACGCGTGTAATACGTATTTAATGTTTTATAATATTGTGGAAACCTTAAAATTTTTTATCGTGCTTATATTATAAAACTTATCAGTAATAGGAAAATTGTTCTATAAAATCAATTATAAAACGTAACCAATTCATTAAGAGAAGAAATTTTGCACCAATGAACACAACAAATTGACTTCAAATTGACAAATCTGTATAAAAAATGCCTAGTGTTTAAAAATTACTTCGTGTTCTAAAAACAAAATGGCGGAGGCGATATTCCGTATCAAGTATTATATTGTGGAAACTTTAAAATATTTATTATGAGTTTAAACGTATCAAAAGTAATTTTTTTTCTTATCTGTGTTAGTTTTTAAAATTTATTCTCGACAGGAAAATTAATATATAAAATTAATTATAGAACAAAACCAATCATAGGTAAGAAATTTTTCGTACCTGAAATCGATTGGTGTTGTGGTTTGTGAAATATTGCTCTATTTGATGAAAAATCACGCGAAAGTTATACTTCAATTATACTATGCCTGTATAGCATGCTTGTTATGTACTGAGTGGTCCGTGGTAGCACAGCGGTTAGAGAATTGGATTTCGGTCCAGAAGGGCTAGGGTTCGATCTTCGACTCCGCTATGACGCACTGAGTACATGGAACATTTAGAGCAAAAATCCTTTCCTCTTAGGTCTATGCGTAAATTGAGGAAGTCGCTTCGGAAGTCGCACCTTTACCCTTGTGGTGCTCTTTTGTCAAACGAAAGGCTCACTTTCCTGACTCAATTTCTAAAAGCCGAATGGCTGGTGAGCCTGGCTTGTTCAAGTGTCATTAAAATCAACAATTGACTGGGAAAATGGTAATGGAGTAAATGGTTTAAAGAAATATACTTAGAAAATCACCTTTTCCAAAATCGTAATCATTTCCTGGTGCTGTCCATTGTAGAGTAACTGTGCTGTTGACGTGAATAATTTGAGATACTTTGAGATCTGCTACTCTGTTGGGAGGTAAAATGTCTACATCTGGAACCTTTGCTGTTACGCTAAATGAGCCAATGATTTTTCTTTGTGTCTTTTCAGGTTCGACATAGTTTTCTCCTGTTTCAAAAATTGAATGAAAAATTTTATTCCAAAGCAATTACTTTAACGTCATCAGACGCTTTTTATATCATGTCAACTTAATTTGACAGTATTCCAGGAAATGCACTCTCAGAAAAAATTTATTTAAAACATTTTGAAAAACAACCTTTTCATGGTAAAAAAAAGAAATAAATAAAAAAAGTAATAAATAAGAAAATAAATAACTAAATAATAAAAAAAGTAATAAATAAAATACTGCATGTAACTTATGAAAATCGTTCTTATAAAGTCTCTGCTAATTTTCCAGGGATTATGTTCATTTCAAATATTTTTAAAATGTGTTGCTAGAACTCTTATAAATTTTTTTTTATAGAAAGCAGATAATAAGTCGGTGGCTTATTTGGTGTTCTTATTGTTATTCGAAAACCACCGATTCTTCATCTTCTTTCTTTAAAAAAAATTATAAGAAATTCCAGCAAGACATTTTAGAATTATTTAAACTGAACACAATACCTTGAAAATTAGCCGAGACTATGTAAAAACTATTTTTATAAATTACTCGCAATATTTTATGTACTACTTTTCCGTGCTGACCCATAGAAAAGCTTTTTTTTTCAAGAACTTTTCAAAATTATTATATTGCTTATTATTTTGTGCTAGTATTCATTACGTTTTTGAGTTAAATATTGTACCTTATTTTTTTGCTCATAATCACTTTCAAAAGCACAAATATAAACAAAATAAACACGTGGTTTCAGATAACTTTAGAAACGCTAATTCGGTAACGTAGCACCGATTCACATATCAATCTCGTTGATGGCTGATCTTGGTAAAAATTAATTAAACATTAAAGAGCATATGATAAAATCTTAAATAGAATTGTTTACAATTTCATTTATAACAATAGCTAATGTTAAACTAAAGCGTTTTACAAACATTTCACACGAACGGAATATTTGAAATTTTTAAACGATTTTTCGTGTCGGATGCTAAAATTGCTCATCGGAGTCAATGACCTAAATTTCAGAACCCTAGCTCCAATGATTGTGGAATAATAAGAGATTCAAAATAACGTTTCGAGACAGGGGTAGACAAAATACTGAATAAATACAAAAGAAAAGTTGAAAAAAGATACAGCTTAGATTTGAAACATAATATTACTTTGAACCATAATAACGTACAAATTTGCTGCAATGTTCATGAAATATAAAACTGAACCGCTCTTCTATTCAAATATAACAGAAGTATGGAGAAATCAAGTTGAGAAAAGGGATTAAATTACATGATAATGAATGTTCAATTGGGCTCTTTATAAGGATTAAAGTTAATTTTAATGATAGTGATTCTACATGATCTAAAACTTCTAACAGTTTGTAGAACATATGAAATGCTTGATTTCTACAAGGGAAGTCTGAACAAGACTGCAAAAATTTTAAGGGAAGTAGGGCACATAATAAGGTATAAGAATCGCCTAGGAACTAATGACAGGAAATGTCATCGTACGTCGCTTAAGGCTCTTTCCTATTATGAACTGTTTCTTCGCGTGTCTTTGAAAAGGTACTTTTATTTTCCGAAATTATGTTAATTTCATGTTTTATATTAATTATTGTCGAAAATAGCATTTAAATTAGTTCATTATTAGATTTTTAATCCTAATTGAAAGGTTTGGCGAGCTTGTCAAGTTAGACTCCAAATCAGTAAGTTATGATTAAAAATCTAATACTGAACCAGTTTAAATAATGTTTTCGACACTAATCATAATTAAACACGAAACTAAGATAAATTAGATAAATAAAAGTACCTATTCACAGACACGCGAAGAAAAAGTTCACAATAAGACCAGGCCATTTTTTTAAATTGAATATTAGTCATATTTTTTGATTAAATCATAAAAAGCTTAAAATTTTTAAAACAAAATATCTTTTAATTATAAATTTTATCGATAAAAAATTATCGGTTTTTACCATTTTTTGAATTTGCAGGTCCTGCAATTTTTACTACGACTCCTACAGCATACGTTCCTTTTTCTTTGTATGATACAAAATATCGACTATAAATTCCATCACCAGATTTAACATCAGGATCTAAAAGTATTTAATTTTTTTAATATATTAATATACATATTAGAATAGTTTGTAACATTCCAATCTCTTCTAGATATTATCTTTTAAGTTGAAGATATTTATTTATACATTCTTTTATACAGCTTGTACTTACAATTACAAAATTCATTTACTGAAAGATAATTTTATGGATATTTTTTAAGGATTTATTATACTTCATTGTGCAGTAAAAATTTATTGCATTAATCATTTAATCCGAAATCTACAAACCAATTTAAATTAGTTAAGTAGTTCTTAAAAAATAACAATTTAATTTTTTAGAATATGAAATAAGATGAAGTCAATGCCTTATTTAAGCTACAAAATCTTACCTATACTTTTTATACATACGTTTAGGACATTCATTTAAAGCGTTTTTTTCGTTAAAACCGCAAGTAGGAGAAAAAGGGTTTCCTGAAATAGCGTTTATCAATACGATACTTTTGTGTTATTTGGAAATTAAATTTTCTACCAAACTTGCAGCTTCCTTACAAGACAACATAAGCAAAACAAATTTTCATTATTTAATTTTTTGAAAAAAAATTTCTTGGTGGAAAAATTATTAAATGGTGCCATTTAAAAAAAATACTTTCGAATCGATTGGCTTGGCTTTCAAATCGATTGGCTTTTGAATCGTTTGGCTTTCGAAACGATTGGCTCATTTCATATCTGAAATGAGATTATTACCCTATTTAAAATACTAGATATGAAATACTTTCGACCACCAGGTCTCTTTTTCGAGGAAAAATTCCAGTTTCTAGATTCGTAAATTGTCTTTTGAGACATTAAAAATTATAATAAGTTTAATAAGTACAATCGTATTAACAAATGTGGGTCGGTATAACAAAAGAAGTGCTCACAGAGCACTGATAATACTAAGTTCAAATCTTCGCGATGGCTGTTTATTTCGTTGACCACAGTGCTAGATTACTCACGGAATAAAATTCCATAGGCACCTGGTTAATCGTGAGTGATTTTGGTGGCTTTCTTTAGTAATCAAACCCAAATTCTGGAAAATGCCATTGGAAAAATATTCTCCTCTAAAATTCTAATATATGACGTGTAAGTTACCTTGTCTCCTGTGTTAAGTGTAAGACTACGGATTTGAAAATTTTAAAACACGCACTTTTCTGCGTTATGAAATGACTGTTCAACGACAGTAAGAGTGAAGAGTCAGTATAAAAAATTTACTATCACCGTCATGATAGACTTCTATCTTTATGGTGCTCAAAATTACCTCAGAACAACAGAAGCTGCAATTTACCTCCTTATGACTACGTTGACCAACACATCCTGGACTGCTTGGGTCATTCCAGGGACGATTTACACGCTGCTCCAGACAGTTGGAAGATCAGCCACAACAAAAACAACTATCACCGTGAATAATATTTTCAAAAAATTCTTTTTTTTCTCCATATACTGGAAAAGTTTTATTACTTGAAAAATTTTAACGCAACTTTGAAATTATTTTCCTTATAAGGCCAATTTCTAAGTAGTTTGATACAGAAATAATTATGTAATAAATAATTATTATTAACGTTGTAAAATAATAATAATTTTTAACGGTTCACAATCGTTATTTATTTAAAGTATAAGATTGGTGTTTAGATAAAATGTTGTTGTTATATGACTGTTGCTTTTGCATGACTGTTGTTTGAAATAAAATGCACGATACCTGTTAACGTACAAACCTATTTATTTATTTCTTGGCACCATAGTCCATTTTGAACTATGGCCTTTGTAACAGTTCCGCTCCTCATTTTTAATTTCTTATTTTCAAGCTCTGAAGGTCTCTCTCAGCCTCAACATCAATTCCTCTGTTTTCTCCATTTTCTTTGACCTTAACGATATTTTTGTGCATTGGCTGTCATCCATTCTCCAACGATTTGCCTTTTTCCAACTTTATATAATTTATTAGTTTCTTTTCTTTAAACAGAGTTTGGATTGCATGGCTGAATCGTTTCATCGCGAATCACATCACCCTCTCTGACTGGTCCCAAATGGCTTTCAAGATTTTACACTCAATGATAAATAACATTTTTTATGTTTTTGAATCAAGATCCAAATCCTTGAACCATAGATTACCGTTGGTCTGAACACAGACATATAAATCTTGAGTTTTGTTTTCCGTGTTAATATACACAATATGTGCCCCATTGTGGCACATCAAATTTAGCCTGCCTTATATTTTTTAAAAGACGAATATCAAATTTTTCTGCTAACATATAAATTACTAATGAATGTTTTCATTTTTAACAAAAATCATATTTTTATAAGAACAAAACACACTTACGTTAATGATGATTAAATTATTTGTTTTGTAATGTTAAAGTAAAATTCTCACCACCATTCCCGTTGTCTAGGAGCTCAACTTCTGTAGGTATATTCATGCCAGGTCCAGTAATTTGAGCAATTACTCGTACAGTATTTTCTTGATACGACCCTGAGATCTCTGCATAAATTATTAAAACATTTTGCCCTGGTGTGATCTGAAATGAGTAATTTTTTGTGGCTTCAGAGATGGTTGTGAAAAAGGAATAAAAGATATGCGAGACTGATGCGTTTTTAACAGCTCAAGAATAGCTAGTTAGGAAATTTAAATTTTTTTTTTGAAAAAGCGAAATTCTGCTTATTAACAAAAAAAAAAAAAAAAAAAAAAAAAAAAAAAAAAAANAAAAGAAAAGGAAAAAAAAAAAATTGGTAACACAACCGATTTCTTCCTGTGAGGCACATCATAAGGAGGGAGCACTCCGTAACAGGAAATATTCTCCATCTTAACTGATTACTTGTAACTCGCGAAGAAAAATACGTGATTAGGCCCACCCATGGGATTTAATTCACATGATTGTGCTTGGTACATTTCAGCAATGGAATGCCTGTAAGTGACGTTGCGTGGTTATCTCAATCCTGATTGGTTATTGAAACATGGCATTTGTTTACGCTGGCAACTGTTCTTCCCATTCTATTTCGAGTTAGTCAAGCCGTTCAATTATCAATTTTCTTAAGTGACACATTCTATATTCCTTCACAAAGATTTCAATTTTCTCACTATATATTTCTTACTTAACATAAAGACAGATACAGCTATAAGCGACGTCGCATGTGTGTGTCGAACCTGATTGGCTTCTGAATCGTGGCATAAACGAATGTCACAATTTACCCTCCACGACGTCGCTTGCAGGTATCCAATTGGTTCGCTTTTTAATCATGAACTGTTGTTTCATATGCCTTTGAACAGATACTTTTCTTTATCAAAATTACGAGTTTTTTTAAAAATTATTAAAAAATTGCATTTAAATAGTTTCTTTAGTGTTAGTTGTTTTTATCGTAATTTAATAATTTGGCGATGAACTTAACAAGCTCGCCAAATCATTCAATTATGATAAAAAAAAGCTATTTTTTTAAACTATTTGAATGCACTTTTCAAAAATATGTATTAAAAAGCATACAATTATCATAAAATTATTATATTTTATGTAAATAAAAGTATCAGTTCAAGAACATAATGACTAATACTATATGCAAAGGAAAGCACGCTTAGCTGCGTACGGTCTCTGGTTATTATGGTTACTGTGCAAATTCCCTACCTACCTATAAAGCTTTTACCCCTGGGACATAATATAACAATCTTTTAGAAGCAGCATGTTTCTTTCAGAAATAAATACAACATTAGTATTGTAACTGTTACAAAATTACCTATAATGGAAAATATTCGATATATTTACTTACAGTATATTGGTTTAACCATCCTTTCAAAGAAATGGCGTTTGTAGAAGACGAGAGTTTGTAAAGGATTGCTGAAGCAGAACAAACTGGATTATTGACACCATCTTTGACTTCGAATTTGTACGTCCACATTTTTGGCTTAAAATTAAGAAAAAATAAGTAATAAATAAATAAATAAATAAAGAATGAAGGAAATAAATAACTAAATAAAAAAAAATGTTACAAATGTTCTAATTTTGCTTCAAAAACAGATACCGAAAATTTATTACATAACTGATTTCTAGACTCTTTCTAGAATAGTTGGAAATACAATTTCGGAAGTAATTTTATTGAGTAATATATTTGTATATTGAGTATGGTTAGCACAAATGAATGATCCGATTTTAAATATTTATCTTTTCGAAATTAATACACATTTTACAATAAGAAATACATGATATTGTTTAAAATTCTAAATTTTTTGTCTCATACGTACAATGTGTGATCCTTTTGTTACATGACAAACATATAATTTATAATCAAGTTTTTTTCCACACATTTTGCAGTCATAACTTGTATTAGCATCAAACACAAAGTTACAGTTGAAGTCACTGTGGTTGGCCTAGCCATGAGTTATTGAGGTGCCTGGGTTACAGACTCTTAATCCTCCTTCTGATCATTTAAAGCAAAGGGCATGACTCAAATGAAGTTAGGCATATCAGTAGTGCAATTAAAAATAAGTTAGAAGTTTCTTCATAAAAATTTAAATTAATTGAAACAGTGAGTTAAATAAAAAAAAATAATGGTGAGTTCAGTTAAATGGCAATGGTATATTTAAAAGAGCTCCAATGTAAAAACAGAAGCATGAGAGAAATGAATAAGATAATAAAATATCCTTTTTTATATTTATATTAAAACATAATCGCTATGTAAAATATCCTGACTGTATTTTTTTTTTAGTTGAAATTAATCAGAAGGTGGCTGAGCAGGATGGTATATCGATTGACCATAAGTTCTTATTGGCTATTATTTGGCTATAGACTTGGCTTGTAGCAGTCCATTATTTTGTATTACTTAAGGTTATAATAAGTGAAAAATATCCTATTTTACATTTAAACAATTTATAGTTATGTAATACAGCTAGGTAAAATCTTCTAATCACCGCTCACTTGAAAACAATATTTTTTCAAATATCTACTTATTTGCAATTATTTAGATTTAAGAAAAGCAGTTTCATAGATGGAATGTCTTTAATTTGCAAAATCAATTGTTGATAAATTTTTGAGTGTGAATTTTCAAAAGACTTTTTTTTGGATTTTATATTTTGGTTAAGATAGATATAATTCCGATTGTCTAACAGATTTTTTTAAGCAACAATTAAACCGTTTTTTAAAATTAAAAATACCGAAATATATTTTTATTAGTAATTAGTAATATAGTTAAATAATTAGAAATATAGTTATTAGTGCGTATTAAAAAATATATATTCGAGAGACATCGGTGTCCCATCAGCTTCAAAGGGAGAAACTTTGTAGCCATCAGGGATTGATTAAAATGTTTACTGTCATCACTTATGGAGCTGCAGTATTGATTTGTCTTCTCTAGTTTGTTTGAATTTCAGTTCAAGATTTTCCCGTGGCGATACCATGGATGGTCATGAACTGATTGAAGCTAGTATTGTTATCATCCCCACATGATATTTGAGCACTCTAATTACTTAGAAAGTTATCGGGTTTCTTATGAACAATAAATTTCATTTGGAGATAGACAAATTTTGTTTATAGCGTTCAGGAAAAGATTCACGCTTGCTTTGTTGTCAGGTGCAAAGCTATAGTTGAGATTTTATTGCTTTAATTTGTCAGAAAATGGTCATAATGGACTGTGAAAATTTCACTGTCTCAAATATAAAGTTTTTCGTTATTGAATGCAGTAAATATTTCGTCAATTTTAAATTTCTTTAGCTAAGAGAAAATCAATATTGATTTTTCTTTCTTTCTTGTCCTTTATAAGATTCAATGCTATTTTCATAAAAAAAAGTTTAATATCACTTTTAAGGAACTGAAGAGATCTTTTTAAATGAAGGTAAAATGAAAATTTATATCATAGTAGTAAGCGTTTTTAAGTAAAACTAAGTATATGCAAAACTAAGTACTACAATTATTTTATAAAATATACATTCTAAATATATTTTTTAAAAAAATACTAATTTTGTACTCAACCATAATTTTTTTTAAAGAAATCTCGTCACCGAAAATGATTTTTTTTAAGACGTCGACTTAAAAATAATTCTATATAAGTTAGTTCACAACTGATAAAATAAACAAATACACTACTTTTCACTTATAAAGTTAGCATGTTGAGTCTTATTAAATAGGATTTTTTTTTAATTTAAAAAAAGTGCAGAGAGAATGGTGTTTTTTTTGGAAGGGGGAGAGGTTACAAATATGAAGCAGATTTAATTAGCTTAGTAACAAGTAAGGTTTAGTAAAGTATTTAGACATCACTAGTGAGGCTTAACTATTACAAATAAGTATAATATTACACATCTAGAAAACTTACCTCCACCTCATCTGTTAAATCAGTAACAGTTCCACATTTAAAAGTAGCTATGTATTCTTCATCCCAAGAAGAACAGTTGGGCTCACGAGTTATTTGACCTCTGAGGTCACAATGCATAATGTAAACTAACTTCCCTTTAGTAACAGATGGAGTAGAAAATGTATCTGTTATTGAAGAGACAGTTTTGTACGTCACTTCATGTACCTAAAATTTAAAAAAATAATGTTACAAATTTTTTAATAGTCATAAGAAAATATTATCACAGACTTACAATACATTTCATTAGGCTTTCTAAAACAGAACGGAGAAAAAATTGCTAGAAATCAATAACAATTTATGACGGTTTGGTATTGTGCTGAAATCGAAAGAGAACTGTTTTTGTTCAAAGTTTATTTTTTAAAAAAATGACTTTAAAATGTTATAGTCATGATAAGAAATTGTTTTTGATCCATTTTACTCTATTAGTTTAATCCACAAATTTTTTTTCGTAATATTAATTTTCATCAGCAACATTGTTTAATTTTGATTGTAATTTTGTTTTATCTTTCTATCTAATCCTGAAAAATAAAAACAGGGATGGTTAAGTTCATTAACGAACTTTTTACAATTTGTTTTTCGTTAAAACAAACCATTTACAAAATATTTCACCAAAACATGGAAATTTAAAAAAAAAAAAATTCCTGTGAAAACAGATTTTTTCACTAAAATATTCTACCTTGAAAATGGACTCATCATTTTATATTTTGTTTTAAAATCTTAAATGATGTTTCAAAACTACTAGCAATTGACTTACATTGCTTTATTTGTGTTGAAATTGCGGTGATAACCAGTTTCTCTTGTTATATTCACATTCTGAAAGTTATATAAGGCCACAGATTTACCTAAGACAAGAATCAGCCTTTTTTAAAAAAGATATTACTCAAATTGGACATAACACTGTCCCACTATTTCTAGACGGAGTCACCAAATTTTACCAATTTCGATGTGTTTTGAATTTTACTTTAACAATATTAATTAAAAAAAAGCTATTACTATTAGTCTGTCGTCTTGATCGCCGTAGAATGAAGTTATAAACTCAAGATTTTACATTTCATTATGTTACAGGTCAAGAGCACAAGAAAATAAATTAGTTGCATAAAAAAATCTGGTATTTGATATCCACTATTAGTTTTAGCTAAATGTTTGTAAACTTTGAAAGATACAGACGTGATATTTCAGAGAAATGTTTTTATTTCATTATAATTAATTGGTAAAGTATGCCCTTACCACTATAATTTTGTCATCTACTTCCAAAGGACTTTTGACCGCAGCAGAGAGGATGACATTCAGTTGTTCAAATAATAAAACATTTGGTACCAATCTGTCAGTAATCTCTGTTCGATAAGGTTTAGGCAATGAATGCAAAAACCCGCCAGTGGATCGCACTGCATTTACTAAATCAGTGGGCAAGACATCAGTTTCTGTATCTTCTATAAAAATTAGATGAAGTTGAACTTTCGGATAATTTTGTATTGTTTTCACGAGCTCTGATATTTTTTGACCAATGAGCGCACTTTCCCAAGCGATGAGGATGACTATTGGAGAAGGATGCGTTTTAAACTGTGATGCCTAAGAAACAGAAAAAAAGAAGATAAAATAAGATTTTATCCATAAAAGTATTTTTGAACTGAGACTAAGATTTTATTTATCACACTTAAAATTTGGAGGATGAAGAGTTTGAGAGTATGCATCTCCCTCATCAAATGGTACCCGGTCTTGATTCGAAAATCAAAAATTTTTTATGTATTTAATATATATATATATATANAGGCAAATTATGTTTCTCTTTTCTATTTTATATTTTTTCTTAAATAAATATTTATTTTCTAATATTATTTATGGCCAACTTTTTAAATTATCCAGTTTAATATTACCTTGCTCACATCCATTTTGGGCCCATCCTTGGTAACTAACAAATCAATGCACAGCATAACAAATCAGTTCAGCAATGCAGTAAGAACGGAAATTCCTTTAGTTACACTCAATTTGCGCTTTTTTTTTTCATATTTTGTAATCTAGCAATCTTATTGCGAAAATACTTTTAAATCGTTCTTAAAAAATTTCCCGTTCATGTAAGTACATCTGATTTCGCTACTCGCTTTATAGTTTTTGTTTTGTTTTATACTATTTTTTCTTTTTCTTATATTTTATTTTCTGTTTATTGCGTGTTATTTTTACTTATTGTGTTCTATTTTATTTGTAGTAATTTTTGTAAAAAAATTTTTTTGACTGCTCCTTGCACTATTGTATTAATATATTTTGCTTTGGCTATATTTATACAATATCAGAAAGCGCTCTTTTTTGCGGATATAATGGTGTGGGCTGATGAAAAGATTATATCTTTTATTTTCCGGTTTTTTTTCAAAAATTTTTTTCACCCCCCTTTTTTCAATCAGTTGTTTGTTATTTTTTTCATTAATTATTATTCCCCCCCCTTTTGCATATGTCTATAATTTTCCTTTGTTTTATATTCTTTTTGAACTTATATATAGATATATATATATACATATACAGGGCCCACTCTAAGGATTTCAAATTATTAGCCAAATATCAAAGGCTTTCGCTATCTTTCGAAAGTCTTCGCCAAACACAAATCTTATGATTAATTTTTTTCTCACAGAAAACTATTTTACGGTAGTTTATTTGAGGCTTATATTATTTGAACCCAATTCTAATTAGATATGCGATTCATCTACCGAAAATTACTGTTATCTGTTTAGAAAAATTTACTTTTACGTCATTTTGAGGATCGAGTTAAATTTTTTTTTATTTCCAGTAGAAAAAATCCTTTGACAAAACGCAATTTTATTCACCAAATTTACGATTTTTTCGCATTCTGCAAGGTGGTGAATAAATGCTTAGCGCAGGCCCTCTCTCTCTTTCGCTCTTTATATATATCGGATCTCGAGAATTACATATATAGGATTGAAAATAGTCACATTCAATATTTTTTAAAGCTATCCAATGATAACAAACTCGATCTTTCACCCCCTGTAACATATTTTATCGTGTTTTTACACTTTCTCATACTTTTTAAATCTTGAACTTACATTCAAAGCTCTTTGAATTCCACAAAGCAAGCATGCGTTTGTCTTTTTTGTTGTCACTACATGTGAATCCAAAGTTTCAAGCAGTTCATCGTAATCTTCGATGTTCAGGGTAACTGATTCTGAAACATCAGACGAGTCTGAAAACGTCACAAGATTCAGTGCTGATTTTACTGGCACTAGATTCCTTATGAAACGATAGAGAGAATATCGCAGTTCTTGAACAACCTACCGAAAAAAATAAATTAAAATATATGACTTTTGTGAATGTTGAATTGCCATATAATTACAGTAGAAATAGCTATACTTACTGATTCGTGACTTATGTAACTAATGATTGATTTTAACTATGTAAAATAATTTATTTAAATTGTATTAATTTTATTTAAAATAAATTAGTTAAATAAGCAAGAAATATATTTGAGGTATTGATTTTTTCTCATAAATTTGTACAGATTAAAAAAAATCTAATATATTTTGGTATACATAATGTTTTGTTTAAAAAAAACATAGGCTTAAACTGACAATTCTTGCATGCAGGGTTTATCTAATCAAAAAATAAATTTACTTGCTTTTATTAGAGTATGAAAATTTGCCTAGTTATATTGAGTCAACTCCATTTTGCTGACTTGCTATTTTTTTTATTGAAATGTTTCACACAGAAATATCGACAAACATATATCTTAAACATTCATAAAATCTAGAAAAATGTAAAAATTCATTGGCTCTGGTAAAAATATAATCACTATTAAAACAAACGTTAATAGCATAAAAATTGTTAGAATCCTAACTAAACAAGCAATAAAAATATACTTTCATTTATATTAAGTCATCATTATACATAGAACTTTCAAGTATGCGATGCAAAAGCTATCTTTTTACCAGTTAACCAGTGTGACAACTAACCCCAGTATTACCTATATACATATATTCATCAATAAGATATACTCTTTTTTATCTGATAAAATTTTAAAGTTTAATAAACTTTTCCTCTTACCAATGTAATATCTGATGATGCACTGTTTTGAACCGCAAATGTTAACTGAATATTTTCTTCTTTATAACACTTGAAAGTTGGACTTGGTGGAACAGTAAAATTACTAGGTGAATTTCTAAAAATATAAAACGTGCATCAGATCCTTTGTCTTGTGATTAACCTTTTGCTTACGGCTGGTACAATGAGTGGACCAAAATGACATGGCTTCATCATGCTAAGCATGGTAGGCAAAAGATTAATAATAAAAAATGCATTTTAAAATCAATTCTGAACAATGCAGAAGCAAATTTAGTTTTATAAATTTAATTCTAATCATTAAATTTTATTTCAATTACCTATTAAAATTTATTTTTAGTTCAATTATTAAACTTTATTTTTAGTTCAATTAACAAAATTTATTTTTAGTTCAATTATTAGAATTCATTTTTAATTCAATTAAAAAATTTTTTTTAATTCAATTATTAAAATTTATTTTTAATTCAATTAAAAAAATTTATTTTTAGTTCAATTATTAAAATTCATCTTTAGTTCAATTTATAAAATGTATTTTTAGTTCAATTATTAAAATTCATTTTTAGTTCAATTATTAAAATTTATTTTTAGTTCAATTAACAAAAATTATTTTTAGTTCAACTATTAAAATTTATTTTTAGTTCAATTATCAAAATTTATTTTTCATTCAATTATTAAAATTTAATTTTCGAAAAACAATTTAACAAGTGAAAGTAAATAACTCAATCCACTTCATACAATTCAATTAATTGTGCTTAACCTTTTAATTTCGACTGCTTTCACTTCAAGTATTTGCTTGCACATACTAATTACCCTCATTATATAACCTTATTTTATATAACCTTATTTTATGCAACCTTACTTTATACAACTAGAGTTTAGGAAATATAAACTTACAAAGATGCTCTATAAATCATGTTTTTAAATCATCGGGTTTTTAAAATTCCATTTTAAGAGTTTACCAGGATGAAGTTACAATGAAACCTGAGAAGTAGACTACTCGTATATATTGACCACCTGTCTAGGATGACCTCTAATATAAAAACCGAATTTATGCTACTAGTAAAAAATATTAAGGGCTTTTCTAACAAACAGTTCGTAAGCACATGGAACAAAATGAATTTTAAAAATGTTGAAATTAATATGATGTTAAGTTTTTATGTTCTCGTATGTTAAAAAAAATTATTTATTATAAATACATGACGTGCATCATAAAATCGGCATACTTTCACAGTAATATTTAATTTATGTAAGAAATTGAAATTTATTTTGGTACTTAATATAATTTCTATTTGATAAATAAAATTCACGTTAAAGAAGTTTAATTACATTTATATATATTTTAATTAATGTAATAAATGAAAAATATGAATAACATAATCTGAAAAATGATAAAAAAAAAACAGCGAAACATTATTTTCTGTAAGTGACCAATAAAACTGACCAATAAAGCAGCGAACAACAAGTATTCAACTTGCACTGGCTCTATTGTATTAAAAAGTTTCATTTTGTTTGGCATTATTAGACAAATTTATATCCAAATTATTATTGTTCTCCAATTCTAAAAAGTCGTAGAACTATTCGATCGATTTACCGCAATTTCTGTCTTTTATTTTAAATTACATACTTCAATGATAAAGAAAATTGTACTCCTTAAAACTCAGAATTTTTCGACATTATTAAATAAAATAATTAAAAATAATGAATAANGTGAAAGTAAATAACTCAATCCACTTCATACAATTCAGTCAATTGTGCTCAACCTTTTAATTTTCGACTGCTTTCACTTGAAGTATTTGTTTGCACCTACTAATTACCCTCATTATATAACCTTATTTTATGCAACCTTATTTTATACAACTAGAGTTTAGGAAATCTAAACTTTCAAAGATGCTCTATAAATTATTTTTTTTTTAATCGTCGTGATTTTAAAATTCCATTTTAAGAGTTTACGAGGATGAAGTTACAATGAAACCTGAGAAGTAGACTACTCGTATATGTTGACCACCTGTCTAGGATGACCTCTAAAATAAAAACCGAATTTATCCTACTGGTAAAAAATATTAAGGGCTTTTCTAACAAATAGTTCGTAAGCACATGCAACAAAATAAATTTTAGAAATGTTTAAATTAATATGATGTTAAGTTTCTATGTTCTCGTATGTTAAAAATTATTTTTCATTATAAATACATGACGTGCATCATAAAATCGGCATACTTTTTAAACTTATCACTGAAATATTTAATTTATGTAAGAAATTGAAATTCATTTTGGTAGTTAATATAATTTCTATTTGATAAATAAAATTCACGTTAAAGAAGTTTAATTACATTTATATATATTTTAATTAATGTAATAAATGAAAAATATGAATAACATAATCTGAAAAATGATAAAAAAAAAACAGCGAAACATTATTTTCTGTAAGTGACCAATAAAACTGACCAATAAAGCAGCGAACAACAAGTATTCAACTTGCACTGGCTCTATTGTATTAAAAAGTTTCATTTTGTTTGGCATTATTAGACAAATTTATATCCAAATTATTATTGTTCTCCAATTCTAAAAAGTCGTAGAACTATTCGATCGATTTACCGCAATTTCTGTCTTTTATTTTAAATTACATACTTCAATGATAAAGAAAATTGTACTCCTTAAAACTCAGAATTTTTCGACATTATTAAATAAAATAATTAAAAATAATGAATAATTATTAAAATAAGTTTTTACGAGAAATAATCTTCGGATAACTGAATATCAGAATATCCTTCAAAATTTTTTGGATATGCTTTAAAAGTTCTCAAGTTTTAGTGAAATACGCAAAAAGTACGATTGACATTGAGAGTTCAAATTTCGAATTGTGAGTACCCCGTATTTTGAGAATCAGAAATAATTTGTAGAAAAAAAGTATGTTTATTAAAAGAAAGTATTTTTTTTTGTTCATAATTTCGCAGCTTAAAATACATATTTGCTCTAATAAATTAGCATATTTGCGGTAATTTCTCAAACCATTGAGTGATATTCCGATCATTAGACCAAAAGTTATTCAAGTGTTCACTTTTTTATTTTGTACACTGTATATTTCCATAGGTGTAGGTTATTTAAAAACATATTAAATGTAATGCAGATGATATTTTCAGAAATTATTAGATGAGTCCTTGGAATTGATAACCGCACCTTGTATCAGTTTGGTAACTAAATTCCTGCCATTTTTTTTTTTTTAAATTTTAACTTTACGCATGTCGAATGTATTTGGTGTAATGGTTTAGATAATGAAAGCTTAGTTTTACTGGAATCTATGTTCTTTTTTGGAATTTTCTTAAAAATCTATGTTAACTTTATGATTTATGTTATTTTTTATGTTAATTTTTTTGATCTATGTTAATTTTCTGATTACTAAATTGGAATATCAAGTTAAGAAAAATGAGCCTTTTCGATCATTTCATTTTGCTTTTAAGTTAGTTTAGGTTCAGGAAGCTGCGCGTGAAATTCATGCTGTATATGGAAAGGGTGTCGTAGTTGAAAAAAATAGCCCGTGCTTGGGATGCAAAGTTTGAAAATTAAAAACTTAACCTCAAATATGCAATTCGTTCTTACCGTCCACTGAACAGTTGCCGAAATTCGCCAACAGCGACTGAACTGTCTTGGTAAAAAAATTCGCCCCAAAAGGTAAGGAAATTGGCAGAAAAAAATTTAATGCTCATGCACTTCAAATTCTTAGAAATTTTTTTTTTTTTAAAAATGGCTGGAACTAAATTGAAAACCCAATATAAAAAGCCTCTGACATAAGAACTTTTGGGGAGAAATAAAATTTGACGATTGAAAATTATCGAGTATGTGTTTTGATCATAAATTTCGTGCTGTTTACTTACTGTTCGTGCTGTTTAGGCTAAGAAAAGTTATTTACAGAGTGTTTATATGAAAAATATTGCAACTTTTTAATTTTTCGTTCATGATAAGCTATTTGTATCCATTTATTTACTTTCCATGCTTGAAATCATTTGAGTTCTCTATAACGGACCAAACTGTTTTTCCTTCACATAAATTATTGTGGAGTGTTGGCATCACCGGATTATGAGGAAAGCTCTCACTTCCATTGCAAAAGTGGCGTGCCTAAAATTTTAAAATGCAATATTTTAATGGGTTTATGCAACATTAAAACATAAATTATGAAACATACGCAACTTTAAAAAAATCTCAATCAGTTAAATATTAAATTTTTCAAAGTTAACAGTTAAAAAATCTATATAATTAACTAAAATGTTGAAAAATGTTGATAAAAAGTTGCTAATTGTCACTAAAAATAGTGTTTTTGCAATCACTTTGTAAATTTGATGCTTGTCAAAACACCTTTTTCTAAATTATAAGGAAACTAAATAAGTAAATTATTTGTAATTTTGGATTGATGCTTATACTTTACTCAGATAATTTCTAAACATGGTTACAATTCAGTAAAACTATGACATGCTTTGCAACTAAAAACAATATTTACCCCTGTATTGTTTATTTTGAACATTAGTGATGACTTTAAGTCTTCTTTAGGTACAAATTCATCTGGTAGTTTACAGCTCGATAACCCATCATCTTCAGACATTGTCGCGCTATGAAAATAAAGAAATAAAACATTTAAATAAGTATTAAATGCAAACATTTAACAAATTAATGTAAATCAATTTAGCACTTTCCCGTCTGACTAATTTCACAACAATCAAATAATAATCGACAATTTAGGCTATCGAGAGACCATGAAAATAGTCAAACTGATATGGCAAAAAAATGTGTTTAATTGAGATTTTTCATTTACTTCTAGAAATCAATAGAAGTATTATTTTATTATATTTTATGACGGATATTGAACAGTCAATCCAAGTTTGAGTTTACGGCTACGAATGTTCAACTCTGTAGCCTTGTAATTTTAAACCTAATCCAGAAGACAAGGGAATTCCTGGGTCAAGTATTGGGAGAGATTTTAATGGAATCAACCCACATTTGCGTCATATGTAGAGGAAAACAATGAAAACCTCTCTTGATTAGTCTGAAGACTCTAACCAATGATTCGTCTACCATTGAAGATATTTTACGTCAGTACTGTGGTCGGTGCAAGCCGGGCGCGGAATTCTTATCGACCAGCTATCGCTGGGATTCGAACACGGTTCACCTCATTGAGAGGAAAACACTCTATTCCCTACCACGGCTCTAATAAGCATCATTAAAAAGAAGGGAAAAAATAAAATTAACTCTTCTGAGATCTAGTGATTCACTACTGAAAGAGGCAGGACTAGAAACATCAAAAAATTCTTGATTGCTGAGGGAAACGGGGCGTTGAATGCGATTATTATAATTTTGTTTCATCTGGCAATCAAAATTGTTAAATGATTTTTACCACTTCTTCGTCAAGAGTGAGTTGACGGAATTCGATAGGATTCTTATTTATCCCTCGTTTAAGTACTAATTAGCGATCCTAATGTAAACATCTTTTAACTTCTTTTCTAACAAGGAATCAAAATATATATTAAAGGCGGTTATTACGTAACACCTTGTTTTTCCTTTAATTCCTTGACTATTCTAGAAAAGTATTTTAATTGGAGATAATTAATAATTGCCGATAATAATAATCATTTTCAGAATTGATGCGTCATTTCTCCAAAAATCACGTATAATTCTACAAAATACTTTACCTTGCTTCGATCTTTGCATTATAACAACCCACTGGCGACCAAATTTTATTTGGTGATAGATAACAGGCATCCTTTTTAAGAGGAGTTTCTTCAAATACACCATATCTGTAGGTAGACCACTCTTGTACAAACTGTATAGCTAGATCTGTAGATAGAAATTGTTTGAATTACGCTGAAAGTTTGAAACAATGAAAATGTTGTGAAATGATGGATTACAGCAATATATGTAACGGAGCAGAGTATTTTTTTATGAAATACAATTTGTAAAGAAAAGTAATTATAATAATATTAAATAAATAAATATACTCGTAATAACATCTTGTAACTATTACTTACGGTTATGGTTTTATGAATGGTTTAAAAGGTAACTTTCATTATGATTGTCTTAAAAGATACTAACTTAACTAAATAACGGAGTATATTTAAAAAGGAAAGAAAAAAAATAGTAACACTGTTTAACTATTATTCACGCGATATTCATCTTATGAAAATCTGAAGAAGAAATTCTTACTTCGAATATCTCAGAAGAGGGTTGTTTTATAGAATGATTCCATTCCGAATACAATTATTGTAAAATTACTCAACACGTTTCCGAGCATTAAAAAAAAGTCGTTTTTAATAATCGTAACAACCCACACGTGGAGGCTTTTACATCACAAAATGAAAGACATTTTAAAATTTGGGTAACTTCGGAAGATTTTATTTGTATTAATATACTGACGGAGAAAAAATCCAACTTCGAAGATTTGTAATTTTGACCTCGTAATTTTGTTATACAGCAAATTTTTATGTATAACAAAACTATTGTATTTTTTTGAAAAAAGTATACAATAGAGTTTTGGTGGTTAAGAAGCTAATCACAAGTATAATGCCGAAAGTATCAGATAAATATTAAAAATATAGATTACATTATCTTTTTAATCCTTAAAATAACGTTATCTCTACTTGTTTTGTTACTTGACAAAACAAGTAAAAATTTACTATATAACCTCCTGAGAATCAGAATCCAATATATAAGACAACATTTCAGACAATTTTATCACTTAAAAAATAGTTAAAAATTGTGTTTATGTTTATGAAGTGATTTTTTTAATGTAAAAATTACATTGGGATCAACCCTCGTTCATCAGAGGCTTTAATTACAATGTAAAATTTAAAAGAAAACGTAAGAAATATGATTCCAAATATCTTTTTCTGTAATTTTTTGGCTTATAAATATTTTTGTGGCGAAATATGCTATAAGAATATCCCACAACATACAAAAAATATTAAAAATTCACTATTTTTTATGTAAAAATTAATAACAAAAACTTAAATAAGTTTAAATAATCGAATTTTGTTTAAAATGTTCTCGCATTTATGATATTGCTTTCTTAAGATTACAATTTCTGCTGTTATTTCAAACACAGATCAGAGGAGCTTAAATGTCAATTTTCATTTTGAAACGGAAATTTTTTTTACCTTCAGTGTTTCCATCTGTCCAATTCAGTGGCATGTAAATGATATCTCCTTCTTGACCGCATCCTTTGCTATTTTGAGCTTGCAAAGCCCCAGGTAAGTCTGATATGAAGATATTTACTTTTTCTGGAGGTTCTTCTGCACGATCTGAGCAAAATCCTCCCACCCACTGAGGTGGAAGGATTATTATAAATTCTTTAAAATAGGCTCTCTTTTTTGATGCTTGGTATAAGAATTCTGATGATTTTCGCAAAACTTGCTAAAAATGGAAGAAAAAAAATTATTTCCTACTGGAATGTACTTATAGGATGTAATTGGGTACTTGATATTCAAGAAGAAGAAGAAGACGATCACTGAAATACAGACATCTGACCAATGACTTCACAGCTAGCTGGTTGTTTCAAACCAAGATCGCGTGTTAGTATTCTGGATATTCCTAGCTAAGGTCTAACTCAGTTTCTCTACATAAGTTGGGATGTAATCTACCGTGAAGTTAATTAAATACAGGGCCGTATCGCATATCGAATTCCTTAAAATATAATTCTTTCTTGTCTACGTCTTTTATTTAAATTTTATTTATTATTTGCTTATATATTTTATTGTAACCGTGATTATTTTTGTTTGGTTTATTTCGCAACTTCATTTTATAATTTGTTTATGTTCTAAGTGGTTTTGTACTCGTCTTTGTGTTAGGTACGAAATAAACCAAGTTTTCTTTGTGAAAGAATATGGAATGTGTCAAAAAGGAGAATTCATATGTGACTGTCTAAGCTTACTCGAAATAGAATAGAAAGGATAGTTGTTGAGTAAACAAATGCCACGTTTCAACAGCCAATCAGAATCGATACGCATACTGGCATCACTTGCAAGCAACTAATAGTATAGTTTATTGGAAAATACATAAAACTTTATTTTGTGTTGGTTGATAAAACAGAAAAAATATAATCAATACAATTTCGTTACAAAGCCAAAATTTTAAGAATACGATAATTTTTAATTATTGCAATAATTTGTGCATTTTTTGAAAAATTAATTCCACATTTTAAAAAATGTCAGATTTGATCTCTTGAAAGAGGTAGCACAAAATTTGAAGAAACAAGAATTTGCAATTTTGCTTTAAACTGTCGCATGTAGATGAAAGGAGACATTTGTTTTCATAACTAGATACTATGGAACGGGATAGCCTGGTAGGCAACGAGATGGGCTCACGTTTGTGAGAACGGGAGATCGACTGACAACTCCCCGTGTAGTAAATGGTGACTGGTGCTAGTTAAATATGTCAGGTCGCAAAGTCCTCCATGTTCCCATAAAATATTAAACCTCTGGGGGTATTGGATCGGAGATTGATCGTTCAAAATTACGATCTGTGAATGAATGAAGGGATGTATGAATGAGTCCGCCCTATAAACGGGTGTGATGCATGGGTGTGACAGAAGTCAAATTTTTGGCAATAGATGGCGCCACATAAAAAGAAGAACAATCGCACCTACAAATGCCAAAATGGCCAACGACAACAAAAACCAGATGCTACAAGTATAAAAGAACTGCATGTATATATGTTACCGTTAAAGTATGAAATCCGTTATTTTATAGAATACCTAGTTATTTCATAGAATAACGATCTGCAACCCGTCAAAGTGTGAAATAATCTATATCATATATCTCGCACGACAAATACATTTACCATTATTAGATTTATTATTATTCGAAGATTATGTTTCAAAAGATGAAGTTGAGCAGAAAATCTGCAAATTGTGTTTTAATAAACTTAATGTTCAAAGAGAAAGAGAATAATCAGAAAAAAGTTAAGAGATTCAAGCGAAAAAGATGAAATTAATGTCGGATAAATCTCATTCTGAAGCCTCTGTGGGGTTTACCGTCCGTGCCTGAAGTTGACAGAGGAAAAGGTGATACCAAATCTATTTTAGCTATCATCATAAAAATAACCGAAGAAGGAATTTTCCAATTGGGCACAAGAAACGGCCGCATAAAACAATTATTTTCCCGATCCCAGTTCAGCGTCTGCGAACAAAAATTAATTAAAATCGAAGAAGTATTGGATGTCGAAATATAGCTCCGGTCGAATGTTACAGCTCAAAGTTTAGGTACTGGTCTGGGATTTAAAAAATGTTCGTGTAAAACCCAGTGTGTCAATAAAAAACGTTTTTGTTTTAGAAATAATGTTCTTTGTAATACCGAGTGTCATTTTAGTAATCCTTGTTGTAACAAATGATTTCATGGTACGTTTCCAAAAATACCATTTATACGCTGCATAAATTAGATAAATTGTTTATTTTATACTTTAACTGTCTCTCATTAGTTAATTTATAGGAATACCTAGTTATTTCATAGAATAACTTTTTAAAGTGTCAAATTAATAACATATTACACACTTTAACGGACACGATCAGTTATTTCATGGAATAACTAGGTATTCTATGAAATAACTGCATTATATACTTTAACGGTAACATATATATATAAATTATTTTATATGGATAGATTAGATTTTGATGCGAGGAAAGTTTCGCTTCCTTTTTTTTCGCTGTATTCATTAAGCTTGGTTGAAGTGCACTATATTGCGTAATTATGTAAAATGCATCGGGTTCTATGTTACGTAATGCGTCTGTATACTTAACGCATTTGAAAAAAGTGGTTAGTAATATTAAATATTGAAAAAAAAAAATACGAAAAAACAAAACCCCTTCCTGAAAGTTTTTTGAAACTGAAAGAGTGTGTACGTTCTTAAAATAGTTGCATAATAGTATTTTTGCTGTTGTATTTGGTAGAAAAATTTCTGAATATAAATAATTTATAGCAACTTAAACAAATTATAAATTATTAAAAGCAAAGAAAAAGAAAACTTTAACGTCTGAAATGAAAAAATAGTAATAATACTATTTTATCAAACGTACTCTTGATGTGTGCTGCCATCAATAAAATTAAAAAAATAATAATATTTGCACTTAATTTGTGACAAATTTATGTCCGAAAAACAATTCATGTGTTAAAATAATTAAATTAAATGCCCTTAAAACGAACTCTGGGCATAAATAGGTTAATACGCTAAGAATAGGGTTAAAAAGTTTAATCAAACGAAAATTATATACCTATATACTTTATTTATGAAATTATATGATTTTAAGTAAGCAATAACCTTTTGGAACGATAAATCTTTTGCTAAAGGAAATCAAGTTTTATTATAAAATCAAGCTTGATATTATAAAAGAATTTTATTTAATCGCATTTTTTCAACTATCTAATTTCTAGTTAGTCATTAATTAGGAAAAAGAAGACTAAAATGATTATTTACCCATTATCAAACCGTAAGTAAATTCTATATTTTTAAACATTCAAATTTTGAAGAATTTAAACTGCTCTTGCAGGACCAAAGATAACTTTAATTAGTTTAAATATAAAGTATCGTTTAAAAGAGGGTTTGAGAATTTCAAGGTGATGGTAGATCTTTTTTGTTTAGTTCTGTGGCTTAGCAAGGTTTTTTATAATTATAGAAAAAAAAGGGGCAAATTGTCAAGATCAGAAAGAGGAATTCATTTTTTTTTCGGGTAAAAATAAAACACATCGAAATGTTTTTTCGTAACAAGTTATTTCACAATAATATAAATTGCCTAGCAATCTGGATTAAATATATAACCTTTTAGAAAAGTCAGAGAAATTTTTGAAACCCTTGCAAGACCTGAAAAATCCTTAATTTTTTAACACAGTCGGGGGGGGGTAATTTACAAGTTAGAGGAATCTTATATTTCTGAGGAAAAGAGAGAATGTTTCTTAAGACATTTTAAAACTTAATTTCTCTTAAGGCAAAAGAAGCATTTATGTCTCTTGTGCAATAATATTTTTCCAATTTCATCCTTTCGGATAAAAAAAAATTTCTTTGGATTTTATGTGTAATAAAGAGAATACATTAAGTTAGAATTATTATTTTTAATAAGTACAGATTTAGTAAAAACGAGTATTTATGTCTCCGATATTTATACATCATAAAAATTGGAATATAGAAAACTTTTCTAAAAACTGGAAAAACTTTTCAAATACGTATAAAAACAAATAAAATGCTAATCTACTTCGCTCACAAGACTTCACTTTTGTATTCTCTGTAATTTTCTTAATTTAATTATTTTTCTTAATTTATTTTATAGCAGATATATTATTAATTTTTTAAATGTAAATCTTCAATTTACAGTTTAAAATTTTCCTTTTAAGAAAAAGTCAAGAAGAAAGTGCAATATTGTTTAAACATGTGCTCTTAATAAAAGAGTTTATCTTAATGTAATCTTAATGTTAAGTTAATATTTTTCCAATCTTATGCTTCCGGGTAAAAAAAGAATTTCTTTGAAATACTGTGTGTATAAAAGCGAACAAATGAAGTTAAATTTATTTCTTTGATATGTTCGCATTTAGTAAGAAAGAGTATTTATGTATTGGATGTTATTAAACGTACATTACAAAAATTAGTATATAATTACTATTTATCTTAATGTTAAGTTAATATTTATCTGAACTTATAAATTGCAAAAACTGAACTTTGCAAAAAAGTTATTTTGGTTTTTATTTTTAGTATTGAAGTCTTTAAAACGTGGAATATCAGGAAAGTTTAATGAAGGGTTTTGTCAGACGCTATTAGGATTATAATTCACAAGTTGAATAAAACTAATTTTTAGTTAAAAAAATTTATGAAATTATGCACATCTTTCTTGTTTTTCAAAGTTAGAAAACGCCTTTTAATAAACACATTTAAAAATAATGGCGATGAAAAAAATTTACCTTAAGTTTTTCGAACTTGAATGAGGGTTCTTTAATGTGCTCAGAAAATGAAATTGCCACTCCCGTATAAGCGTTTTCTTCAATTAGTATGCTCCACACATTTGTAATGAAACATAAATATAGTACATTGAAAAATAATTTATAAAAGTACATCTTTTAGAAGCACAATTTCAACCAAATCCAAAAGTTTTAAAAAGAACATTTCGAAACATTTTAAATTATTATAAAAAAAACTCTCTTAGTTTATTGTGTTTTAAAAAGTAATTAGATGTTCCTTTCTAACTGAAAATCTGTGTATACATTTCAGGGATATGTGTAATAAAAAAAATGATAATAAAGTTTGTTGCCATGGCAACTGATATGAAATATCTGCTCAATGATAAAATAAGATTAACAGGTTAGCTAAAATAAAAATGAAGACATATATTATTCTTTTTTATATCTCCTTTTTTCTTTTTATCAAGTTTTATTGGGGTTGTTGATATCGTAAATATTTATTTATTCCTGTATTTTGTAAGATGGATAGTTCTTTACTTTTTTTTAGATTAGAAATGAACTCTTAGAATTTACCCAAAGGCCTCAGGGTAAATTTAGCTCAACCTATACTCTGTTTGCGGCTTATGGGTAAAAAGTGACCTACCGAGATTGCTTAAGTCTCCTTTACTGCTCTTCTTGAAAATTTTTCTTTTTCTCTTCTTGACAAATAAAATTGGCAATAAATAAAATTTTCGTCAGATTNTTATCGTTAATATCGTCAATAATGATAATGAATCTAGCGAAGATGATGAAGACAGTGATTATTAAAATCAACATATAAAAATCTCTCATACAGATGGACTAAAAGCTATCGAATGTACTATTGAATATATAGAACAACAAAAAGAGGCGACACCAGCCTTCCTGTTATCCCTAAAAAAGGCGAAGCATTACTACAGAAAAGCGCAAAAGTTACGTAGAACGAAAAACGATTAAGGACCTTTTTTAAGTAAAAACTATTTAATTCTCGTAAAGTATGCTTTTTAAATGTTTTTAAGTAAGCTTTTTAATTATAATATGAATTGTGTGTGGCATACTCGTATACATTTTGTATTTTTTAAATCTTTTACATTTATACCTTCTCTTTTTCTTTCCGTTTTTATACTCTTCGCTTTAACCGAGTTTTTCAGTTATCCGAGTTTGTTGCGGTCCCCATTAACTCGGATAATCGGGACTCTACTGTATTTTGTAAGATGTATAGTCCTTTACTTTTTTTTAGATTAGAAATGAACTCTTAGAATTTATTCAAAGGCCTCAGGGTAAATTTAGCTCAACCTATACTCAGTTTACGGCTTATGGGTAAAAAGTGACCTACCGAGATTGCTTAAGTCACCTTTACTGCTCTTCTTGAAAATTTTTCTTTTTCTCTTCTTGACAAATAAAATTGGCAATAAATAAAATTTTCGTCAGATTCTTTAATTATTATATTTTAAAATGTTTTTTGAATTTGATGCGTAATTTTAACTGCAATAGTTACGAAAATAGTTATGATATGAAATATAGTGTGATTTTTTTTTTACCATATCTGATGCATTCTGAAAGCTTAAATAAACGAAAATCAAATAAAAGTAAAATAAAATTCTCAAAAAATCAAATTTTTTTAAGTTTCTAAAAGGAAAAAAGTAATTAGATATTTCATGCCAAAAATGAAAAACGCTGAGCTCACCACTTTCGAAAAGCATGCGGTTATTTTAGGAGGTGATAGAAGTTTATTTGGAAAGTGATGCACCTCATGCTTTTAGGTTTTGTTTTCATAAAAATAAAACCATTTTAGTAAATGGTAGTGTCCCCTGAAACATAGCTATTGTCTAAATTAAATTTTATCATCAAGAATGGCACGACAACACTTTGAGAGCCTGGGCCTTCCTTAAAAGCTTTTCCCAATCTACTCTTCTCCCAGAAATTGATCTCCAGTTCTTCTCTTTCAGGATAACTATTATAACACTGGGTATATCCTCATTTACCCAGTTTTTACATTTCTTTTTTGGGTATTCCTCTTGGTCATTTTTTGGAGGGTGTCGTATTAAAAACTCACAAAGCTGTTGGCTGTGGACTCATTCTTATTAGCTGCCCCGACCATCTCATTCTATTAAATTTTATGGATATAATATCCTGTCTTGTAAAAATTTTGTAAATTTCGAATTTATATGTTTTTTTCCACATACTATTAGTATCATCGAGAGCACCACCAAAAATTGTTCTCATGACCTTCATTTCAACGATCTCTATTACCTTTTTTTTAATTTTTATTTATTTATCAAGATCCATGTCTCTGAAGCATGGGTCTAAACTCATTTGTTTAAATATCTTGTACAGAAAGATCTTTGTCCTTCTTTTCATTAAAAGCCATTTCAATAACAATTTTAAACCGAAGAAGCAGCGATTGGCTGAGATAATCTTCAATCGGACATAAAATACTTAATTTCCATTCGGAAGATTATTTTCCCCTCCCAAATAGATAGAACAATTTGCCAGATGTTATTCGTAATAGCAGTTACATTCTATTTTGGAAGTTCAGCGGGAATAGTATCTAGTCCTGCCGCTTTGTGACATTTCAGTTCATAAATATTGCATCGAACTTATTCTAGATTTGGAATGTTAACTTACATATCTTCCGTACTATTATAAGTCCGACTTATTTGACCCATGGAAGTTTAATAGGTTGTAAACATTTTCACCCTATTTATCCATAATTTTATTTCTTCCATTAACCATGTTTCCATTTTTATCCTTACGACATTTTTATCGTTGGTTTAAAGTCCTTTCTTCCCTCAATTGATGACCCGGTAGAAAGTTCTGCTTTCATACCTGATCCTAAGATATTCGATTTTGGTAAGTTGGCTCTCGTTGTGGATTTCCCATCCTTCTTTTAATAATTCTTTTTTTTTTTTTTTGAAATGCACTCTCATATTCGTCAACTTTCTGACCTTTTTTCTCTGCCTAACAAACTATTTGAAAATTGTTGTAGAATCTTTTGTATGTACCCATTTATTATTTACCTCACCACTATTCCCTTTTAAATTAAGCTCACTTGGTAGTTGAGTTTGGAATTTCCTGCTTATCTTAGAATTGTTTAGCTTCTCATAGTGAAGGAGAAATATTTTCCCTTATTTTGCAGATCACTAGATCAGTGAAAACTTTCAGAAGAATAATGATCACTAGATCATTGCTCCTCTAAAAATTTTCACATCCCGTAGATTTGAGTGATGTCTAGAACTAATTAGTTCTAGGTATCTCCCAACTAATAAGAACTAAATTTGTTTTACAGGTTTATATTTTTTAAACATACATAGGTATTTGCAGATAAATATCTATGTATACCCATACTTCGGTACAATATAGATAAATGTATATCAACCTTACTAAAAGAAGAAAAAAAGTGTTTTAAATCAACAATAGATGATGTCATATAATTAGCCATCACCGAGCAAATTGTAATAAGTAAATAATTAAATTTAATGATATAACTTAAAATAGTTAGTGGCCATATAGAGTTTTCTGCCATCTATTCGTATTACGTGGCATCAAGAAATTTACTTTCGACTCTGTGTTTAACTGGTATAATTTAAAAATTTGTACTATAAAGGTTTTCTGGAAATGTATGGATGTTTTTAGAAATTATAATCTCTGCTTACAAAGTCTCAAATGCAATCCGCATTGTAAAAAATGACGATAAACATCCGCCTGTTTTCAAATGACTATATGTCATACGAATCAAATCTAACGAACAAGTAAGGCTAATGCCTAATTACACTTGGCGAGGGATCCCAAAAAACCCGACCACTTTGCTTTTTTTAAATTCTTAACTTTAATATTTATTTTGAAATATGAAAGCGTGAATTATGTTTTTGATTTGCTGCTATTATGTTAATACTAAACAGTTTATTTATTTGTGTAAAGTTCATTTAGTTTACTCCTCTACGGGAGGGTGGGGTAAGACCAAGACCGAATATTGGTGTGAAACTGTGTACATCAATTCTGGCAAAACTAGTTTTGCCTTTTAACGAATAGACTCTGAATTATAGTCTGTTTTTGGAAAGAACTCTAATCGCTATTCACCTGGATCAATGGCGTTGACTATGGCTACGGGTTTAACTATTTCAAGTAGGCGTGTTAGGTTAATATTTGAGACATGTTTTGGCTCGGGTCGGCGAGAAAAAAAAAGAAGCTCCCCTCTTTGAATTTAGCAATTTCTTGCTTCCAAAGAGGCTTTGAACTTTGTGGCGAGGGGAGTTATTTCTATAGACAAACTATACATTCTGATAGGTAAGAAGGAGGCTCTACCACATTGGTATGCTGCTGTTGTTGAATTCATTCTGTCTGTGTACATATGTTTGTTTTACTGTGCCAATTCTCTAATATTTTTTTGTTTTCAAACTATCTGTATTTATTAGTCATTGAACTTATAAAAAATCTTCTGTAGTCCGGATTATTATAATTTGGCGCGTTTACTAAGGACTCATACCCTAACAAATAATAAGGATTAAGTCCAGTCGGGACATGGCTCTGTCAAGGAGTATACTTAGAGAAGGAAGGCTAGCTTCCATAAACATCTAAACCAAGGTTTAGTGCGGGCCCTGTTTGCAAAGGAAAAACCAATAACTTAGAGGCACAGGAGCTATTGCGGTTGGGAAAGTTTGTTTACTGTTTTTATTTATGATTAATATGTTGCTGTTCTTTTCTCGATTTATAAACAGTGCTTACAATTTATAAAGATATTTCTGTAAGAATTCAATTACATAATCTATGTTGATTATATCTGCTAGCACATTTTGAGTTAAAACGACAGAATCAACTATCAGGAGACAGAGGACCAAACCAACAACCGGTTCAGGTAACGTAGCTCCTGACTGTCATTTTGCTTCTTAAGAGCATGCGCTGAATGTTAGTACATATGATGTTCTGCTGAATGTTGCTCTCCCAGTAAGTTGTTTTTCTGGCATAGCATTCCGCACTACGCAGTTCCCTTCTCAATCATATTCGAAGCTCTGGACTTAGCTCTGGACTTAAAAAAAGAAAACTATAAAACAAAATGACCAAAAAGTGAAGTGTATGCTGAACCTATATAACAAAACAATTTTACATATAGATAAAAAAGAACTATATCTTTGATCGATGATTTTTCTGATGAAGACAAAACACAAATGCTGTTGATCTATTGCAATAATGTATTTTACAACAAAAAAAACAGGCGTATGTCTTGACATCCTTCACCATGTTAGGCGACGTAGACAAGAGGTTAAACACAACCTGCAACCTCATGTGTTTATTCTTTTGACAATAATTCTAAAAATATATATTAAAGGAGGTAAGTGCGAAACATCCTGCATTGAATGTATAAGCAGATTTATGATACAGAAAAAAGGACATTATCAGAATTGCTGTATGTATTTTTAAATAAAAAAAAGTCATTTCTATTGTTTTATAAGCCACTTATACTAATTTAAACTAACACAGCTAAGCTAGGAAGTACTGATTAGACAATAAATAAATATAAAACATTTTATTTTTACCTTTTATGAATGAAGTACAAATAACAAACAATATTCATATTAAGTAAATAAGAAAAAATTATTGTTGATTTATAGAAAAGTCTTTGGGTAAAATCAAGTGCTTTTTTAGAACTTAACCAACGCACAAAAGTTATGTAGAATAAGTACTTGATATTTATAAAATAAAAAAAAATATCCCTATAAATTAGGAAAATTATTTCCACACATTTCCAAATTAATTCTCCAATAAAAGTTCTGCATCATTTAATTTAAAGTAATAGGCGTTCAGAAATAACAACATTCGTTATTTTAAGGAGAAAATATTTGTATTATTAATCCTATTAAAAAAACTATTTCAAATTCAATCAAATTGATTTGTATGTAACTTTCTTAAAATTCGGATCTGAAGCTTCAGAATGAAGGTGCTTCTTGAAAAACATTCCTGAGAAACTCTGGGTTTTCTTTTATTTTTCTAATGAAATAACATAAACGATTGTGAATATTGCAAGCTTGGTCATCATTTATTTTTGCAAGCAAGTTGTATTCCTTGTTAAACAAATAAGCAATTTTCTTTTGAAAAACAGCAGTTTTCAGCTCTTGGAGTGCCTAAAATACAAATAAAATAATTAATATTAATACATTACTGTAATCTTTACAAGTATAAAATTTTTCAGTCAAATCAAGTTCAAACATAGTTTAAAATTAAAGTGAAATTTTTTTTCACTTATTTGCTCAACTTTAAAAATCTGGAAAAAGTATACACGGGGTGAAGTTTTATTAATCTGGGAATTATTTTGTGCCTTTCAAACATAAAAATAATGTACAGCGTAGTGGATTTATATAGATTTTACATTTGTGTAGTAGATTTGTATAGATTTGGTTTAGATTTTACAGCACATAGATATATTAAGTACTCTCAATGGGGAATTTATATAGAAGATTTAATATTATGCGTATTTTGAAAACTAGGTGCAGGACGCAAAAAATAAATATGTAGATATAAAAAAGGAATTACTCAGAATAACGTTTGATCTAATGATCGTATCTTCACATTTTAGAACTCGATTTTAATGATTTGATTGAATGACCTCAAGCATACTAATTAATTTGTACAAATGATATTTAAAGTTACAAAATCAGACGCAAAAAAGTTTTTTCTCTGAATATACATACTTTTTTATTTTATTTTTCATATGGATTTGGATTTCTGACTCTCAAAATATTAGGGGACGCCGCAATCTGAGAAATATAGTCACAATAGCTTGTCAGGAGAGCGGTCCAAAGTTTGGACTTATTATTGTTAATTTTATTTTATGAACATTTCGCAATATCTCGAAAAATTTTTAAGCGATTTGAAAATTTTTTGCGCCCAGAAATAAAATTAGTTTATTCCAAGATAATTCCATGCAAAAAATAACTATTAAAAATTATTCATTCTTATTTTATTTAGTAACAGTCGAAAATCATTTTAAGGAATGTAATTTTACATAGTAACAAAACTTGAGCAAAATTTGAAAAGATCGAAATCAGTCGAATAGTTTGTAAGAAATCCAATTTTAAATATCTAATTTTTTCAAAATTCAATTTCTTAAGAACTAGTCAACCGATTACGTTCAAATTTTGTATTTTACCATTTAAATTACTTTCCCTAAAATGAAGTAAAAATTTTTATATTTAAAAAATAAAAATAAAAAAAAATTCGGCTATTATTAAATAAATAAAAAATAGTTTTTAAAATTTTTTGTTTTTGCATAGAATTTTCTTTGAATAAACGAATTTTATAATTGTGTTCAAAATGTTTTCAATTATTTAAAAAAGTTCTCGAGATATGACGAAATACGCAAAAAGTAAAATCAACATTTAGGGATCTAAACTTTCGTCCGTTCTCTTGACCAAACTATCGGGGCCATATTTCCCAGATTGCGGCTGCCCCTATATTTTGGGGGTTATAAATTCAAATAAATCGAGAAAAAAAAAAGTCATGCTTATCCAGAGAAAGTAGGTTTTTGAGTCTTATTTCGACATTTAAAAAATTTTCCACACAAATTAATTAGTATATTTGAGGCCATTCGAGCCAAGAACATGAAGATTATAATTATACAATTATAAAATCAAAAGTAATTCAGTGTGATTTTTTCGACGCACTATAGATAAAAAATATAAATATTTTTCAATATGCAAGTATCATACAATTTATAAAAGGTATTAAAGTATTATAAGAGTTATAGAAGTGTAAATTTAAAAAATACATCAAGAAAGCGATTATCCATTTTATCTTCCTTCCAGTAGTCATCATCATTGTTTTCTATAACCATCCACATAACGACAGTTTTCAAGTAATAAGAGGCCAAAATCTTCCAGTCTTCCTTATCTCTCAGAAACTGAATAAAAATTATAATACAACACACTGTAACAGCAGAATTGAAAAATCAATGAACAAATCTACCTCATTTCTTTTGAATTTTTAATAATAAATAATTTTTGACTTGCATTAAGTTTTGAAAATAAATAGTATTCCTTAATCACCGCCTTTAACATATATTTTTAGAATCGTTGCCAACAATAAAGTAAGTTTCAATTATGCCTGGTTATGCATTTAGCGTTGTAAAAGCAAGAAAAATATTCTTTCCTACGCATTTTTACCTTAATCTAATTGAGATTTATAAAAAGTTGAGAAGATTACTAATTCGAATATTATAAAAGTTATTAATCAATGAAAGACTATTAAGTATTTGGAAAATTTTCATCTTACCGTTTTATTAAAATGGGGTTTTATGTCAGAGAGTTGAATTTACAGGTTTGGAGCAGTATTTAAACTAACTCCTAATTTCATTTTAATGTATGCATAAACTAAAAATGAATGAGCTAAAATTTGGTTGTTGTTGAAAAAAATAATAAATAAAAAATCGTGATAATAATCGTTGAGAACATTGAACAAACGTTGAATCATACTTCGACATTGTTGAAAGTTGGTTATTTTTGTTTGATGCGATAATGCTAAGGCAAAATTTAATAAAAGCATACCCTTGTCATGATTCATTCTATATATTATTGATACCAAAAAAAAAAAACTTTTTTTTAATCTTGCTTTTCTTTACAAGTATTTTAATTATATAATTTCATATAAATAACGAAATTCATTAATAAATAATGGTCAATTAATAGGATAAAAATTTAACTACATTTTTCGAAAATCAGAACTGGCTAAAAAAAGTATCAACTCTTGGAACCCTAGTGTTCTGCGGAACTCCATTTGGGTACCGCTGTTCTGGCGTATGTGCACTGTGCAGTCTAGTTATTCGAAAATCGTAAAAATTTGATCTTTTTTAAATTGAAATTTTGTTTAATTTTCTATTTTGTTTATGTGGATTTTTAAATGTATGAATAATTTCCTAAATAAAAATTTTTATAAATAAAATATTTTACAATTATTTATAAAACTGTTTATTTATAAAATTACTTATGCATGAAAAATCCACAAAAAAAATTAATCAAAATTTCAATTTGAAAAAAATCAAATTTTGACTATTTATTAAAATTTTATAATTTTATTTTTGATAAATTTCAGTAAAATTTTGATTAATTTTGAAAATTTTATTTACGATAAAATTTGATTCCTTCATCGATCAAATAAAACTAAATTCTACTAGTAGCGGGCAGAAAATTATTCAAATTCGTATCCTCCCTGAATACAGAGTTCCAGTTAAAATGTGAGAGCGAAATTAAGTAACAGAAATTTCCCTTGGAGATAATATTGCCATAAAATCCGTTACTAGCAGTCATGTAACTCTTTAAAAACTTATTTTTTGTTTTGTATCTGTTAGTTTGTTTACGTCGGAAAGTAGTCGAGGATAGTCGACAGTAGTCGAGGTTAGTCGAGTAGTCGATAGATGAAAAAATTTACTTGCTTTTAAGCAAAATGTCAAACTAAGAATTATAAATTAAAATGTTTCAAACTAAACTTTAATTTGTATAAGTATTATAATAAACTAAACTTATAACACTTCAGATTTAAACTTTAATTTGTTTTGTTTCTAATTGGAGTTTGCTAAAAGAAATGAAATAAAACAACCTTTAACAGCTTGATAACAGGTTTAACACAGCCTTTGTTATAAATGATTTTCTTTTCAGCTTTCGAAAAATGGGATCGCCACAAACGTTTCGCTTCCTTTTCATTTATTGGCATCTGTTTTCCAAAACTCGAATAAGGTTTAGGGACAAGATATGCCTGTAAGCATAAATTGCAAGAATGTTATTAATTTCTTTTTTGTTTTTCATAAAGGGTAATTAACGATCAATAATAATTTTAAAAAATTGATCCGCCAGTCTTTGCACCTATACTCATGGAAAAATATGTTTAAATTAGACCGATTATGTGACACTTTACACAGGTAACATTTAGTTTCTATCTGAGAGAAAGGGAGAGGGAGAGAGAGAGAGAGAGGGAGGAAGAGAGAGGGAGGGAGAGAGAGATGATGACGATGAGAATTTGGAACTATTTTTTTCAAGAGAATCTATTCGTCACATTTAACAAAATATTGTAAAAATTCAACATATAAATATAGGTAAAAAGAGTAATTACTTTGCTAAAGATTGTTATTTTCATAAAACCATCAATAACAAAATCAAGCTATAACGTTCCCAACTTAAAATAAGGACAGTTGATTCAGGATATTCTTCTTACATGGTTAACAATTATATTGCATTAAGAGACCCTAAATCTATTCAGACAGAAATCGGTTTGGCAAAGAAATCTGAAGTCACGAAAGCAGAATATATCAAATCTGAAAGATGCATTCTGAAAAAGGTGTGTTTCACGTTCCAGATTTAAGTAAAAAATTCTCGTCAGTTATTTCCATAACAGAAAATGATGGCGTAAAGAAAAATTGTTAAGGGTAATGTGGAAATTTCTAAAGATGGAAACGTTGTTTTCGAAGGCACAATAAATAATTTAAGGCAATAGGAAGTTAGAAAACTGGACGAAAAGATGCATTAGTCACCAGCGAAGAAAATAATGCAAATTCGAATGATAGAAAATTTAGAAATTTAAACACTGAGAGGAATAAATTAGTAAAACATTTCAACCGCGATAAATTTGAAAACTGATGAAATTAAAAATATTTCTAATCCTTGTGAAGTCTCTGTAAAGGCAAAGCAAATTAGACGTCCATTTTCAAGTGATCGAGAGTAACTAGGCCATTAGAGCTTATAAAAACGGTTTGTTGACTAATAGAACTTAGCACGTGGGGTATGAAGAAACATTTTGAAACATTTCTAGATGACTTCTCGCATTTTTTTATTGTTTATCGAACTAAAAATAAATCAAGGGAACGATAAATTGGAAGAACGATATTAAGGAGCAAAATGGTTGTCGAGTGTTTCAAAAATTCTCGTTGTGGTAATAGAGGTGAATGTGTATCAAAAGAATTTAAAAACTGTAGTAAATCAAGGGAAATTGATCTGGATTACACCATTCCATATTCTCTTCAATTAAATGGAAAGGCTGAACGCTTGTCTCCTGTATAGGACAAGAGCCTAATTATTTAACTTTGGCATTAAAGGAAGAAATGAGGGGAGCAGCTTTGTGGATTGCAGCTCTGTAGATTGCAGCATGTTTGTTATATTGAAATCTATCAAATGCAGTAAACATAACTCCAGCTGAAATGCAATTTAAGAAAAAACCTGGTTCAACCTGATAGTAAAGTCTGTGCAAAGAATTTGTGTAAATTAGAGAAACTATAAAGCTGAAGTACAAAACGCATATTTGTTGATTATGCGCTAAATGGTTATAGATTATGGAATGAAAAAAACATAAAAATAAGAATTTCTGGCGATATAGTACTTTGCGAACATGCAATATAAGTAATTCAAAAATCGAAGAAATTGAATCTCATGATGAGCATGTACACCTGATAATGATTGTAGAATGTGAATGAGAATGCTTTGGTAACACTGGTTTTAAGGGAAGAATTTAATTCTGAAGAATTAGGGGATAAAAGAGAAAGAAAACATTCGGCACGTTTATAAGATTTGTAAGTTCTTTTCAATTTTTGCAGTTAATAACAGTAACTAATACAGTTAATAACATGTTGAAAATCCATGTAAGGAAAGTTATTTAAAAGAAGGGCAAAAGTTGGAATTCTTTATTCAAAAGATGGTAATGATGATGAACTTCTTGCTTATTGTGCTTCTGACAAGTAGAATATTTTGCAGCAACGGAATGTTGTCGAAAAATAGTCTGCATTAAAACTAGGAGAAAAGAAATGATTGGAAAAAATTTCTGCAACTTACAATGTAGGTAAGGAAAAGTTTAATAAAAAATGGTGTTGTGAGCGAACAGAAAAAAAGATATAAATATGAGATTTCATTTCACAGAAGAAAAGGTTGATGAAGGTTTGATGAATATTAATTATTGTGCTCCGGCAATACACAAATATATCTGTACTAAAGTGCTTGGATCAATTAAGTTTAATGAATTTAACGATAAATCAGCAAAATTAGATTTTTTAAGCAAATTTTTTTTGTATAAAAAATTTAGCTGTTCAGATAAAATAAATTAAAACGTTAATAATTACAGAAGTGTGTTATAAAAATAATTATTAAAGTTTTAATTTTATAAAATAATGTTGTCGTAATGTTCTACAATAGTAAAAAGTAGAACAACCTAAAGTAAAATCTATTCTGCGTATGTTTATATGCGTAAATGGTATTTTATAAAATGTTTACCTACGAATAGTGTAAAGTAATCGTACTAAAATACGTTAAACAATACTTACCTCTAAAGTACTTCCTACTCGGTTTTTGACTTTGTCGTCAAGACTTGATTCGGGCAATTTAAGAAGACATTTCACAACTGGAACAAGATCAATATCTATTTCTGTGTCATCTGTTTTTGTTAATATTATGGTTCTGGCTGGCCCGGCTTCTTTCGTGCGTATCCTCTAAAATAATTGTAACTGTGAGACTAAAAAAATTGTAATTCTTTTACAATTCAGCTGGTCGTTCATCATCATTAAAGAGTTAGAATAGCACAAAAAATGATAAGTTTTAATGTATTTTTATTGCTAAATATTAAAAGAACTAATAGTAATAAACTTGCCTTTATAAAGAATGCTTTCCGGGTGTATGTTCTAAGAGCTTTGTCTACAACACTTTGAAGCCACTTTCGTACATTTTCTGGAACAAGATAACCACCATCAAATAAAGTTTTTGCAAGTTTAGGATATTTTTCTAAAGCAATTGTGCGGTCCTTCATGTAAATTTTAGCATAGCTTGGTGCTAGTGGTTGATGTACAACCTGAAAGAAATTATTTTAATAGAATAGACGAAATATTCAAAGTCAGTTTTTTGATATTCTTTGGTAATCAATTTTTATTTTATTTCATGAGAGGAGGAAAGGAATTATTAAAAGTATACATTGAGGTGACAAAATTCATGGGATAGCAATAATGCAAAAATACAGATACCAGTAGTATCGCATACAAAATGTATATATGTCTAGTGCACTGGCTGGTCTTATATATGTTTTCAGGTTATCCAGACTGTACTGAATGAACTGAGAATGTTTCTGATGTAATTAGGACCGCAAGGCGAGAACTAGCAGACTTCCAACGAAACATGGTCGTTGGAACTAGATTGATGGGACATTCCATTTCAGAAATAGTGAAGGAATTCAACGCTCCTAGATCCATAGTGTCAAGAGTGAGTCGAGAATACCTTATTTCATTGATAACCTCCCACCATGGACAACGTAATGGCTGACAGCCTGCATTTAATGATCGAAACTGCCATTGTAAGCCTAGAATATTGTCAATACTCATTATTGTAGAAAACAAATAAGCTTTCGTGAAAGAACCGCAAGCATCAATGAGGCAAGTGAAATGGACGTGTCCACTAGGAGACTGTGGCGAAATTTGGCTGTAAATAGAATATGGCAGCATGACCGATTCGAGAGCTTTTAGTAAAAGGACGACATTACGCCCAGTGTCTCACTTGGGCTCGTCACCATATTGGTTGGATCCTAGATGAATGGAAAAGTATAACTTGGTAACATGAGTCAAGATTTCAGCTGGTCAGAGTTCATGGGAAAGTTCGAATGTGGCACAGAACCCTATGAAGAGAAGGGCCCCATTTGTCAAAAAGGCTTTGCGCTATCTGGTGGTGGTTTCATGATGGTATGGGCTACTTTTTCCGGGTCCTATGGTCCAATTGCACCGATCATTACCTGCAAATGGGAAATGGTTATGTTCAGCTACTTTGAGACCACTTGCAGCTATTCGTGGACTTTCCAAAAAACCATTTAATTTTTATAGTTGACAATGGATCTTAATTATTTACGACTGGTGTGAAGAACATTCTGGATTATTATTGTAGAAAACAACGGATTCATTTCAGCGAATGATTTCACCGTTTAGATTCCCCGACATGAAACCGACTGAACATTTATGCGATATAATCGAGAGGTCAGTTCGTGTAAAAAATCCTGCACCCTCAACACTTTCGAAATTATGTATATTTATAGAAGCTGCATGGCTGAATATTCTTGCAAGAGACTTCCGATTATTTGTTGAGTCCATGTTATGTCGAGTTGCTGCATTTAATAGAGCTAAAGGAAGTCCGACAATGTGTTAGGAGGTATCCCATGACTTTTGTTACCTCAGTGTAAATGAAAGGGTTATTTTGATAGAAGAAACAAAGCAGTAGTTGTTACATTGGAATGCTGGGTATGAACAACTGAAATTCACAATTAATGGTTTTTCAAGGAATATGGCCAAAACAAAGCTACCGTACAGTGTTTCAACTACAAAGACATTGTAATAATCCAGTACAACTTATAGAAGATAACAACAAAAAACATACCTTTTGAAGAACAGAAGATCATCCTCGATTATTCTAAGAGGACAGATTTTTTTTTTAAAAACAGGAACATTAAAATAAAGAGTCACGTATTTGAAAGCTGTTAGTTTTTCTTTATTGGTTTCTTACGTTGAGGGAGTTGCACAACACTTATGAAAAACAATCTGACAGGGGTACAGTCATCAGGTGGAGAAGGGGGTTAGGAGCGACCGGTTTCTTTCCAAACATCTTTTTGTTTTGTTGTTTAGCAGAAAACCTTTGTTACGGGAAATGGTATGGTTGGTTATCTATGAAACATTTCTTTTCGAAAATCGGAATATCGTCACGTCCAACGGCACAGAGATTCACCGAACAACACTGGTTGTCTTAGCACAAGACTGGGATCATGAAGCACAGGAAAATGACAGCTTCATGTCGTTGAAAACCCTATCTCACGGGGGAGTGATGGAGTCGACCCCTTCTTCAATGTGGATGTCACCACACTGATAGAGATGTTGAATACCTCATTCTAGTTCCAGTAGTAAAATCATATGGTTTTATAACCAAATACTGATGTAACGTTAACTGATAAGAAGCATAAATGATGATTAAAAGTTAGTGGTTAAAAAAATGACAAAAATAGAAAATCCAAAAAATCAACTTGATGAAAAGGGTAAAGATGGCGCACGAGGATGCCATTTTTCCAACAAAAAGAATTCCCACCTCATCAAGGAGAGAAGGAAAAAATAAACTCCGTTAAGCGGAGGGCCGCAACCAGTTGACGATTAAATATCGAATGCACCGATCGCCTTGATGCTTGATATTCTTGTGAGCTCGGCATTTGGCCCGAAGGGCCACCAATCGTCATAATCTAGTTGACATAAGCTAAAAAGACATACATAAAAAACAGGAAAAATATACTAATAGAAAGAGGTTAGGAGCAAGCTCCATTTAAAAAATGATGATAATGAGCGCATTTACATGAAGCTGCTTGTCAAAAGTATAAGTGAAATAGCAAATAAGTAAACAAATAATTAAGATGAGCACAGTAATTATATACAGAGTTAGGGGATATTAACACTGGTAGAGGATACAGCTATGTACATAACTAGGACTAACAATGTGTATTTGGTGTTGCTCTGCTAGCACAGCGACCCGGCCGTCCCGGTAGTCACCGCTCGTGCCGGGTTGCACCGATCGCCTTTCACGCTCTCCCTTTTATCCTCTTGCTTAAAGTTAAAGTTAAATTACTTATTTTCAAAAAGTTGAGATGTTATCTCTATTATTTTACCAGCGTTACGGTTGTGACAAACTGACACTGGTCGAATCCTCATGGAAGATGAAAAGAAACCGCAAACAGCTGTTTTCCAAGAAAATGGGTAGGGCTGGAATGTGAACGGAATTTCAGGAAGAGAAAGTCCCCATTGCACTACAGATTAAGGGGCGAGTAAGAATTGTATCAGGAATTAAAGTAATGGATCAGGAAATATTTAAATTGTATCAGAAATTAACAAATTTGGATAAGGATTTTAAATAAGACTTGTGATTCAATAAAAAAAACTGTGACTCGCTGTCACAGTAGTATTGATTGTCAGTTCGTTCCTGATTTCAACGAGATAAATTTAAACAACTGAAATGCTGCTTGTGGGTAATAGTAATATTGAATTGATGCTAGGGCGATCAATAATGTCAGATTGTCAACAGGATTAAAGTAAGTTCTAATATATTTTATACAATAAATACTGTTTCGGATCTTCAAATTTCGTCATGACTTTCACACCACACTGGAACAAGGGATAACAATATTACCGGCATGTCCTATGTGATGTAATTAAGTGCAAGAAATAAGTTAACGTTGTTGTTGTTGTTGTTAATTTACGTCGCACTAGAGCTGCACAATGGGCTATTGGCGACGGTCTGGGAAACATGCCGGAGGATGATCCGAAGACATGCCATCACAATTTTGATCCTCTGCGGAGGGGATGGCACCCCCGCTTCGGTAGCCCGACGACCTGCGCGCGAAGTCGAGCACTTTACGGTAGCACAGTTTAACGAGGACCAATACCGCACACCCTCGGTCCCTACGCAGACTGATCCAAGTGGTCACCCACCCGCACACTGACCGTAGCCAGTGATGCTTGACTTCGGTGATCTGCTGAGAACCGTGTCTTAACGATCAGTCCACTGCGGGATAGAAAGAAGTTAACAAAACGAAGGAAGTGCAAAAACTCTTAAGAGGAGAAATTTCGGTATTTCAAAGCAGGAGATATGATGTGCTCATGAAGATTTACACAAAAAGCGGAAAATGGAGGGCTGACAAGGTAGTGCAGTATACTAGGTAGTGCAGTGTCGCTAGGTACTTTCGTAAGACTTATTATGGAAAAGAAATAAAAAAATATTACTAGACCGAAACCAAATAGAGGTAACATTTTTCATGTTTTTAGATACTGTATGTTATAAATGTTTGAAACTTACTTCAAATTCTGATTCTTCAAAAGGTGGTTTCAAAATCAAATTAATGTCAAATTCATCAGGCGTGGAAACGCGGAGATTCAGGTAATAGCTACCTTCGTAACTAAGTTCTTTGAACAAAAGGTTAAACAGTTCATCAACTTCTTTTAGTTCATCTATAAAACTTCTCAAGAACTCCTTTAGAATTTCATTGTTTTCTTTTTCTTCTTTCTTATCCAACTTGATCCCTCTTAAAACTTCTTTACATATAGTAACCCCAGGTTGTTTTAATTTTTGAGCTTCAAGAACCCATTTATCTTGCTCCTCAAAGGAGTCTGATTCTTCCTAAAATTTATAAAAAAAAATATGCCCATGTATTTCGATTTCATTATACTATTATAGTATGTGAAGAGAGCAAAATGAAAAATGAAATACACTAAATAATTTTTCTAATGATCAGATTTTCACTCATCAGAACTCAATCTTCTAGGTCCCGACGTCAAATATGCTAATGAGTGCAGACGATATGTTAAGTTACAAAATCAGACAAAAAAAACGTGCTTTCTTTGAATAAACATGATCTTTCTAAGCCGAAATCGGTTTTTGGACCCTCTAAACGTGGGGATTAGCCGTGATCTGAAAATATGGTCCTAATAGTTTGGTCAGTACAGCTGTCGAAACTTTCGACCCCGTTTAATGTTAATTTTACTTTTTGCGTCTTGAGAACTTTTTAAGTGAATCGAAAGAATTTTTATCACACAATTTTGAAATGCATCTATCCGAAAATAATTCCATGTGCAATATATATATATATATACTTTTGTTGGACTTTTTATACTTTTAGAATCCTCTTCAAATGTGAAATTTTTTTTTCACATTTGAATTTAGTAGTACGTAATGAAAAAAAAAAACGATACTTTTGAAATAGTGCTAAAAGCTACTGAGAAATAGCGTTATTAGTTCTAGGCTTGTCAGTGTGGAAATGTGACAGTGATTCCACAATCCGAACGAAGAATGCTCTTACTCTGAGTGAAGTCGTTTGCCTTTGTGTTGAACAGTGCGAATTATTTTGTTTTGTTTCGTTTATCATCAATGAATTAAAAAATATATGCTAAGATCAGGATTATAGCTAAAATTTTTATTCAGAGGAGGAGGGGCACCCGCTTTTTACAGATGTGCTATCTCACCATTGGTAATTAAAATCAGCAAAAAATAATTTTCAAAAGCAAAAAATAATTTTCAAAAGTTATACTATTATTTTCTTTAATAGTGGTCGAAAAAACATTGAAATAGTATGGTATAAAATTTTTTACTCAATTTAAAGAATGCAATTCTAAATGGCAAAATACTAAATCGATCGAATAGTTCTTGAGAAATCAAAATTTAAATCTATGATATTTTTAAAATTCGATGACTCAGAAACTATTCGTGCGATAGCTCCAATTTTTACATTCTGCAATTTAAAATCGTGTTCTTTAAAATGATGCAAAAAATCGCATTCATTAAAATTCTAATTTTTTTCCGTCACTTAAAATAATAAATATTTTTTAAAAATTACATTTTCTGTGGATTACTTTTGGATAAAAGAATTTTATAATTGTGCGCAACGGTTGTGGCAAAATGAGCAAAAAGTGATAATGGCATGAAGATGTCTAAACTAAAGCCCGAGATTACTTAGTTAAGTAGCGTAATGTGATTGGCTGTCGCCGATCACATGTCGTCTCATGACGCCAATAAACAGTCGCCATTTTGTTGAATGGTTTGTGCAGAGAAGTATCTTTGCACTCGATCTTTTATTTATATTTTCGCTTTTCTTTTTATTTTATTTGTTTCATACTCTTAAATTAATAATGAGAGGTGGTTGTGCATTCGGCGGCTCCAATAAGTCAAAATTAGGTTTTAAATTATATCACTTACCTGTTGAAGATCGCAATAAAGAACGATGGAAAGTATGGCTGCATAGAATTTTTAATAATGTTTAAAGTACTATTTGTGTTGACTTTAAACAGATAGTTTTATTAGTCACAATCAGGTATTTGCAAATTTTAATCTTTTTATTTCTATTTTGAAAATATTTTTAGTGTATCCGGATACTATTCATTGTACATTTGAGTTGGGTAACTTTATCTATATGTTGGAGTTGGCTCTCTCTATTATAAACTTGGTCTGTTTATGGTCTGTCTCTTCCTTAAAATTAAAATTTTGAAAATTAATGTTTTTATTGCTTTTCAAAATTATTTATTGGTCTATTTTTGGTTACCAACGGCGATGACGAGAGGGAAGGAAGGTCCCTCAGGCACTGCAAAAATTTTCAGCTGGTGTGGCCACTCCAAGTGGACCCAGGAAAGAGAAAAGTCCCAAAACTCTCTTCTAAACATTCCTTGGAATCGGAAGAAGAATTAAAGTTTCGATTGTCTGTTAATGCTATTTCAATGATCAGTCGCGAAGCGAAGCAAACAAAACTAATTTTTTCTCTTTGATGTTCTTTTTATGACAGCTCCATTCCTTTACATAATGGCAGTGTGCTCTTCGGTTACTTTTTCTTTTCTTTTGATTTTTATTTACATATTTGAAAGGAGCATTTTATTAATCCTGCGAAGGTTCGCATCAGGTCTTAATATCCATCTCTGCTTCTAATGGTGGCAATCGTGTGAGCAGAACAAACAGGCACAGGACTTTAAAAGGAGCAAATTAATTTTATTTAATCATTATGTGATGATGGACGAGAGAGAGAGTGTGTCACAAACTCGTCGTGCTGCTCCATAAAAGTTAGGGAAAATCTTGCAAGGAAAATTCGCAAAATGTTTGGTGGAATAAGGGAAATCTTAGTAATTGCAATTGGCTTATTTTATAGGTCTCGCGATTCCCACAAAGAGCAATGGGAAGATATCTTACTTTTAATATAAATGCATACTTGAACCAAAAATAGATGAAAGGACAGGATGTGAATTTAAAAGTATGAGAAAGCGTTTAGTTCTGAATAATAAATCATGAAAAAGATTTGCAGAAAAGGAATAACATAAAAAGATTAATTGAAGCTTCTTATGTTATGTTACATATATCGTTCATGGCTTGCAATAGCAGCACAACCCAAAAAAATCGAGTTTTGAGATAAGTGGGTTTAAAGTTTTCATTGCTAAGCAAAATGAGTAAGAAATGCTTTCGCTTGCTTTAACGAAGATTACCTTCAAGTTGAATTATGAGTTGTGCCACTATTGCTGCTGAAAAGAATGTGTATTNTATATATATACAGTCAAACCCCGCTATAGTGAACCTTCAAGGGACCGAAATTTCTGTTGACTATAACCGGGAGTTCACTATATCCATTACGCAGGCAGTTTCACTAATGGTTCCTAAACTCCTCCCTTTTGTTACATTACATTCAAATAAATGACTGAAAAATATTATGTAGTAGCAAAAAATTTGTTATTTTTTTATTACTCTTCGTCTTGCGTACAAAAAAAAATTAGTAATCTCTAGTTGATGAGCAATTCTCAACATCAGATATGGAAACACTTCCCGACTCTCAGATAATTTTTCCTGAATTTCTGTTATTCTGCTCTTTAAACCAGTCTAACCTGTCATTTTAGCATAAAATAGCTCATAAAAGCAGTCTCATAAAATCACTTACAAGGGAGACTAGGGAAGTGTGACTCCCCAATTTTGAAATAAACTAGTGGGGTGTATGCCTTATGAGGAATAATTTTAGGGGGCAACATTCGTTTCGGCCCATGGAAGGTCCTATGAGAGATAAAAAATAATTCAATATATAGAAAAATTGATATTTTATTACTTCAATGCAGACTATTAGCTATTGTAATTATCTCATACTCCAATTAATTTTGCGGTACTTTCACGTACTATATAATGCATATTTATTGTCAAAATTGATTTCGAAAATTTTATATACCTGTAGTTTTTCAGAAAAACCTGTTAGGTTAATTTTAAAAAAAAATTAGCATAAATATTTTTTTTCAAAATTTTTTTAAAATTAATTGGAGTATGTAATTGCAAATTAATTAATTAATAATTAATTAAAAATTAATTAATAATTAATTAATTAGATAATTAATTAGCCAATTAATTAATCAATTAATTGGAGTATGAGATAATTACACCAACTAATAGTCTGCATTGAAGTAATAAAATACCGATTTTTCTATATATTGAATTATTTTTTATCTCTCACAGGATCTTCTATGGGCCGAAACGAATGTTGCCCCCTAAAATTATTCCTCATAAGGCATACATCCCACTAGTTCATTTCAAAATTGGCGAGTCAGACTTCCCTAGTCTCCCTTGTTAGCAAATTCATCGACATTTGTTTAGATACTGGAGACAGCTTCTTTGAATGCTGAACCACTTCAGTAATGCTTCTTCAACATCCTTGTGATCTGCTTTTCTCAACTTTTTTCTGGCATCTAAATTTATTTCATGAGCAGAGATTATAACTGCCTATTTTTTCATATGTTACAAACTGCAGATTTGGATAGTTTATATTCTCTGCAAATATCAGCTTGATTGCACCCATTTTCAATTTTTCTGATTCTGCCCATTTTATCATCAATGAAGAACGTTTTACGTTTACTGCTTGCCACAGTTAAATTTGAGAAACTTGTTTGCAGGCTTTTTTAAACTGAAATGGGAACAAAAAGGAGTTGAAATGAGGGCTTTATCAACACATATTAGAGTTGACCAATAATGACTCATTCCCTCTGACAGAAAATTCATATTGATCCCACTGACAACTTACAGGTGAACCATCATCTGCCTGGGTTGAAAACATCTACTTGGTTTGTTTAGGGATGGGAAACTGAGATAAAAGAAGCAAACAGGAAAAAATGCTTATCGCTACATTCCCTTCGATAGATGGTTTTAAAAATCGGTGTATGTATTCATTTTGAAGTAGAAATTTCAACAAAAAAATCAGTCGAAGACAGAAAAATGTTCATTAATCCAACTTCCTCCCTTTTTTGGTTCACTATATTCACAAAAAATAACATTATACGTGTATAGCAAGGCACGGGACCGAACATTTCGTTCACTATATCCGGGAGTTCACTATAACCCATGTTCACTATAGCGGGGTTTGACTGTATATATATACAGTGGTGGCCAAAAAGTGTAGAAATTTTTTGAAAGTTTCATGTTTTTCAACTTTGTGTGCTTGTAGAATTTAATAATAAATACAGTATTAAAATATCTGGATTACAAAAAAAGTTATGCAACTAATAGTAAGATCTATCTTAGATTTGCATTTTTTTAAAGTTAAACTTACACAATCAATACTTAGTAGGATAACCCTTATTTTTTAAGACAGTTTCACAGCGTTTTTTCATCGAGTGAACGAGTGTTTGGAGTTCATCTTTCGTAATCACATGGTGCCAAGAATTAACTATAGCTTCAATAAGTTGTCTTTTATTGGATGGACGTTTTTTTTCGTACAAGAATTCTGAAACGTCGCCACAAATTTTCAATTGGATTGAGATCAGGGCTGTTTCCTGGCCATGGTAATATATCTATGCCTTTATTTTGAAACCATGCTTTGCATACTTTTGATGTGTGGTATGGAGCTGAATCCTGCTGAAAAATAAATAGTGCGCTGTTGGGGAAGAGTCCCCTGATGGAAGGTATCAATTTTGGTTTCAGGACAGTTTCGATGTATTTTTTGGCATTTAGGATGCCATCAATTACTTGAATTCGGCCCGCACCATGACATTTGTTGGATTTTTTGTAGTCGCTTCAATGAAATCAGGATGAAGTGCTTCACCTACTCTACGTCTCACGTATTTTCTACCATCACTACCAAAGAGCGATATTTTACTCCAATCGCTCCAGATTACTTGCTTTCATTGATTTTCTGACCATTTAATGAAAGATCATACAGTACAGTACAGAAAATCAATGGAAGCAAGTAATCTGGAGCTTCTAAAATATCGCTCTTTGGTAGTGATGATAGAAAATACGGGAGACGTAGAGTAGGTGAAGCACTTCATCCTGATTTCATTGAAGCGACTACAAAAAACCCAACAAATGTCATGATTTGGGCATGCATGTCTGCAGATGGTGTGGGCCGAATTCAAGTAATTGATGACATCCTGAATGCCAAAAAATACATCGAAACTGTCCTGAAACCAAAATTGATACCAGGGATCTCTTCCCCAACAACGCACCATTTATTTTTCAACAGGATTCAGCTCCATGCTACACAGCAAAAGTATGCAAAGCATGGTTTCAAAAGAAAGTTGAAAAACATGAAACTTTCAAAAAATGTCCACACTTTTGGCCACCATTGTATGTATTAGATAACAGTTATTTTTTTCAAAAAAGCATAAAAATTGATAAATAAAATAGCTGAAATTTGCTTACCCCGGTGAAAGGAAGAAGTACCATTATATATTTTAACTAAAATATTTTTTCGATTTTGTCATTTGTATGTAAAATTTTTATTAAGAATTCATTTTAAATATAACTAATTGTACTTAAGGTTTTAGTAATATTTTTTTTGTAAAAGATCAAATAACAATTAGTATTGATTAAGAAGGAAAAATTTGAACTATTGAGAAAAATGAACTTTTTATTTGAACACTGTTAATAATGTCCATTATGATTTAAATCTCCAAATCATACCACCCCTTTAACCTCATAAAAAACCAACTGCGAAAATTTCAATGAGTTAAAAAAAGTTATAGCAAATTACGAAAGACGAAATGAGAAAGTTTTAACTTATAGATAAGGTATTCTTTTCACTGAATAGAAAAAAGGAAAAAAACATACAATTTCGGAGAGAAAAAAAATTATAGAATAAATAGTATTTATTTATGTTACCTTCAAGAATATGAAAGTAATGATCAATAAAAAGTTGCGTTTCAGAATAGAAACTCCGCATTTCTACGTTGAGAGCTTAGTCACCAAGATGGCGGCGTGTCGCTACTTAATCTACGTACTCAGAGCTTTAGTCTGAACAGAGTGCAGCTACTCCCTATAATTTGAAGGTAAATAATCCGAATTCATCGGGAAAAAAAGTTTTTCTTAAGGGAGAATACGTCTTTGTGTCTGATTTCGTGACTTAAAACACAGTCTGCACTAATTGATTAGCTATTTTAAGGTGAAGCATTCCATCCATCAAAATTGAGTATTAGTGCGTGAAAATCCGATAATTTGATCTTAGGTTATTTAGAGTGTTCACTTTCTTTTGCGTATCGAACATTTTTAAAATTAACTCCTCAGTTATAAATGTATCAGATAATAAAATTATTTCTTACTTCTTCTATCTCTTCACTCCAATTCGACCCCATTACGAATTCTGCAATATTTTAATTGTGTATCCTGTAAATAAGTCAATTTTTTTTTTATTATGGTTAAAAAATAATTTAACAAAAATAAATAAATAAATAAAATAAAATGTACATTGAAAACATTAAAATTGTAAATTCATCTAATTAAGTGGCAACCTTAAAGGAGAAATATAAATAGAGTTTGCCCATCATGATAGTTTTTGTCCTCAGAATAAAACCGTGTGATTGGAGGGTAAATCAAGAAAGAAAGTTTCCACCACCCGTTTCTCTTTGTTATTTTAATGGTAGAAAAATCGGTGCAGGAATTCTTAAAATGTGGTGGTTTACTCAGCTGCATTTGGTTGTACAGAAGAATTTGATAAAGAGATATCTTATACATTTCATAGGTAAGTAAATTTTTCCCTATTACATTTTTTTTAATTTACTATAAAAATGAACTTCAAACAAGTGAATATTTTCTTCGAAACATCATATTAATGCTGATTATTCCATTTTATTCATACCAAACTCAAAACTTATGCTTTTAAAGTATCTACCAAATAAATATTAACAAATCGGAGCAGAAAGTAACCATGAAGTAATGATTATATAAAGTTATTAGTTTTTATTTTCATCAATAATACATATTTTTTTGTTTAAATTTTAGTGCTAAAATAAAGCAGGCGTAGTGCGTTTAGTCTTAACTCCTTCGTTTAGTTTTATTGCATTTTTTCACTCCATTTAATGTTTTTGAAAGAAATTCTTCAGTATTTTTTTAGTTTCAGCAACTTTCGTTGAATTAATTTTACTTATGAAAATATAATTGCTAGCAGAAAATAGGGGTTCTGAAAGATTGTTACAAAACTATTTGATATATAGTGCAAGGTTTGTTTAAGACTTAAATGTAAGTTCTTTGATTAAAAAAAAGAAGTATTACAATTGGAAGTATATTCTTAAAATTGAAAGATCGTCAGATCTTTTTAAACTGAAATCGTTTACTCTTTTTTTTATTTATTTATTAAATTTTTTTTAACAAATAGGGATATTAAAGCTGGTTAATCTTATCATAGCATTGATGTTAAATTGAAATAAAACCGGAAAGCTTCAACAGTGAATCGAATTTTTTGAAAAGTTTTTTACGCTATTTTATATTCCCAATTTCTATAGTATTTATTACTAGTCCCGAAGAAGAAGAAATATTACTCTGTAAAAAAATGTGTATGCCAGTACTATTGTTGAATATATAAAAGATTAAAGCTTAAACGCTTTTTTTTATGTATTTCAATGTCGATAAATCAACAAAAACAATTAATGTATACATGGATGTTTACAAAATAAATTCAGATTTTTCTGAAAATTACCGAATCAAATTGTAATTCCTTCATTTTTTGAAAATTTAATCAATTATACAGAGTTTTTACATATTAAAAATTAAAACTCTGAAATAATTTCTAATCTAGTAAATTATTGTCGAAAAATGATACAATTTTTTGTTCCGCTAATCTTCGAAAGCTCTGTCATCTCTTGAAAAGAAGATTTCTTGCTAAATAATATCCTCTTTTTTTGAAAACTGCTGTGAGTTTGCAACAGTTACTCATTACGCCAAGTTTAGCTTAACTTTATCCAGTGCTCTCCATGTTTATTCTGAAATTTGAGCAAAATATTAATGTGATATTTTTCATCACACATTATTTTCCACTGCCTTATTTCTCTATGCAAGCTGCAAGCTGACGGTGATATCTTTCGGGCTTAAATGTTTCCAGAATTTTCGCGATGTCAACAAACGGATGTGTTCGTTAGAAAAGTTTTTAGTAAATTCTTTGTTTATAAATATAAGCTCTGAAAGCTTAAATAGAATATAAAAAAAAGTTAAAACAAAATTTAGTTTTGAAAAAAAAAAATTCTTTTGCAATAATACAAAAATGCCAGTTACATAAAAATTTCAACGTTGAATTTTCTGCTGCTCACGAAGATTTTTTTTCTTTGTTTGAACGACAGCATAATTTTAAGGTTTTTTCTCTAAATTTAGAACAAGGTGCACAAAAATCAGTACCAAAGAAATAATAATTATTGAAATAGCGAATTAATCATTTAAAAAGATACGAAATAGAAACATAACACCTACCTTTAATATTCAACACAAAATAATTTCTAATATCTCTCCCTTATTTTATACTTAAGTAAACGTTTCGTTTTTAACAAAAGATAAAATTTATCTTAGAGAGTTTTAAGATAAGAGAATTTAATTGTGTGAAATTATAATCGCGAAAGCAGTTGTCCATTATTTTAACTTCAGTTAAGAAAAGAAACCTTTATTTTATCATGTAAACGTATTACCATTTAAGAAATGACAGTTTTTATAAAATGATTATGATAAATTTAAAGTAATATTATTCTAAAATTATAAATGTAGAGAAATAAAATGAGAAGGCATCGAACGCTCGGCTTGAATGACAACTGTCGTCGGAATCAACTGCAGCTGGATAAGCAACTGCGGACAACAGCCAACAGAGCATTGAAATCAGCAAAGATTACGATTTCGCGGAGAAATTAATCTCTGTAATTAAAAAAATTAGATAATTTGTATAATATAAAATCTAAATCTTACAAAGAGTAAAAACAATCTGTGGTTGCAGATTGAAATGTCATTTTCCCCCTCTAAAGCACTGGTCGACAATAGCAGATAAAGTTATAAGAACGAGCTACAAAATCAAAATAAATATTTGTTTACGTAATTAACGCATGCGCAATGCAAGATAATGTCTGCGTTGGAACGGCTGTTTAAAGAAACCATGCCTTTACTTTATACTCAACTAAACGTTTCGTTTTTAACAAAGGATAAATTTAATCTTAGAGACTTTTAACATACAAGAATTTACATGTGTGAAATTATAATCGCGAAAGTAGTAGTCCATCGTTTAAACTTCAGTTAAGTATAGAAACCTTTATTTAACACGCAATGGAAAAATTATCTGGCTCCATTTAAAAGATGACAGTTTTTATGAAATAAATATGATAAATTTGAAGTAATATTATTCTAAAATTATATTAAATGCTAAAATATTTTTTTTTAATCTGTTAAAATTTATTTTGAATTTTGTGATAAATAAAAACTTAGTTGTAAATATGTTGCAAGTAAATGTCTTTTAAATTAAAAAAAAATTATATTTAAGTAATAAATAATTATTATGTGTTTTGTGAAATTTTTCATACGCAACAAAATTCTAAATGTGGAAATAAATGAACCATTCCTGAAATTAGAGAAAAATTTATAGAAAATCGAAAATTTGATATTGTTGGGATCTTCCATGTAATTCCACTGGCGCTAGTATCGAGGTTGTGATGTAACTGCAACTGTGTTTACATTGTATGTTTCAGTTTCGATTTCCAGTATGTTCTTTTGTTGATGTGTTCTACGTACGTATTGTGAATAAAGTTATTGTTATGTTATAAGTTATCAATATTCGTGCTATTATTGTCAATCATCCTAAATACATATCCCATGCCTTATAATAAACGGTCACAACAGTTTTGGCGACGAGGAGAAAAATAAGAAGAAATAATCAATAGAATTTCAAGATCGTTCAAAAACGAAACTTCAAAATGGATGAAATTTCAAAACGGAAGTGTTTCAAGTAATTGAATTCAGGTACTGTAATTAATTTAAATTTTCAACTATTTTTTCAAACTTTCAATAAATAAATAATGAATGCTGAACAATTCCAAACATTTATTGCTGCATTTAATCAGCAACAACAAGCAATGATAGCACAAATTGAAAAACATTTTTCAAAACAACAGTCTATTGATTCATCAGTAAATCTTGTTAATGTGTGTCGTTCCTAACCGGATTGACTGTGTTTGTGAGAGGCATCTTGTCTATTGATTGATAACGTTTAAAAACAGGCAAAACAAAACATTTATTTTAAATAAAAAACAACAAAAAACAAAACAAAACACAGCGTTCCAAAGATATTTCAAAAAGCCAATTCAACGATATTTTCAGTTCTCTCTTTTTTCTCTTGCCATACTCAGAGTAACCTACATATTCTGAATACTTTTGGTGGCGCAAACTAATTGGAGTTAGTGTTTGCCGCAACATTCTCCCCACTTGAGTTTTATGTAGGAGAAAACTCAACACAATAAATTACAAAAAAAATACTAAAATTATGGCAGACATACAATTGTTATGTTATAAAATTTAAA